CATTATGCACAGTTTGTTAATAATAGTGTTATATTTCAAGTATTCCAAAAGCTGGTCCTTTCATTACTGATATAGCTAAAGGTTACATGTAAAGGGTGTTAAGAAAGTTCATTTGACATTTTCTTTTCTTTAAATTCTCGAAAACAAATACAATACGATGATACCAATATCATCTCTAGGGCCTTCGGCCCTCTGGCTGAATTGGTGTCTCGGTCTCATACAGGATGTGATATGGAGAAGGGTATGTATTATTCTCTATATATTTACAATTCAATTTAGATTATAAAAATATACAATAACTTGATTAAATATCACTGGACATTTGATTGAAAAGTTAAACGTTATCATGTTACTTTACAAAATAACGGGTGATCGTTAATACATGTAAACCCCCCCCCCCATTTAATAGTATTTGTTTGTTGTTTAACGTCCCTCTTGAGAATTTTTCACTCATATGTAGACGCCACCACTTGCCGGGGGAGAGCTGCAAATTTTGACCTATACTCGGCTCTTAGGGCCATTGAGCAGTGAGGGATTTTTTCGTGCCAACACCTACTGCAACACGGAACCTCGATTTTTACGGTCTCATCCGAAAGAAAGGTCTCAACGTCCCACAGTGACCAATTCAATAGTAAATATGTCCGGAATTCACATCAGCTGTAACTTGGATACCGCAATACATTGAGTTCATCAGTCTCTTGCAATTGTTTTGAACAAAAGAAAAATTCTGTCAGCCTTAGTTAAGTGTCTTTTAATTCTCAGATATTGTATTCAATTTTTCGATTCTAGCACAGCGTAGTAACCGTTGCATGGTCTTCCGGTCCGCGGACTTCACCAGTTGAACCATTGAGAGGTACATGTAGGTATTACGTGTAGTGGAGGCATGGTAAAGTGCATCTATGCACCTGCAACACCTTTTATTTTCATGATTATCTTCTTTTCCTCTAGAAGCAGTTGCAATGAGCATATATGACTATTTTAAGGAAGTCAAAGCAAACGTACGGAAAAGAAACTAGAATTTTTATTTTCGCGGATGCTACTAGACTTATTGTGAAAAGAAACAAACTCATGTTAACCCAAATCATAGCCGTATTTTGGGGAAAACGCACGATTTAATACTGTATGCAGAGGTAAAAATAATGAAACCGGTTCGGTTGAAATGTGAAAAATCGGAATGTTTCTGTATAATCGGGGAGCAGGACTTGATTCCTGAAATGGGGTGAGAATTAACCATTAAATAATCGACTATACGCAGAGCTGAAAATGTCCTAACTTTACAAGTTGCATAAAATTATACCCAATATCTGATTTCTTTCTGAGAAAAGGATGTTGCGTTTCTTTTTTATATAAGCTTGAATCATGCATGACACACGAAGGACGAACACTTCCGTGATTGTTAAGTCATTCTTAATTAATTCGGCTGTAGAGATATAGATCGTACAGAATGTTCATTAATCAGCTATAGTTATCTGATCTTTCAGAGATATGACTTAATGATCTGACACTCCCTTTTTAGCAAATGAGTATAGCTTTAGCGTTATTAATCAAATTAACTATCTTAAATATATACAGCTTTATTGATTTGAGTCAGACCATTCTTCTAATCCTAACATCTACCCTTTATTATCGTTAAACCGCTATAATCTTGATATTTTTTACGAAGGACATTTAATTTTTTTATAGGGGACCTAAAAAATTGAACTGGCAATATTAAAATACTTTGATAATCTGAATTGTCGCTGTCCTTATTAAAGTTTGCTTTCCTTATTATTGTTCAGTCTTGGGTACTTTTTTCTCGACTTTATATTCTTTTATCAAGAAAACCTTTTAAGTACACATATTTTAACAATAAATCCAAGTAATCTGAATTCAACTATCATGATATATATCAATATTATCGAAAATTTTAGACTGTGAAAATGGGGTTACGGAGCACGGTGAAAATTAAGTAATTCTTTAACAATACACTCATTGATGTCTATACTTACATCTCTAACGAATAGCTCTTGAACGAAATAAAATTAAACATTCAAATTTAAATGTGTTATATAATTTCAAATGCCAATTTATAATGTAATACATTCCTTTGTTAAAAATTAATTTCAAAAGACAAATAGTCCTCTTTGAAAAAGAACAAAAACAAAATGTAGTTGTGAAATACTGATGCCCCCGTATGGCAACTTATAGCAAAGGTTAAACTTTCTCAAATGCAAATCAAATATGTTGCTACCCAAAGTAAGGTCTTGTTTCTAGGAATATATCTGTGAAATATGAAAGCCCTAGCAGCAACCATTGAATAGATATGGAAATGGTTAACGTTTTTCAAAAGTATGCCAAACATCAAGGTCAAGGTCAAATGGTATAAATTAATGGTGCCCAAGGAAAGGCCTTCTCCCAAGAAATACACAGGTGAAATATGAAAGCCGAAGCACCAATCTTTCACAAGTTATGACCAAGGTTAAAATTTTCCAAAAGTAGGTCAAACTCCAATGTCAAGGGGTCAAAGTTGTCGGTATCCAAAGTAAGGACTTGTCACAACATATATGAAGTATGAAGGCCCTAGCACCAACCATTCAAAGTTATAACCAAGGTTAAAGTTTTCCAAAAGTAGGTCAAACGTCAAGGTCAAGGGTCAAAGTTATTGGTATTCAAAGAAAGGTCTTGTCACAACAATTACATATGTGAAGTATGAAAGCCCCAGCACCAACCGTTCAAAAGTTATGGCCAAGGATAAAGTTTTTCAAAAGTAGATCAAACTACAAGGTCAAGGTCAAAGGGTCAAAGTTGTTGGTATTCAAAGAAAGGTCTTGTCACAAAGAATTACACATGTGAAATATGAAAGCCCTAGCACAATCCGTTCAAAAGTTATCGCCAAGGTTAAAGTTTTTCAAAAATAGGTCAAACTCCTAGGTCAACGTCAAAAGGTCAAAGTTGTTGATATCCAAAGGAAGGTCTTGTCACAAGGATTACACAGGTGAAGTATGAAAGCCCTAGCACCAATTGTTTAAAAGTTATGGCCAAGGTTAAAGTTTGGTAAAATTTTGCAAAACTGGGTCAAAGTCCAAGGTCAAGGTCAAAAGGTCAAATATGGTGGTACCAAAAGAAAGGTCTTGTCAAAAGGAATACACAAGTCAAATATGAAAGCCATAGCTCCAACCAATCAAAAGTTATGGGCAAGGTTAAAGTTTTTTCCGGACAAACAGACAGACGGACGGACGGACAGGGCAAAAACTATATACCCCCGAATCTTCGATACGGGGGGCATAAAAAAAGTTAAGTTGAAGGACGCAGCGAGTAGCGATATAATTTTGTTTTGCCCTCTTAAACAAACTCTGAAAATGATTGAGGTACCAGGAAATATATCAGAAGTACACTGTACTAGTGAGTTGTGCATTTGTATAATTCGCAGTAAATTAATGCGAAGTTAAATAAATTAAATGCGAATTAAACTAAAGCGTATCAAATTGCGTTCACGTGACAGTTAATGCGAAATCAACAAATGTGCATTATTTAGGGAATAATTGTCTCCTTATTTGTTATATGCGACCGTTAAATCAGTATTAATTAACAAATAAGGAGATAGTTACTTCCATTCTTTATGTTTGATATTTACGTTTAATTTCGTTGAGTTTATTACATATGTAATGGTTTGGGCCGTGGATATCGGCCTAGGTAGTTCAGTCGGTAGAACACCTGACTAGTGATGCAGGGGTCCCGGGCTCGATTCCCGGTTCAGCCATACATTTTCTCTCTTCCTGTTACACATAAAATACGTCTCGAAGAGTTTTGCATTACGTCACAATTTCGTTAATGCTCGTTTTATTAAACACTAGTGTAGTAGCCAATCAAAATGCATTTTACAAAACAGTTGCATTAGAATAAAATTTTATTTGTACATGTACAGCATTTGTTCATTTGCAAATCACGTCACCTTATGCAAAGCAGACATACATCTGACATAATGTCATAGTGTCTCTACACATTTTAGTGGTATATAATTATTTTCCCTTTGTTTTACACTAAATAATAGTATGAATACTTATATCTGATACCAGACTGAAGCTAGCAGCCAATAACAGCAGCCACTACGAGCTTAGTGGCTGATGTTATTGGCTGCAAGCTTCAGTCTGGTATATCTGATCACCAACATGTTGCGTGTGGCTTAGTTTTGCTATTACGCATGTGTCAAAATTCAATTCAAATTAGCGCTCACACGGAGTTAATGCAAAGCAAATTGATGCGTAGTAAATTAATTAGAATTAAACTATCGTAATATGTATTCAATACTCCGTGTGAATGCGGTTCAAATTTACTTCGCAGTAACATGTTTAATTCGAATTAAAGTCTCCGTGTGAACAGGGCATAAGACAAAGATTGAACATGTATTTCCAAGAAGTGCACATAATCGTCTTCTATTGAGTATCGATGACATGTATTCTTGAGCTACATTATAGGTATTGCACTCTAGGTCAATTGCATGATATTTTTTTTGGGGGGGGGGGGGAAATCGTACCTCTTAAGTCCTACATACATGTAAATATTTGTTAAAACCTGTAGTTCTCAGGAATAGAATGCATTTGGGTGAATATTGGGTCTCCTAAATTTGTTGAAATGCTGTCATGATTCCATCTTGAGTTGTGAATAAAATGAGTGTAGACCAATTGTAACATAGAGGATTCGCAATGAAAGACCTTGGAAATATCCGAGAATAAGGTCTTCATGAAAATGCAATAGGTCAAAGTAAAAGTGGGGGAATGTACATGATAAGATTCTCTATTCTTAGGGAAGGATCATTGATCATTTTACTTTTGAAAACATTTATTTTCGATTGAAGTTTTTATTCAAATCGAAAGAATTATAATTTTGCCACAAATAACACAAACGTCAGGCTTTAAATAACTTTTAACAAAAGACACTGAATAAACACCAAGTGTTTACATTAATTAATATCTTTTTTATTTCCAAAAATAATCGTGTCACTGATTTGAGGGTAAAAGATCTGTGGATGAAGACATTTAACCAACAACGCTTCCGGAGGGCGGTGCTGAGATTCGCTTGTAGAAATTGAGGGATTGGTTGGCGCCCTCGGAGAGTGTGTAATACCCACTGTTGTCCACCTTCCAGCAGATAGCCTCCCCCTGTCTCTCGGGACGGTAGGGGAGGGTCTGGGGGTGGTTGTGAATGTGTGCCTCGTAGTTTCCATCCGGTATATACCAATAGTACACGTGGCCATAGGTTTTTAACAGGATCTGAAATTTAGTATATTTAGTATAATTTAGTATCATAATTCAGTATATTTAGTATAATTACATGTAAGTATAATTTAGTATATTTAGTATAATTTAGTATATTTAGTATAATTTAGTAAAATGTCAGACATTTAGAAAATCGAAATATCGACTTTCTTCTTCTTTGTAGTCGACATGTTTGAAAGGAATATTTCTTAAGTGTTTTAGGTCGACATTATCCTGAAATCTAAAGATATTAACCTAGTGATATTCAATTTGTTAAACTTTTTTTCCTTTTTCGAGAAATTTCAATCCTTGTTTTAGAGTGAGTAGTATAGCCTAATCAGTGAGAGTAGTTCAGATCTGAGAATTGTAAAATCTTCTAGTAAGGATGACACACCTCGGTACCAAGGGGGGATATGTCCCCTCCCACTGGACTATTGCTGCTGGCGGTAATTGGGAGGTACACTCCATCATTTACCCAAACATGGTGGTGCTGGTTCCACGCGCTGGACGGCAGGTGGACAAATTTACCGTGGTGCCCTGGGCCCACCTTTGACACTACGTACACCTCTCCTCGAGGGTCGACTAACAGTGTTTCACAATCGTGTTGATCCCAACTGTACATGTAACAAGGAAATCTTTTATGCCTATGTTTTGCTCTGTCTATTAATTCTATTAATATTTAAATTTACTACATAATGTGATTAACATTCACTGACCTGAATTCCAGAGTTCCGTCTAGATTCACGCTCTGGTCATGTATGCTGGCTGGTTCTCGTATTCTATATATAGTATTGGCATCATAGCCCGCATTTCCTCCAGTGTCAGAAATGTAAATACAGTTTCCCGATCCCCCAGTACACGGTCCACAAGCAATGTCCTCCCAATCTTGACTGTGGGCTCCATTGATATAAATAGTAGCGAGCCGACGTCCAGATGTAGCGCTATATATAGATAAAATGGTTTATTGATTGTTCGATCAATTGATTGATTGATTGATTGATTTAATGACTAATCGGTTGATTGATTGATGATTCATTCATTCTTTCATTGACTGATTGATTGACTGAATAAGTGGTTGTTGTATTGGTCAATTGATTTATTAAATAATCAATGGTCAATTGATTTATTAAATAATCAATTGATTTATTCATTCATTGATTAATCAATTGTTTGACTGATTGATTGATTGACTGATAGGGTAAAAATGTTTAATACATGCAAATAAAACAAAATCAGATTCATTCACATTTATTTTGGTGATATGTGCTTTCTGAATGCGCATCCCGTAATTTGAAAATTCTCAATTTTTTCAGGAAATCAAATGTTTCTTTATTTGTTTTATAAATTGTGTACCAATTTTTTTTGCAATTATTTGTATAAATCTTAATATATCTTCATAAATAAGCATCATCTCATAATAATTGTGTGTGTTTTTTTTTTGTTTTTTTGTTTTGTTTTGTTTTTTTTTTTTTTTTTTTTTTTTGAAAGTGTCCTCTACAATATTTTTTGCCATGTCAAGTTACAAATTAATCATTTAAGATTTTGAAATATCATTCAGGAAAAAATCCCTTCTTTCAGAGATTTTTCTCTCAACATTTAGGATATTTTCTTTAATCTAGAGAATTTTAACTTATAAGGAATTCAATAATGTCTACATCTGTTCTTGTATTGTCACTCAAATAAAAAAAAACCCAAAAAATAAAAACAATTAAATTCAAAGAATTATGGTCCCCCGCTTTCGGTGTCCTAGTGGATGGGATGCCATTAGTTATGGCATATTGTAACTGCCTTGTTTGTGTGTCCTGTCTTGTCTGTGCATCATGCAAAAAAGACATAAATTATTGTATTAATAACAGTTATGGCAAGGACTTTAGCTTCTCAAAATGACATCAAACTTCAACATCAAGGTCATGAGGTCAAATATCATTATACAATCCGAAAGGTCTTTCCACAATCAATGCATATGTGAAAAAATATCAAAAACCAGATTATACAATCGGAAAGGTCTTGAAACAGGTCATGCACATGTCAAATACAAATGCCGTACCCTCTCTCAATCAAAAGTTATCAGCAATGTCAATATTTTTGAAAATAAGGTTAAACTTGAAGGTCGAGGTCCTGAGTTAAAAAAAATCATAGTACATTTGGAAATGCTTATCACAGGTAATGCACGTGGCAAATATGAATGCCCTATCTTCGCTCCTTCAAAAGTTAGCAAACTGATAAATTTGTTTGAAAATTATATCAATCTTGAAGGTCAATGTCATGGGGTCAAATATCATAGCACATTCGGAAACATTTTTACACACGAAGTGCACTTGTCAAATATGACCGCCCTATCATATGTCATTCAAAAGGTCAAGGGGTAAAAAAATCATAGCAAGCTCGGAAACATCTTGTCACAGGTAATGCGCATGTCATCAAATATGAAAGCCCTATCTTTTCTCAATCAAAAGTTATGAGCAAAGATAAAATTTTTGAAAAGTAGGTCAAACTTCTAGGTCAAAAACCATAGTTTATTTGAAAAGGTCTTGTCACAGGTGATGTACATTTGTTATATGAAATCCCTATCTTTTCTCCTTAAAATTTTATGATCAATTTTATGAGTAATGTTAAAAATATTTGAAAAGTGGACGAAACTTCAAGGTCAAGGTCACAGGGTAAAAAATGATAGTATATTTACAAAGATCCTGTCATAGCATATGTCAAGTATGAAAGCCCTATCTCTTCTCAATCAAAAGTTATAAGCAAAGATAATATTTTTGAAAAATAGGTCAAACTTCAAGTCAAGGTCACGGGGTCAAACTTCATAGTCTATTTGGAAAGCTCTTGTCACAGATTATATACACGTGTAATATGAAAGCCCTATCTTTTCTCATTCAAAATATATGACCAATTTAAAATAATGTTAAAATTTTTGAAAAGTAGGTCAAACTTAAAGGTCAAGGTCACAGGGTCAAAAATCATTGTATAAATGGAAAGATCTTGTCACAGGTAATATACATGTGAAATATGAAAGCCCTATCTCTTTTCGTTCAAAAGTTATGACCAAGGTTAAAGTTTTTTGTGACAGACAGACTGAAAGAAGGACAGACTGACAGACAGACAAATGAGATTTAATGTCCTCCCCTCGCTTTCGCAAAAGCGAGGGACAAAAAAAGAGAACATAATTAATATTCATCCATTGAGTCCAAATCAGACCCTTACAAAGTAATTTCATTTCGGAAGGGGGACTTTTCAAATATTCTTGACAAACAAAAATGTAAGGTCATCAAGTTTTTGAGGGGGCACAAAAGTATATTGCATTATTTAAGGAGGCAGTTTTGTTTTCCAGGCACGTAGAACGCAGGGGGACCAGGGGTCCCGCCGCCCCTTTTTCTGAGTACAGAATTTTGCAATAATTTTTTTCCTTTAGATGCTGATCCCCCGCCCCCACTTTTTGTTGCTCCAAGGTCGAGCACAAGCAAATTCCAGGATTTGGACAGTTAACTATTTTTTTTTGGGGGGGGTTGGTTGGGGGGGGAAGTTGGTTTCCCACTTTTTGGTCTGGTTTTTTTTTTTTTTTTTTTTTTTTTTTTTTTTTTTTTTTTTTTTTTGCTTCTCAGATGTGTTGGAAAGGTCCCCAACTTTTGAAACCGTTGCTACGGGCCTGTTTTCTTTGGCAAAGATTAAGCGTGCATGCCCCCTTTCCCCGGGTACCTAAGGCCTGCAAATTTTACGAGTCTTAATTATTAAGCTTACTTCAAAACTCTACCTTATGGCAAAGATCCGATGTGTACCACCCGAGTCATTATGTGTGTAGAGTACGTCATGATGTGTTCTGCTCGCGCATATACCGGAAGCTTCTGTGATAGAGTGACTTGTTACTGTTCCAACATGGTGACCGCTCTCAAACTGGGCAGCTATTGCAAAAGAATTTGATAAAATCAGAGACAAAATGCATATAATTTTAAACTTCGAGGGATGTTTCATTCATATTTTTAGCAAACTACATGACAATATTGCATATAAGATTGTTTACAAAAAATCCCCTGAGTTAAGAATATTTAAATGATCAAATATAGATCACCCTGTGACTTGTTAGAACAATCGTCTAGATAGTACTCCCATTACTGTTACTTATCTTGCACAGAGCATGTGTAATCAGACCATGTCTAATCTATTTAACTTAATATTCTACATAATATAAGAGAATGTTGTAGGAGTTTAACTTCAGCAAAAAATTCAGATTAATGTTGAGAAAATGGATGACTTGCATAAGTCCACTGGCGGATTTAGAGGGAGGGATTCCCTTTCTTTACCCAAATTAAGGAAGATGAATATAAATCTTTATATTTTGGTTGCCAGATATTGCTTTTATATACATATAAAGAAAGCTAAAATAACTCACAAATCTTTTTTTTAGGAAACTTTCAACCTGGAGCTTTCAAGGGCTTCGCCCCTGGACCCCCACCAAGGCTTTGACCACATTCGGCCTGTTGCCCCCCCCCCCTTCAAGAATCCTGGATCAGCCACTGAATTATATTGTGTATGTTTGTTTAGGACGACATTTTTCAGAGAGATACCCAAAACGTCATATCCGATTCCAAGCATGACAAACCCCCCCCCCCTCCCCAATTGGTAATATTTTGCGAAAAACTTAATGGAATTTACAGATTTATGCGTATTTTCTGGAGACCGCCCCGAAACAAACAAAAAAAATCTCATAATAATAATTAATAATAATTAACAACAATTAATAATAATTAACAACAAAGTAATTCTTGTCTTCTTCATGGATGATATGCAAAATGTGTGTCTTGTATAAAAAAAAAAAACAAAAAATTTAACCGTTTCTAGAAATTGAATTTACAAAAGCTGTGTATGAATCATTGTCCATCGATGTTGATTTAATAAGATTTTGGGAAAAGGGGGCAGGAGATTGAGGGTAATCTCGTGGTGTATGTCCCAAGAGGAATAACTATGTTTCTGTTTTCTTACCTTTAATTAGCGGGCAAAAAACCAGGACACAGACCACCAGAAAGAGGTCCATTATATGTCTATCAGAGAGAATCCTATAAAAGAGAAGATTATCACTACTTCTGAGATATTTATTGACCATTTTAGGTTGACCTCATTTATGTAACTGATAGCGATCAGTGTGAGAAAAGAAATGTGATCTAGATAAAAATCGTCTTGATTTATAATAGTCAATATAATGAATATACCCTTTCGTCTGTGGAAAAAGAGAGAGAGAGAGAGTCTAGACTCATTTATCCGAACACTTGATGTGTTTCTGGGCAAATCGTCCACATTATTGAAGCGACTGGATTACCTTAATTTTATAAATTGAATTATGATTTATAAATTTAAAAAATAAATATAAATTCTTATCCACAAAAAACCGTTTGGGAGTTGCAGCGTCCGGAATATTGGCATTTGTACATTTTATATCGTTTTGACGACAACTAGGTCACAAAAACCTGTCAGTTATCTAGCCTTACTAGAGAGAAAAAGTTGAGTGAGTGTGTGAGAAATTTTTATATTCCTTATTTTCTTTTCTCGAACAATATTATTCAATGAACTTAGAAATTTCCAATCGTCTCGGCCAGAGTATTTTGTTCATTTTGAAAATGACAAAGTATGTGTGACGTCGGCCTAGCTTGAATTTTTGTCATGATTCCATTTTAAGGTCACCATATTTGTTTCAACTTTGGTCTCGAAAGAGCTTGTGATTTAGTTCATTTTTTCTTAAATAAAAACAGCTTTTTCACATGTTGCTGTGATAGTCTTTCTTGGGGGAGAGGAGGGGAAGTTCTCGATGTTAAATAACATGATCTACATGATCATGATGAATAACGTGTCTACAATTACACCCTCCCACCCCACCTATCCCCCCAACTCCCCCCCCCCCAAAAAAAAAAAAACAAACAAGAAGACTGATGACCAGTAGACAAAGAAAAACCTAAGTCAGATTTTTTTTGTTCAATATTTCGATATTTCTTCATACGTATCGATATGCGTATCATCCTCACATTGAATCGATATTATCGATATCTCGATATATTGTCCCAACCTTAGTTCACCCCCTGTCCTAACTATATATCATAAGCACATCTAAAAACATGTGCAATTCTACATGTAGTAACACAAAGGTAGATACATTTACAACATGATTATACTCTTACCTTCAAAGAGTAAAGCTCTCTCTCTCTCTCTCTCTCTCTCATTAAAACAAACCTTTGGTATTAAAAGCAGGACATGTGTATTCTTGGCAGAAATAATTGTGCACCGTATCAAATTTGCTGTTGGTACGTCAATTTCACGTATCTCGAAAACATATGTCCATACAGGACAAATACAAATACACAAACAAATCAAACTTACTTATACTTAATCTAGTCGTCAATCGATGGTTGATAATAAGAACATGACAAAGTTTATATGCTTGTTTTAACAGGTGTTGCAGTTTTTCCCCTCGAATTGATTTTCTTTCACAACACTGTTCCAACTTGAAAAAAAATTGTTTCCGCCCCGTATATTTAGTATGGTGGGTGAGGATGATTTTTTCAACTCCCCTTTCTTCAGTATGGTTGGTGGGGATGATTTTTTAACCTCACCTTTCTTCAGTATGGTGGGTGGGGATGACCTATCACCTCTCCTATCGCCAGTATGGTGGGTGGGGATGATTTGTTCACCTCCCATATCTTCAATATGGTGGGTGGGGAGGATTTGTTCACCTCCCCTAACTTCAGCATGGTGGGTGGGGTGATTTGTTCCCTTCCCTTATCTTCAGTATGGTGGGTGGGGATGATTTGTTCACCTCCTCTATCTTCAGTATGGTGGGTGGGGGATTTGTTCACCTGCCTTATCTTCAGTATGGTGGATGGGGATGGGGATGGGGATGATTTGTTCCCCTCCCATATCTTCATCATGGTAGATGGGAATGACTTGTTCCCCTCCCCTATCTTCAGCATGGTAGGTGGGGGTGATTTGTTCCCCTCCAATATCTTCCGCATGGTGGATGGGGATGTTCTGGCTTCTATGCAACCTACGTATTGCAAAGTACCTGTTGATCGTCGAAGTTTACACCTGCTATGCAGGTTCCTTTTATGTTTCCAGCGTAACTGCTCCCACTTATGTTTCCAGTGTAACAGCTCACATACAAGGAACTATTTATTGCCACCGAAAAACAAGATGTGTTTGTGAAACACTGATGCCCCCGTATGGCAATTTACAGCAAAGGTTAAACTTTCTCAAATGCAAATTAAATATGTTGGTACCCAAAGTAAGGTCTTGTCTCGAGGAATATACCTGTGAAATATGAAAGCCCTAGCAGCAACCATTGAATAGATAAAGAAAAGGTTAAAGTTTTTCAAAAGTAAGTCAAACATCAAGGTCAAGGTCAAATGGTCAAAATTAATGGTGCCTTAGGAAAGGCCTTCTCACAAGAAATATACAGGTGAAATATGAAAACTGAAGCACCAATCGTTCAAAAGTTATGACCAAGGTTTAAGTTTTTCAAAAGAAGGTCAAACTCCAAGGTCAAGGTCAATGGAATGCAATTGTAAGTATCCAAAAGAAAGGTCTTGTCACAATATGTGAAATATGAAAGCCCTAGCACCAACGGTTCAAAAGTTATGGCCAAGGTTAAAGTTTTTCAAAAGTAGGTCAAACTCCAAGGTCAAAGGGTCAAAGTCGTTGGTATTCAAAGAAAGGTCTTGTCACAAGAATTACGTATGTGAACTGTGAAAGCTGAAGTACCAATCGTTTAAAAGTTATGGCCAAAGTTAAAGTTTTTCAAAAGTAGGTCAAACTCCAAGGTCAAGGTCAAAGGGTCAAAGTTGTGGTATCCGAAGGAAGGACTTGTCACAAGGACTACACATGTGAAGTATAAAAGCCTTAGCACCAATTGTTCAAAAGTTATGGCCAATGTTAAAGTTGGATAAAATTTTGCAAAACTGGGTCAAACTCCAAGGTCAAAAGGTCAAATATGGTGGTACCCAAAGAAAGGTCTTGTCACAAGGAATACACATGTGAAATATGAAAGCCATAGCTCCAACCAGTCGAAAGTTATGGGCAATGTTAAAGTTTTTGCGGACAAACAGACAAACGGACGGACAGGACAAAAACTATATACCCCCGAATCTTCGATACGGGGGCATAAAAACTACTAAAAATTAAAAAGAAAATGTCATTTGAAATACAATATCTTAGACTAATTATTCATGCTTATATTGCGAACTAGACAGCACGCGGGAAGAAATGATCAACACTCCAAAACTTCGCGTTTTCTTTTCTCTACTTGCATGAAATAATATAAAATAATTCAAACGTCTATGTGAAATGTTATGAATATTGATGAGCTAGCAACCAATGAGAGATTAGGTCACCATTTGATAGACGCTAATTATGTAACGTCGAGAATACCACGCCTTAATTACTGAAAGTCTAAGAATAACAGGGATTTGTACTACTTACCATATGAAATGACGCTGCTTTAACAGGTTCCCTTGGCGGAAGAAGGCGATTTTGATACATTTGACAGTTTTCGCTGTACGAAAGCATTTCAATTTTTACATTAACAGGATTAAGGCGTTTTTAGTCAGCTTTTTTTAAAAAAAAATCAAGACTTTACCTGCCATTGTTAGGCAAAATTATTTCTAGAAATTATATGCAAGCAAATTGTATTGTGGGTGCGCTTTTCGCATGAATTCATTGAAATTCTGCAGATAAAAAAAACATATTAAAGAATGTACAGCTCTATCATTAAGATATGCCTCATAGATATGCCTCATAGAGCAAGTCACGTTTTTGCACTTTTTCATTACATAAACATTTTTGTTATATTATATGAATTGCACATTGTTGCGCATAAAGATTTACGATATTTCATCTGCCGCTTCAATATTTATAAAACGTCTTTTGGCGAAATTTTGGATCAAATTGGAGAAGAAATGACTGTTTTATCGCTAAATATAGATGATCAGTGCGTTAAAATCAAAAGAATGGCAACGTCATTGATCGTCTTGGAGCTGTTTAAAAATCATCTGTGCAAACAAGGAAATGTCCCAAAAGAGACTAAAATGGACATTGGTTGTAGATGCTGCTGGGAATGGCCTACAAGTGTTAAGAACCAGTGTCCAAATGGTAGCAGCTTTTTCTGGATGGAAGGATTGACATTTTTGATGATCAACTCCTTCGATACCCAGCTTATTGCATAGATATTGCTCCTATGGATTTTGCATTATTTCCATATTTGAACGCTCAACTGCGTAGAATGTGGGAATTTAGGATCTCACCAATATCCAATAAGTCACAAAAGGCATTTTAGAGAAAAAAGGAACAGGGCTTGCTGAAAGATATTGAAAATTGTGAAAAAGATTGGCAGATTTGGAATCAGGTTGTCACATCATCTAACGCCAAGAAACTTCAAGAGGTTGCTCCGTCAATCCTACGACCACTGTTCACTAGTATTTTCAAACTTAGAGGAAATGGTTCTGATTTTTTTGTATACTTATTAATAAAAGATAAACAAAATTAATGAAATAAAAATCAGTCTTGAAAGTATACATTAAATTTACCTTAAATCACTGTATCCGCGCACTTTTCTAACAACCACTGTATATATTAATAATATAAACAGCCATTCTGAAAAGCGCTAAAATCACAAATCTACCCTACCCTAACTGTTTGAAAAATCAGTTTCCCCATAATACCGTAAGAGCTAAATGAATAACAATAGTGTATTTATAGTAATGTGTAAGTAAAGAAAAGTTTGTGATTTGGTTATTTTTGACACGGTGGTTCTTCATATTTACAATAACTGTCTGAAATAAAATCATTGATTGGAAATACTTTACACCTTTTATAGACCCTAATGAGAATTCTTTGTTGTTGTAGCCACTTTTTCTAAAGATTATATAAAGAAAAAGGGCAGGAAAATCTTTAATTAGACCTTAAACGCAAGAATTCTGCATATCTGAGATTCTAATATACATGTTGATTCATAATAATATTGTATTAAACCACGGAGAAGTCCCTTCTTATCTTACTGAATATTTTTTTTTACTTCCGTCTAATTTAGCAGTTTTCATACTAAATCAGCCTGAAATGCAGATTTTCTAAGCAAAAACAATATCTGAATTAATTATTTTATTTTAACAGAGTCAAAGACTGGAATATGCATGTTACCCAGAGAAATTACCGTAGCGGGTAAATTCTTTAGTGGGTGTAAAATTTGGCGATTTGATTGTTCAAAGGTATGTCAATGACTTAAGCGGATTTTTTTTTTTTTTTTTTTTTTTTTTTTTTTTTTTTTTTTTTTTTTTTTTGCGGATACAGAGTTCCATGAAATTTTAAAAGAGAGGTGTTTATCTTCAGTTGAGTTTTCAGTAATATACGTTTGAATACCGATTTACGCAAGAGTTTGAGTAAAAACTAATGACAGATACAATGTTTATCAACACAAGTTATTTTTGTTGTCTGCAGTTCTCAAAAGCAAAGTTGCAAATTTAGCGATTAAAATTTTAGCGGTCTACTAACAAACCGCTACAATAAGCAAAAGTTAGCCATAAATAAGCAAAGGTTAGCAAAAAAAAAAAAAAAAAAAAAAAAAATCCCGCTATACGGTAAAATGTTTTAAATACTGGAAATAGGCTTACTTTTAAAAGAAATGTCAGGAAATTCTTTTTAGATACGGGAATTGCCCAGCATAAAAGCCATGTCAAGTTTTATTAATCTTAAATTTTGTTTCAGTTGATAATGTTGTATATTCAAGAGAAGACTCAAGTTGGTAAATGCATACAACAAAACATTTTTTTTTATGATCACTGTGTTGTCAACTTGATCCTACTTCTTTATGATTATATTTTTAATTAATATCTAGTCTATAACTATAAGTACCCTATTGGAATAAGCTCCGTGAATATTGTATACCTTGGGTAGCTAAATCATCGTTTTGTCCTAAAACAGGAACGATTGTATATTGTATATTGTAATAGTTGTATAATAATGTAATAATAAACGCGATTTGTATATAACGTTTTGCCTTGTTAATACCTTTTCCGTTATAAGAGAGGATAAATATTTAAAACTACCCTAAAGAAGATGGGCGAACAAGGCGAGCAAAATGCCTATTGCGCGACAAGTTAGAAAGTAAAATAAAACCTCAATATGACTAAATTTTCTTTGATGTTTCATTTAACATTAAGGTATACTTTATGGAAAATTTCCACACTTTGCAAAAATTTCACAAAGATTGAAATTATTCGTCTATGAAATAGCATACACATACCAAAGAAGGCACATATGATCATTTTTTATACTGTCACAATTTTTTCTATATGAGTGGATCTTCGCTCCTTTTTGTGAAAGATTATACCCGAAGTACGAACAAAAATATTCAAATTTCGGTTAACAAAAACATGGAGTAAAGACCAACTCTGCCTTAAATATACACTTTTATGACACAATGGACTTTTATAACACAATGGAGCAAATACCCACAAAAATAGCCTCAAAAAAAATTATGACACAACGTTCGTATCTTTTCGAGAAGCATTTAAATATGTCCATTCAGTTAAAGGTCATATCACAAACATGAATTAAATGTCACTATCCGTCATGAGTTGTGTAGCAGAGTGATTAGCCTGTTAGTCTCTAATGAAAAAAAAGATAATCAGGATTTTTATTGCTTGGGTTCGAACCACAAGAATAATAGCACTTGTTTAAATCATAGAATGATTTTTGCTGAAAGATTTTCCGCAGAAAAGTTTGTCATAATTTCATACCTTTCGATAATAAGAAATGCTAAATTCACAAAATTTGAATATGACTTTTATATACATGTAATTGAAGCTATAGACATTTTGCAGGCCTTGTTCGCCCATCTCCTTTTACAAGTAGAGAATAAATTCATATTACCGTCAATCTGAACATTGGATATGATTAATAGCAAACATTTCAAAATTTAATTTTTGTTTTATTTACATGTGTGTGTTGGAGAATACATGTCAAATAAATAATTATAACTTTTGCCCTCACTAGATATGGACATTGGATTGTAAAAACGAAAATTTCCAATGTCAGTTATATTTATAAAACAAGAGGCCCATGGGCCACAACGCTCACCTCAGTCAATATGGCCCTGTTGTTCTTCGTCAGCAGATTTTCCTCCTATATATTCATATGTGAAGCTTTGATCGCCTGTCACCAAACTTGAGTCTATACTACCTGAGGATGCTTCCATATCAATATGACTCATCATGGCTTTGTTGTTCTTGAGAAGAAATTTTTTTAAAGATACTACCTATATATGTTCTTTTGTAAAACTTTGATCCCCCATTATGGCCCCACCCTACTACTGGAGGATGCCTTAAACAAACTTGAATCTACAATATCTGGATATTTCCATATCAATATGACTAATCATGGCTTTCCTGTTCTTGAAAAGATTTTTAGAGATTTTTCCTACATATTCCTATGTAAAACTTTGATCCCCCATTGTGGCCTCACCCTTCCCTCAGGGGTCATGATTTGAAAAAAAAAATTTGAATCTACACTACCTAAGGATGATTCCATATTCAATATGACTAATCGTTGCTTTATCGTTCTGAAGAAAAAGATTTTAAAGATTTTTTTCTATATATTCCTATGTAAAACTTTGATCACCCATTGTGGCCCAATCCTACCCCCGGGGGTCATGATTTGAACAAACTTGAATCTACACTACCTGAGGATGATTCAAAATCAATATGACTAATTGTGGCTTTGTTGTTCTTGAGAAGAAGATTTTTTAAGATTTTTACTATATATTCCTATGTAAAACTTTGATTCCCCATTGTGGCCCCACCATACACCTGGGGGTCTTGATTTGAACAACTTGAATCTACACTATGTAATGAAGGTTTCACATAAGTTTCAACTTTTCTGGCCCAACGGTTCTTGAGAAGAAGATTTTTAAAAGATGACACCAAATTTTCACCAATTCTTAATTATCTCCCCTTGGAAGTAGGCGTGGCCCTTCATTTGAACAAACTTGAACCCCCTTCACCCAAGGATGCTTTGAGGCAAGTTTGATTGAAATTGGCCCAGTGGTTCTGGAGAAGAAGTCGAAAATGTGAAAAGTTTACAGATGGACGGACACAAAGACAGCTAGACGGACTACAGACAAAATGTGATCAGAAAAGCTCACTTGAGCTTTCAGCTCAGTTGAGCTAAAAAAATGTGCGCACACTAATCCATCAAATCCAAGACAGACCATATATAACAAAAGCATCAAGGACATTTGGAAAGACATCTGGTCAAACATAACAAAAACAACAAAAACATTTTTCTTTATCTTGACTTGTAGAAAGCAAAAGCACCAGTAATTGTAAGGTGTAGGAAGAAAAGCCATCCCACAATTCTATCCAGACACAAGTGATCGGAAGTCCACAAATTATTAGTAAGAATACAAAGTCCGGATATTATTAGAAGGAAGAATAATAAATAGAGTCCTATTCGAATGACGGAGTACAACTTCCGGCATTTGGAGGTTCCGGCAAACCGTCGTTCTCTTTCCTGTTCCAAGAAAATTGCCTTTTCCTTGACAAACTTCAGGTCTCCAAACCGTAAAAAGTGGTACCCAAAGTACTGCCAGACTTTTCCTGCTTCAAAACTGGGGATCTGTGTTCGGATTGTTTTATCTAGGGCTGATTTTCGGACAACCTCTAGCCCTTTCTTATATTTGGTAAAACATGTAAATAACTCCAAGCTGACGTCATCTTCCTGGAGATCCTCTAAGAAGCCACACCCCTTCCTTGCCTGGTTGTGAAGAAGCTCTAGTTCTTTGATGTAGCTGTCAATATCTTGGAGGACTTTGCCGGTGGTATCTCGGACTTTTTCTATTTTTAGTTCCGCCATTTTGTCCATTTCAATTGCAAGTTCCCGGGCTCGTAAACGAATTGACGTCATCGTGCTATCAGATTTCTCTTGTATTTTAGTTCGAAGATTGCGTAGCTCTACTAGAGAATCTTGAGTTAACTTGACCTCAGTCTTCAAATCGTCAAGGTCAAATTGGAGTGCTTTTTGCGAAGCCATTAATTTTTTTATTAAAGGCATAGTTTCGTGTTTTTTGTGTGTTTCACAAACACATGTGACGCAGACTGCTACTTCGCACGTGCTACAGAACATCTGCAGTGCTTCCCCTGAATGGTTCTCACAACCTTTTTCTGACGCCATATATGACGTAATATTCCCGGTCTCTATGCGCATGATTGTAACATCCCTTCCAGCATCGTGTTTAAAAAGCCTATGCTCGTGAATGCAAAATCGGCATATATCAAGGTCACAGTCTACACACCTGTATTGCGAAATAAGCCAATCTCGTTCGCAAATATCGCAGATTCCAAAATAAGGACGCGACCCAAGTTCGTCCTGAATGCAGTTGACGTAGAAATTGGGAGGAAAATCTTTGACGCCCCCACGCGGCACACAGATATCAGAACGACACTGTGGACATCGAAATAAACGCCCTGATGACGAAGAATGTCTGACATAGTCGAGTAGACAATTCAAACACACCGTGTGATGGCAGGGTAGTATTCGCGGGTCTTTGTATTCGTCCATGCATATTGGGCACTGCAGGATCCGCTCCCGAAGACGCTCGATCTTATCGTCCTCCATTTCAGTCCTAAAATAAAAACATGTTTATATATACAACGTTTGCAATTAAATTTTATCATTATTCCATTTTGATTATCTTTTATACATATATAGTTATATTTATCTTACACATGAGGGACTTAGTGTTGGCTGATCACATGCAGTGGTTGACTAACTTATTCTTGTATCAAAACTAGCCATATTGTAAAACATTGTATATAAGTAAACCTTCCTATAAAGTGATACAAAATGTCGTGATCTATATATATGGTTCGTTTTTTTTACAAGCCCGTAGGAACCCGTGCCCCCCCCCCCCAAAAAAAAAAACCGGTTTACTCTGATCATCTCTGAAGACTTTTTTTGCTTGTCAAGGAATGTTTGTTTGTTTGGGTAACTGAAAACGCTTCATCCCCCCCCCCCCCCAATCTGAAATTGCTTCCTACGGACTTGTCTTACCTGTTTCAAGAATGTACTTAATATAAGCATATATCAATTAATCGATTTGAAATGAACACAGACATTTAACTCAACTAATGGTGTATTATTTACCTTTCTATTTTGGTAATTTAAGCAACCTAGACCTCGCAATAATATTTCTACTACATGTACTTATCATAGATTAAATCCCCTCGGCCCCCGTTTCTGATCCCGTCAACTTTCAAGCCAGAATACACGGTGGCTGGGATGGGATTTATTATTTTAAATTTTTGTCATTACTTTTTTTTTTTAAACTAAAAATAAACTTTGATACCAGATATATATATATATATATATATATATATATATATATATATATATATATATATATATATATATATATATATATATATATATATATATATATGGTATCAAAGTTTATTTTCAGTTTTAAAAAAAAGTAATGACAAAAATATACATATATATATATATATATATATATATATATATATATATATATATATATATATATATATATATATATATATATATATATATATGGGTTTGCTCCAAGATGGATAAAACTATATAAGCTACATGTACATGTAGGTAGCATCGATCCAGGATATCCATATACACCTGTAATACCTGTATATCGGTTGATCTAACATGAAAAATAGGTAGATTTGATCCATATTCCTTGTATCTAACATGCGAGGATCTAGAGGGGGGGGGGGAGGGGAGTCCGGACCCCCTGGAATTTGCAGAGGTATTAAAAGTATATACTGAAGCAAATAAAAAAAATGACTTTGGACCCCCCCCCCCCCCCGAAAACGTGGACCCCACCATCACCACCACGAAATACAGTGTAGGTGTTTTTCACGTTTGGGAAACGATTTTGTGTTTTTTGATTGATTGATTGATTGATTGATTGATTTTTATATATATATATATATATATATATATATATATATATATATATATATATATATATATATATATATATATATATATATATTTTTTTTTTTTTTTTTTTTTTTTTTTTTTTTTTTTTTTGCTTGTCAAGGAATCTGGGTTGGAAATTTTTTTTGACTGGGTGGAATCCCCCCCCCCCCCCCGGAAAAAAATTCCTGGATCCGCGCCTGTATAAGCTTGGCAAGTTTAATCCATGCTTCACGGCAGTGGCGAATTTAGGAAGGGTGTATCGATCCCTCGACCACACCTAGATCCAACTGGAAATGCCTTTGGTATTGGTATTTCGGCAAGGAATTCCCCATCTTACCCATACTTTTGATTGAAATTATAGTATTGAGAATACTGTTACACTGATCAAAAACTAAGCTAAATGTAAGCTCCACTCGTGTTCCTTTAGGGATAATATAATGCAGCAACTCGCCCTATCGATCTCATTTCCTTAACATGTCTCATGTACTTTATTTTTTTTTTATCTACTACACTGCACCAAGTAACAATTTACCTACTTCTATATACTACCACAATCGTGGGGGTGGGGATGATAGATCTTTGAAAAGGGGGGAGGGGTAGTAGAGAGAGGGAGAGATGAGGCCCAGTGCTGTTAGGCAAATACTCAAATAAGCTAAGATGAAGAGAACCCTCAAGTGCTTTGTTGACATATGCATGGTTGATTTACTTATTCTTTGGAATAATTCAATATCTATAATTCGATTGTATGCAACACAACTCCACTTGGGATCCGCATGACCCAAATCACGACGTGAATTCATTAAAGTGTCATTTTAAAAATCCGCACTGAAGAAAACATGACATACAATGTAGCTTATACATGTTATAAATAAATGTCGTTATACTCAGATTGTGTATTTATATATATTATTGTTAAAAACATACCTGCCCTTTCCCTGACTAGCGATCAAGAGGTGATCGATACATTAGTGATGCCGTAAGAATAACCACAGCCAACATCTGATTTCAAACATATTCACCATGTTCACATATATTCCTTTGTTCAGCGGTATCGGCGACTGAATTTAGATTTTGTAAAATCCATCTCTTGTGTAATGATTAATTGGGGATCTGGTAATCATTTGGCGCGCAGTGAAGATTTGTAATGAGTCATGAAAAATGTATATATTTAAGTTCTTTTACCGTTCCCTTGCCGTGGGAGACGTTAAATTTTCTTGGGGGTACCGCACAGGGGGCCCGTGTTGTTCCATAAAATTAAAGGGAAAAAATGAAAGGAATTAATGCTCTGTTAACATGATTAATTCATTATTGTTACTTTTAAGAAACGATTATTTTTTGAGCGAATAATTTTTCCCTCATATTTCATAAAAATTATGTTTCATTGTTATTTTACACAGCAATAAAATAGTTAATCTAGAGACTCGGATATCAAAAGACTCAACTGCATGAATTGTAATCATGCTAAGCAGACTCACTGCTTAGAGAAACTAAGAAATGGAACGCTGTATTTTCAAAAGTAAAACTATACCTCTTCGATCCAAAACACAACTTACAAAATATTACATATGTACAAAAAAGTTTTTGGCCATATTCTAATAATAATTATTCATGTATTGTATCAGAACAAAATTTATGACAAGGAGATTGTAAACACACATATGTTTGGAAGTAAATAATTTGTTTTCTTCGATATATCCCGAAGGGAACCTGTTTTTCTCTTTAAGATTTTTTTTTATCTTCCCAAACAGAAGATTGTTCGAAGGGAAACAACTCTAAAGTTGTTTTGCACGAAACCGACTGCCCGACAGGAGACGGTGCAGGCTATGTGGATGTTTTAAATTAATCTTATCAGGTAACATTTTCAACAGCAAAGAAAATAAAACTGTACTTGTAACTTGTCTTAAGTGCTGACAGTGTGCATGTTGTTATCTAGAAATTTGTTTTAAGTGGTGACAGCGTGCATGTTGTTTGGCACACTACCAGAATTTCCTCTGGTATTTATCAACTACTCTGTGCCTTAGTATTTACGTGTTACAGGTATGTAATGGATGATATGATCCTTTAACTAGTCTAATGCATATTCAAGTATTATGTTTAAGAGTATAGAATACTTATCAATAACCATGAAAACATGCCAGTTTTACAATTTCGTTTAAGTCTATAACCTCTCTCCTACCTCCTACTTCTATATTTTGTTAGATAATAAGTTTTACAGTGTGACTGTTGGGGCGAGCGCAGTTGCACCATCAAAAACTTTACACAGCTTACACTTCTAACTTTGATCCGCCTCTTCAAACAGACTGTGATGTCGCGTGATGTTTTGTAAGTTGCATCAGGGACCATAGGTCCCTGGTTACATTTCCAAAACAATAGGACTAGTGCAATTTTTTTTAAACAAAAGGCATTGTGCTCTTTCAACTTAGATATCTGACAACTGACAAACAAACCTGTCTGATGGCCACAAATCATTTACAAACTGTACATACACAACAGTAAACAGTGCAATTAATGATTTCTGTAATCGTGGTAACAGATTTATATTAAAAATTATAAGCATTAAATAAATTTACAGTCTTTATTTTTGCAGATGAAAGAAATTTCCTTACATGTCATTATATAAATTTCGGAAGAGGGGACATGGCTTTACAAAAGCATGTTTGATTTTTGAAGAAGAATGTCATTAAATACAACTAAACATGGCCATTTCTCAGAAGGATATATCCCAGACTGCAACAGGAATGTTGCCATGGATACTTTGGTGTATTCTTGGAAATATAGACAATGTTTTCGCTTCCTATGGAGACAGATCCTATATTTATCAAAAGTGTCTACAAAATTGTCAGATTGAAAATTGTACAGGATCAGCATCTATTGCTCGCTTCAAAGAAAATCAGCCTTGGTTTGAAGAAAAATTATACTGGAGCTGTGAAGATGACTGTCAATATCACTGCATGTGGAAAACTGTAGAGGCATTCCGAAAAGATAACATAGCAGTTCCACAGTTCTATGGAAAGGTTAGAATATTTAATGCATACGAAATTAATCACGTAAAAGGAAAATATGCAAAGATTAATTTACTGGGTTTTTTATGCTTGTTGATTTTCAATAGATTTTTTGAATTTCAGTGAGCAAAATTTTTAAACTTATCAAAGAATGAAAGACAGAAAAAGTAACTACCTTAATTGCATTGAGCATGATTGAGATTATTAATAAAGTTTTCTTGATATGGCCAAGATAAATAAATAGCGTGTTTCCTATTCCAACCCGAGAAAAAATAGGGTAGGTGGGTAGGGGAAAACATTTTATTTTATTTTAACATTTTAGTAGTTAAAAATAAACTTTGACAATAAACAAAATGAGAAAAACAAAGAGTTTATTTCTTTTTCCAAAAAGGAAGGCTTACTAATGGCATTTCTGTTTAATGTGTATAGGATATGCATTTTTTCAAACACCGTAGTCATTGAGATTAGGATTTCTAATAGTGAAGATGGAATTGTTTACTTCTGGAAAGATATCGGCGGATAAATTTTTCAGGGTCAGATCATATATTTTAGGGTCGGTTGGGGAACCGGAAACACACAATTTATTCATGTAGGCCTAAGGTGAAACTTATGAGAACAAAGGCAAAAGTTGCTACCTATAGGCTCTGTGGGCATATATTCTTGTACAATATTTTTTTTCTCTGATTTAGTGGCCATTTATACGAGTTTTTGGAATACAAGAGCCAGCCTCCGTCGTCTTTTCTATTCTGAATGGCCTGTGTCATTTCCGCATACTTACCTACAGGAAGGTGGTGCCTAGCACCACAGCTCTGTATTATGTCTGGCATATAGTGGCATTGGTAAGTATCTGAATAATGCAAGTAAGTTGTTACAAGTTCAGGGTTGTCCCTAAGACCCGGGCATTTTCCCCACCTATAATGACATAATCCCCCAGTTATTCTGGTGTTCCCCCTCAACCCCCTGTTAGGGGAGGAACCTCAGACATATATATCTAGTTACAGATAAAAAGTCTTCATTTACTTGCTGTAATGGAATGATTTTAAGAAAATTTAAATACATAGTCAAAGAGAACACATTTTAAGATAGAAGGATTCAGATTCTATGCCTTGTCATGGTGCAGTAACACATCTGCTTTATTGAAAACTACTGATTCATAATCAGGTAGAAGCAGGTTTCACACTTTTTTTTTCAAAATGAAATTTTTTCAGAATTCTGTTAGTAATGTTTCTGTTCTCTCCAGATAGGTCTTCATGCGTGGATGTGGTCAACTATTTTCCACACTAGAGATTTTCCACTCACAGAGGTGAGTAGTAATAACTCATATTTACTCAGCAGATCTGGTAAAATGGCATCCTCAGAACTTCATGGGTCCTGTATCTACTCATTGCTGTGGGACCCTTGACAAACTTCATTTGTTTTTTTCGGGCTTTAAATTGCTTTTCTCAATGAGAAGCACCAATCAAATTGAAGGAATGAGTACACCCCAAATGTTATGCACTGTTTTATCACCAAAGGCTTAATGTGATTGGTTGTAAGATAAGAAAGTCAATCAAGATTTGTAATTTTCCTTAAAGACGTTGCTGCAGTTAGCCCGTAAAATATCAAATGGAGTTTGTCAGGGGTCCCACAGCAAAGAGTTCACACAGGACCCCTGACATTGTGAGGATGGTAAAATGGATGTTCATGTCTGTTAAACCAGCTGTCATCAATGTATCAGAATTTACATGTAAATAAATAAGAGGTGTTTATTCTTATATAAATCATTTAATTTTCTTGTAATTACTAAATTTAATACATTCAAAACTTTTCATGCTGTTTTTGGTACATGAAAGGCTAGTTATTTAATGCTGCCTCAAACATCAGAGCATCAACCTAGTCAAGGAAACTTTTTAGATGACAGTTGCATTACAATTAGTGTAGTCATATAGTTACCAAAAATTAAATTGTACCAATTCTGTATTCAGAAATTTCTTTACCAAGCTAATACTGTAAACACACTTTTTTCTGCAGGGACTTAATTCCACAGAATCACAAATTCTGTTCAATATGCGGGTAGGAATTCAATTACATGCATTGGATTTGTTCAGTAATTGCATACATAACATAAATTAATCCCTGTAGAAAATAGTATGTCTGCAGTATATGATTGAACTGAATAAGGGTATTGTCATTGTTTTGTCATTCTATTTTCTACAGAAAATGGACTACTTCTGTGCTTTCTCATTAGTTCTAGCCAACTTAGGATCTTTATTTTGCAGGTAAGATATTGCCTTCTTAGTTCTACATGTTCTAATTAGTTCTAGCCATCTAAGCATCTTAATTGTGCAGGTAAGATATTGCCTTCTTAGTTCTACCTGTTCTAATTAGTTCTAGCCGTTTAAGCATCTTAATTGTGCAGGCAAGATATTGCCTTCTTAGTTCTACATGTTCTAATTAGTTCTAGCCATCTAAGCATCTTTATTATGCAGGTAAGATATTGCCTTCTAATTAGTTCTAGCCAATTTAGGATCTTTATTTTGCAGGTAACACATTTGTGTGCAGGATTTCATGTTTGATATTTTATAATATCTTTGAATATCCAGTCATGGTTTAGTTGACTTTTCTTCATCAATTTACAACATCAAAGGCATTTTATATATTTCACCTTATAGGTCACCTGAGTCACTATTTCTGTCTGTTTTCATGCTTTATTGTTGGTTTTTTGCATCATCCATAAACTTTTCACATTTCTGACCACTTCTTCAGAATACTGGGCCAGTTCAAATCAATCTTGGCACAAAATGTCATTGTGTGATTTGGATTCAAGTTTCTTCAGATAGAAAGCAGTTCAAGAAATAATTAAAATGGGAGTCATTTCAAATCTCAAAATTTGAAACATTGAGAAAGAAAAGAAGAATTTAAGTGAAATCTACCTTATTAAATGTAGATTGAAATTATGGCTTTCAGGGCTAGGACGTTAGAATAATCCAACTGTGGCTTGGGACAATCGCCACAGAATACGTGCCATATAGTTGCAATATGTAGCAAATTGGTATCTCGAACATCAATATCTTGAATACCTTGGATATGTCAAGGTGATTTGGAAGTCCAAACACATATTCCTTCAGTATTTTACCTTTGATATCTTGAATCCTCGGATATTTCAAAGTTTTTTCTCAGTTGAATTGTATATAAGTTGAATTTTAATGTGAAACTTATTATAAGTTTATTGGACATGGTCATTTTAACAACAGAACATTCCTTCTCTCTAAAATTTTCATTATTTTGCTCGTGCAATTTTTATTCTAGGATTCTAGGAACAGAAAAGCGACGTAGAATCACCATTGTTTTATTAATGCTTGTCATAGTCTATGTACAACATATTTACTACCTGGCTTTTATCAAGTTTGATTATGGTTACAACATGAAAGTTAATATAGCCTGTGGTAAGTATAAGTTCTTAATATTTAGTTACATAAATATATTTACTCTAAATCACTTTTAATTCGCAAGAACTTTATTTCATGTAATTAGGTGAGAAATCTGCTCGCGAAAATTTCATTTTTCATACATATGTATTCTTAAAAATCAGAAAGAGTAATTATCTAAATTCGTATAAAAAAATTTCTCACTAATAGAGAATAAATGATTATCTCTGAAAAATAAGGTGTCGCGAAAATTTAGTGATCTACAATAAATATTTTAAAAAAAACTTTTTTTCTACAGACAATTTTTAAATTTGATAGTTTGAAATATTTCTTGCAGGATGTGTGAACTTGTTAGGATGGTTGTATTGGTGTAGAAGACACTGGAGTGAGCTTCCTCACACAAGGAAGTGTTTAATCGTGATGGTCGGGATGAACGTTCTCCTGATGTTGGAGGTTCTAGATTTCCCTCCCATTTGGTGGATGTTTGATGCCCACAGTCTGTGGCATGCTGGGACAGTTCCCCTGGGAATTCTGTGGTACAGGTCAGTATTGTATTTACTGAATACTGGACGTTTGATGCCCACAGTCTGTGGTATGCTGGGACAGTTTCCCTGGGTATTCTGTGGTACAGGTCAGTATTGTATTTACAGGAAAATGTGCTAAAGACAAATCATAGTAGCATTTGGTGCACAATACTTTTCTTAGCAGTTGCACAAAAGCACTTTTTTCTACAAACTTTGGCTTCAGCTCCCATTTATGTGGGGATGGCCTACAAACCTGCAAACTGTTCTCAGCTAAATTCTAAACATTTATATTTACATGGCTTTGGCATTCATTAAAATAAATGTCTTCAAGTTGTTTACCAGTAATTGTTAGCTCATCACAGAAAGAGACAGCCTGTTCAGTTGGGGGATAAAATTAAATCATAGCCATTCAGTACCATGACTGTGCATGCAAAGCAAAATTTTAAAAACTGGACTGGCTGCAAAGGACAAAATTTCCATCTAAATGTGGTAGTGGTAGATACATGGCTTCTTACTAGCTTGGGCTAGTGGGTTAACCCTTTAGCTCAATTGGTAGAGCACTGGACTGGGAAGCCAGAGGCCCCGTGTTCAATCCCCAGCAGAGGCACATAAAAGTGTCTGTTACATTTGGTGCCCAACGTGGGGCCCGGGTGTTCTCTGGCGGGTGTAAGTGATTGCCCCCAGAACTTCGCCCCACAGGCGTCAGCACTCCAAAAGAGATGAGGACATCTCATTCCCTGGAGGGGGACAATGTGGTAGTGTAAGATACATGGCTTCCTACTAGCTTGGGCTAGTGGTTAACCCTTTAGCTCAATTGGTAGAGCACTGGACTGGTATACCAGAGGTCCCGGGTTCAATCCCCAGCAGAGGCACATAAATGTCTCTGTTACATATATCTCTAGGCATGTGACTGCAGGGCTGACACATTTCAAAGGGCCAAGTTAAAAATGATTTTTTATTTTCATTTTGAATGTTTTGATTTTCAAGGTAGCAAGTTTTTCAGTAAATGTTTGTACATTGCAAAACTCACTTCATATCTGATTACATTACAAAGTGCCCCTGTATATTTTGTATTAAGTTAACTATCAATATATACTGAAACACAAAAGAATCGCAACATCATATTTTAGGGGGAAATATTACATATAGGATATAATTTTGAATCTAAAAAGTAAGGACATCTTCAACTTAAATATCGGTAATTTAACGGTTGAATGATTTTCATACCATTACCGGAAGAAAGTTTGAGTCTGCTTAACAAAAATCAAAAATTGCATGTTTAACAAAACATTTGGCAATAATATGGGGTTTTAAGGATTTGTATCTGTTCATCATAAGTAATGCAACAATGTTCCGAAAAATAAATTCCCCTTTCTTTTCCGTAAGCGATGCCAAGGCTTCCTGAAAATGACTAAAGTACATGTGTATGCATTTCCATTGCTGTAGCTGGAAAATCTCAAAATAAAGGTGGTGGAGAGTTGCAGATGCAAATATGCAACACATCATGCCTCAACAGGCTCTTACATATCATTAGCATGAATGACAGTCCTCGGACCGGAAGTCCAAGGGTTACTACACTGCGTTTGGCTAGAGAAAATTCGACCTCATCATCTGAAAAACAGGCATTTAAAAATGGCAAAGAATATTTCTTTCGCTCAGATCTCGAGATTGATGAACATTTTGCATCGTAGAAGTCAAGCTGCAACTGTTAGAAGTCAAGCTGCAACTGTTGTGCATGGTATTCTTGCACGCTGTAATTGAATGACCGGGGTGGGGGTGTTTTAACATTCATATGTTGCTTTCTAAAATTATAAGATAATGAATTAACATTTTTATCAAATCTCTGATGTTTTCAAATCAAGTTTTACCTTAGTGTATTCATTTTCGAAAATCATTAGATAAAAAATTCAAATATTTGTAGATTACTGCTTGTTGCATTTCTTTTGCATTTCAGTATATATGTGTGAAATAAAATTATACTACTGCTGCAGCAATTCATTTATGATCTATGATGACACATCTACATGTACGTCAAGCATTCATATTTTTCTCTGTTCACAAAAAATAATCCCTTACCTATTTATAGATAAGGGTTGTGGTTGTTATAACTTTTTTGACCCCCCCCCCCCAAAAAAAATGGGTGTCCACTGCATCTGTATAATGCTAGTATTTTATAACTGAATGTGCTTGTTTTTACAGCTTTATTATTGACGATGGAAAATATCTGGCTGAGAAACAGAAGATGAAGAAAATTCCTTGAAGACGTCCAAAATGTGTTCAACATAGTAACCTGCACTGTTACATGGGAGTTGTGCAAGAATATTACACAGTGCTCATATTAACTTGTGATACGTAAAGTAGTCCTTTATTTGTTATATGTAGCCGTATTTTTATATTTTTGGGTCACTCAGATGACCTAATGCTATCTTTTCCATAATCATACTAGTCTGCATCTGTATACTTTTGAACATTTTTTCAGTAACAGTAATCTTCTGTAACTAAATAACTAAGAAGTAACATTAAGAATTTCATGACCCCCCACCCCCACCCCCCACACCTCAAGAGGCCGGGGCTGGCCAAAATTATCAGAATTAGTACAGTCTTCAAACAACCCTTTTATTCTCGGTCAACTATGTGTAGCAGACAAACTGCAGTCATTGATTGCATATGTATAATGAGTAATTTACCCTAAATTTGCAAAACTTTGGATTTTTTTACATCAATGTTAAGGCCCCAGCTTAGTTGTTTATACATACATGAACATGATATCTTGGAGAATTTTTTTCCCTTTTACTCCAAGCCATTTAGGAGCCAGGCAAAATGTTTTCATGAATATAAGAAACACACTTTTCCACCAAAATTGTGAAATTCATTTCCCCCGGGCCAAGAGTTCAGCCCTAATGTGATCTAGCTAATTTGATTGTACAGTGAAAAGAATACATTATCTGCAAAATTTTTCAAAATTGTTGTTTTTCAAATACATGTATTTATTTAACAGTGCACAAACCTCTGATACAAAAGTCTCAAATATATAAATTGATAGAGCTGTTTGCTAAAGTTTATTGGATTCCTGCTGCTGAAAATGACTATGAAAGTGTTATTAATTAACTTGCCTGCAGGCAGAAGATTCAGAGCCTAATCTTTATCTTTAATTATAAATGATCGTGCATTTTAGACTAAGTTTATCAAATAATGTATGATATCTTTGAATGGTTTTACAAGTTATATGTCTTCTTCAATAAAAATAAATTAATATAAATTAATATCTGTCACATAAGAACTTACACCCCTGTCCTAAGGTCATGTTTTGTGAAAATGCTGATACTCAGGGTGACCTTGAAGTCACATTGCCTGTTGTTGTATAATTTTACAACCCTCTCATTATACATGTCATATTACCTACACAGTTGCAGGGAATGAAATGCAAAATAATTAAATTGCCCTCCCTCCCTCCATCAATAAAAGTACATTATCTGTCAAACTTGCCTTATTGTAACAAACATAACCCCCGCCCCCACCCACACACACCTTTCCCTAAATGGTAAAAGTGTTCATAGGTTAGAAGTGTAAATGAGTATGCCCATTATGTCCAGTCTTTAATATTGCAATGCAAAAATATACTTGACCCAAATATTGCTCTTCCTTGAAGGATATAACTCAAGCCTCCGATGGACAAGTCAATATAAATCTGAAAGCATACTAAGTATCTTTGTCTTTTACATAATATGACTTGAAACAAATATGTTATCATAATCATAAGGTTTAGATCTACAGTGTAACTTTTAACTGAATTTAGATTTGGTAATATATAGTTGTTTATATATATGCCAGAAGGAGAAAATATATTTGTACTTATTGTTTCAATTACCGTTAGAGCCTAGCTTTTACTTGTTTTGTATTATTTTAAATTTAAATGCCATTGATTCATTCATTAATCCTTATAACACATGGCAATTCTTTCAGAAAACATACACGTGTGCATGATTCTATGGACCAAAAATCCTAAATACGTTAAGTATATACATGTATTTATGAATTATTTTTACTGAATGTGTTCATATTAAGTACAATTGTTGAAGATTATCGTAGACAGCATGGATTACATTCAGTTGATAAATACATAATTGTATCAATGATTATTTTGAATGATCAACGTTCAGATCTATTTCTTTGTTCTAAATCCATGACTCCATGAATTTGTTGATTTTGATTATTTTTGAACCTTTGTATCTACATGTATTAAAATAAATTTTCAGTGAATATTGTATCCCAGTCTATATTGTATTCCATTGTCTGTTCCTTATCAGTGTAGCTTTTCTTCTAATAATAACATTACTGCCATTAATATTCATTTAATTTTAAGATACATGTATGTGATGCTGATATTAAATAAATTCAATTGTCCATTTTATTCTCTTCAGAGTTATGTTGAAGAATTTTTTTTTTCTTCTGGAATGATGAGTGTACTGTATGGTCAAGAAAAACAAGTACAGTACATATCAATAAAATTTACAAAAGAGAATGGCCCTCTGTTCACTAAGCATTTAATTTTCTTGTAATGGACTTTTGCGAGAAGCACTGACTTTCATAGTCGACGGCTTACTTTGACATTTAAACCTACCTTATGTACGGAGGTACAGAATTGATAATAGATAGGTATTTTGTTTGGGGCACTTACATGATTAACTGGTATGCAATCAACACAAGAGATGATGGGAGGCAGAATTGCATAGCTTAAGAGATGATGGGAGGCAGAATTGCATAGCTTGAATTATTTATTTGTGAGGGTTAGTATCTTCTTTCAATCTCATTTTCTGAAGGAATCAAATAAGAAAAAAAGAAAAACATTTCGGAGGGAAAACTAAGCAATAGTTGGTCAATGTGGGAAGGGAGGGGGTTAAGGGTAGGGTTGTTGCCGTTCCCTTCCTAGACAACGTAATATGTGCTTTGAAATGACCCATTATTATCGTTTAATTAACTGTTAAGCTTAATATTTATATCGCAAAAGAGGTTCCATATACTGTCCTAGTGTAAAAGTAAGCTGTCGATTGTAAAAGTCAGCGCTTCTCACAAAAGTCCAATAGTGACAATTTTCTAACAGAAGCTGCAGATAAAATTCAAGCATTCAGCTTACTACATTTCGAATTTTTTTCCCTTATACATGTAACTGAGATTCCTTATATTCTTATAAGGAATACAGAGCAGTCTTTCACAGAATTCATTAAAGTTGCCTTATTACCTAGATTTTCTTAAAAGTGAGTTCTTAATTCATGTTTGAATTTTACTGTTACAGTTAGTATTATAACATGTATGTGGCAAAGTTAACATGAATAATTGTTGATTTTTCTAAAGGAAGTGACACAGGTCACAGTTATATCTTATTCCTATGTTGGTGGTGGATCAATCCTCCTTGATCTGTATCTATATATAGGATCTCACATGGTTTGTAGTTAGATATTATTAGTTATCCACGTCCAATCAAGGGTGTACGGGGATTTACCCTGAGTTGTATTCCATACACCCTTTGGCTATCAAATTTATTTCCTATGTCCCTAAATAAATTCCTTGTAAACAAGTCCAATCAACTGTGTTTCAAGTTATCAATAAGATTTACTACATCCTACAATGCATCGTGACATCATATTATTTACTTTTTATCATAGAGAAACTATGCATTGTGACGTCACGATTTTTACCCACGGCTCAAGTCGGGTTTTCGAAAATTTACACCTGACTTTGTAACCAATCAAAGCTCTTGTTACAAGCTACATAGGAAATAAGAGTTTTTATCCAATGAGTTATGTGCTTCAATTTACATGTATCCCTGAGCCTTGGAGAAGAGATAAAACACACACATTTAAGATGATAAAAATCATCTCTAACCACAAACCATTGGAGATTCTTTCTATCATGTTTCACACATAACTGTTTCATGTTTTACACTCTTCTATATATGTAAATTAATTCATAATATTTGAAGATCAAATCATTGTGACATCACAACCATGGATATGAAAACGATATCCTATGAGCCATATCCACTGTATAAAGGATTAAACATGTGGTAAATAGTATTATAACTCGGTGATCACAAGGTATTCAATGGGGGGGGGGGGGATCTTTATCAAACATGTAAACTATTAACTATAGGGAGAGTGTATTAACTGGTAATATTGAAAAAGTAATGCCAAAGTTTATACCGAGTCACTTACTACACAAGAAGCATTGTATTTTTGAAAATAAAAATATGACATTAAAGTTTCAACATTTCAAACTCATATGGTTGACCTGCCAGTATTTCATCAATATTAAAAATATAGGAAATGTGTTACTTGTATATTATCTTGATATTTATTTTGAGATAAATTCAACACTAATTATAACAGAGAAACCTGGTTTATTTTTTTCAAAGCTTAATTCATATTTAAACACTGAACATACAAACAACTGTACTCTGGACTAATTAACATTCTGGCAAATCTCATTTGTTCCAAAAAAAAAGCAAGGTTCTGAAGTTTTACAGCAACTTTATAGTTAACATATTTTATACAATATTAGACTTTTATAACAGACTTAATATACATTCAGCACGACTTTAACATGTATAGTTATATACACATATTAAAACAATAAAAAAAATTATCACAGAGAATGTCCTCTCTAGCAGTGCATTGGTTCAAAAATGTAACATTAGGAGACACCAGTGCTTAAAATGAACCTTAAATTTTTAATTCTGAGGGTTTCAAGTGTCAAGAAATATGGTAAAAGTTCAGACATAAATTATGATAAATATTCAAATATTCAAATTGTATGTATTTTGTAACATTCAGAACTATAAATTCAATTATAGTAGTATGTAAACATTCTGAATATTAATTAGGATCAAATACTTTCAATGAACCAATTAATTAAATGATGATCCATTAGTTTCATAGTTTTTATAATGTTTTTGTCATTTTCTTCACATTTCACTCAATTTATTCATTGTCTTTAATTTTGGGAGCACATAAACACACCCATATTTTTAATTATTTTATCCTTTTCTACCACACAAATCCTAGCCTCTTTTTAGACTTTGTCTGTCCATAAATGCTATCTTTAGTTTCTTCTGTAGAATCCCTTTGATAATGGGGCATCTGTTTCCCAGACTTATCCGAAACCATGTAGCTCGGTCGAATCCCGCCTTTTCCTTCGAATACTGGACCCTTACCCCCTCCGGCCCCATTTTTGGCAGCCTTCCTGAGTGGGTAGACATTGCGGCCCCCTTTCTCGCAGTGTTCTATGACTCTCCCTGCGTACTCCTGGAACTGTTCCTCCTCCACGGCCAGCAGGGCTTGGTTGGCCTGATCTAGGGCCAATTTCTCCTGCTCCTGCTCTACTTCTTTTTGTTTTCTCTGGTTCTGGAATTATAATGAGTAAAACATTGAATTACACACAAATTTACAGGGTCTTTACACTTCTCTGAGAAAATCCAAGTATTGAAACTATTGATTATTTCACGTTTTTACTCTTATGCACCATAATTATAAAACAAGAAAATCCAAAATGTTCATTCATGTTTAAAAATAAAAAAAGATAGAATGCTAATAATACATTGCAGTTCCTCTAAAAGTTACCAATATGAATGTATTTTATCAAATACCAGAAAGTGCCGTCAGTCATCAGATCTGACTTGCAGACCTTATATAGACAATTATCATTAATCCTAGTGTCAGCTTGGGTGTCTTAGAGTTTTTCCATAGTATTTGAGATGACAAACTTTGCCTGAACAACATATTTTTGAGATGTATCACTTGTTCCCTTTGGAAGTTTTTGAGGTGACTATATAATTATTTTTTAGACATACCACTTGTTCCCTGTGGAAGTTTTTGAGGTGACTTTATATAGTTTTGAGACATACCACTTGTTCCCTGTGGAAGTTTTTGAGGTGACATGATATATTTTTTGAGACATACCACTTGTTCCCTGTGGAAGTTTTTGAGGTCGACAGCATCCTCCCTCCTTCTCATGTGTTTCTCCTCCTCGTTGCGTCGGAAGATCTCATCGGCAGCCTGTCTGATCCTCACCATTTCTAGTTCCTGTCTTCGCTCTTCCTTCTTCTTCTGCTCGGCCTCCCTCATCTAAAGTATGAGAGAAACATTAAGCACCCAAATAACTCCCCTCTATTAAATCACCATTTATTGAAATTGCTAATAAATTTTATTATATGCATAATCTTTAGGACAATTTCATCTACATTAATACCCATGTATAGGTCAACATTATTACTGATTTTTTTTAAGCTCAGCATCAACAAATGCTCTTCAAATATGCTTAAATTTTAACATCATAATGTCAAGGTTAACATCACTTTTTGTTTTGAAGTTAACATCACTTTGGTTTGGAGATTAACATCACTTATGTTTAGAGGTTAACATGACTTATGTTTTGAGGTTAACATCACTGTACTGACCTGTAGATTTCTGTGTTTAGCACTCTCTTCCATGTCCTTCCTCAGCTTCGCTTCCTTCTCTGCTTCTTCCTTCGCTCGCTTCTCTTCAGCCTCTTCCACAGCTCGGTGGATTCTCTCGTCTTCATCACTGACTTTCTGTTTCAGCTGGGCGGCCAGCTTCTCTCGAATCTTTTCTAGATTTCTCTGTTTCTCACTGAAAAAAAGTGCATGGTCACATTTTGTGCTAGATTTTCTACTTGATAACTTCTTTGTTAAGATAAGTTACCTGATATAGATAATTTAATCTCACTTGAAGATTATAAAATTTAATTATGCTATGAAAAAATTGTGTTGCTGGTATTTGGAAATAACTGAATACATGCATTTTGACATTTTACAGAAAGATGACTTCATTAATGCAAGCATCATGAGCATATCTAACAGAAAAAGATTTTTTTTTTTTCATTCGTTAGGATGATTCATTCAAGCATTAAAATCTGATTTTGAATATATTTTCTAACAAGATCTGTTTTAAAAAGTGGATAATTTAATGAGAAGGGAAAAATTTTGTTTTTGACTTACAATATTACAGCAATGTTATGAAAAGAAAATCTTATCTTTGAAACTTTATATAATATCAGATTTAAAGGGAAATATCTATTGAGAGCAATACAAAATAATTCTGACTTAATTTCTTACAGATCTAATAACATGAATGTCTGTGACATTTACAAATGTGTTAAGGGGAATAAATCTGTCACAACAAAATAAAAATGTTCTTTATTTGACATTCAAGAGCCAGCAGTTCTGTTAAGGGGAATCTAGATGTCACAATATTCGACGTCGATGTACTTAAGATCTGTTAAGAGAGGTAACTCTGTGAGAACTTACGTGTGAATCTGTTAAGGGGGATAACTCTGTGAGAACTTACTTGTGAATCTGTTGTTCTTTTTCTGCTCTTAGCTTCATCATTTTTCTCTTGGCTGCAGCAAAAATTCTGCATTCTTCATCTTCCTCCTTTGTAAAAAGATTTGAATATTATAATTACAATTAAATTTTACAAGAATTTCTCCATACCTCTACAGGAATACTCTGGGTTTGTTGACTGCTGTAACATTATTTGTATTTATAAGTATTGAATGGTCTGAATTAATAGCCTATATGTTAATGTGTATAAGATCTCTTTTTTTGTGTTTGAGAGCATTGGTGAATATTTTCTCCAACTATTTAACTTGGAGGAGTCACACTTGCAAAAAATTAAAATTAAAAAAATTAAAAAAAAATAAAAATACATGTACCTGCAGGTGAACAGGTTCATTTGAACACTCTGACTAGCTTTTTAATTTTTATACATGTATGTGTTACAAAATGGATAATTTAAATTTTAACCAAAGAGCACAATATTTTCTAAAGATAAGTCTCACCCACTTCCCATCAACTACCCAACTACTCCTGATGCTGTAGAAGGAAATTCCATAAAGACCCAGGATTAACTCCCTTACCTCCTCCTGCTGCTCCATGACTTGTTTGATCATTTTTCTGTCTTTGATTTGATCCATGTTCCCCTTCATCATCTGTAGTTTCTCGGCACGTTTGATTTCCTCCAGTCTCTCTTTCTCCGCGTGGAACTGGATGGCCAGTTTCTGTAGTTCCTCCCCCTCCCGCTTATCCTCCTCGATTTCCTCGTGTCTCTGTTTGACATGCTCCTGGATCCTGTATCAGATAAATAATGAAAATATTAGATCCACCTCTGAGGACTGTATTAGATTAGAAATACAGTTTTAGATCCACCTCTGAGGACCGTATTAGATTAGAAATACAGTTTTAGATCCACCTCTGAGGACCGTATTAGATTAGAAATAGTTTTAGATCCACCTCTGAGGACCGTATTAGATAAGAAATAAAGTTTTAGATCCACCTCTGAGGACCGTATTAGATAAGATATAAAGTTTTAGATCCACCTCTCAGATCTAAGAAAAGTACTTTTTTGTGCAGCACCCCTAATTTCTACTACTGCTGACAGCAGGGAGAAGGAGTTTATTTTCATATTAAGTATACATCTTTCCCCACCAACCAAATCTTTTTTCTTCAAACCACGAAAATTTGACCAAATGAAAATACAATGTATGTGATTTTACAGCATAGTCTTCTGAGAGTTTCATTATTCATTCCTTTTTATTTCAGACTTGACTCCATTTTACACTGGTAACAATAACATTATTGATTCGGCTTCTGTTACTCACTGTGCAGTTAGGAACTTCTCGTTCTCCTTGCAAGCCTTGATCCTCTCCTTGGCTCTCTCTTGATCATGCAGGATCGCGTTTTCATGCTCTCTCTTGGCTTTTTGGAGCCATTCTGCATCCTTGCCCTCGCTAGCCTTCTCTTTGAGTTTCTTTAATTCAATCTGTGCCTCTCTTTCTTTGAGTACCTCTGTCAGCATAAGGGCACTCTACAAGGAACAAGAAAAACAAAATCAAATTTTTATAAAATTTCAGAATACATGTACCTTCTACACTTTCATTTGATTCAATTAAGTTTTTACTTAAATATTTTATTTACATGGTGATGTCCAAAAATTGGTCTGAAGAGGTAATAACAGTTAAATTAGTTACAACTGAATAGAAATGGAAATTTCAGCACATGTTGAAATATGCCTCTCAGACCTTTTGATCCTTATTTATAGATGAAAACCTCGTGGAATTCGAAATTAAATACATGCAGGTTTACCCCTATCTGTCAATCTTGAAGTTCTACCTAACTTCTGTAGATCTTTCAGTGCTATGTATATTACGTGTAATTTTTTCGACCCTGTCTGTCTGTCTGTCTGTCTTTCTATCTGTCTATCTGTCAGTACTATATGACTTACAAGGAAGTTTTTGACCCTGTCTGTCTGTCTATCTGTCAGTACTTTATGACTTACATGGAAGTTTTTGATCCTGTCTGTCTGTCTGTCTATGTCAGTGCTGTATGACTTACGTGGAAGTTTTTGACCCTGTCTGTCTGTCTATCTGTCAGTACTGTATGACTTATGTGGAAGTTTTTGACCCTGTCTGTCTGTCTATCTGTCAGCACTGTATGACTTATGTGGAAGTTTTTGACCCTGTCTGTCTGTCTATCTGTCAGTACTGTATGACTTACATGGAAGTTTTTGACCCTGTCTGTCTGTCTATCTATCTGTCAGTACTATATGACTTACGTGGAAGGTATTGACCCTGTCTGTCTGTATATCTGTCAGTACTATATGACTTGCGTGGAAGTTTATGACCCTCTCTGTCTGTCTATCTGTCAGTACTGTATGACTTATGTGAAAGTTTTTGACCCTGTCTGACTGTCTGTCTATCTGTCAGTACTACATGACTTATGTGGAAGTTTTTGACCCTGTCTGTCTGTCTATCTGTCAGTAGTGTATGACTTACGTGGAAGTTTTTGACCCTGTCTGTCTGTCTGTCTATCTGTCAGTACCGTATGACTTACATGGAAGTTTTTGACCCTGTCTGTTTATCTGTCAGTACTTTATGACTTACATGGAAGTTTTTGACCCTGTCTGTCTGTCTGTCTATCTGTCAGTTCCGTATGACTTACGTGGAAGTTTTTGACTCTGTCTGTCTGGTAATACTGCTGTGTCTTGGCTTTTTCTATAGCTTCCTTCCTTTTCTCAGCCTGATACTTGGCTTCCTCTAAATCTATTGCCCTCTTCTCCTCTTCTTCTTTCTGTTCACGAAGTTTTCGAGCCTCTAGTTTTCTTGTACGTGTTCCCTATGGCATAAAAATTTACAGTGTTGTTTCACATAAGTTTTGAATTCAAATTTTATTTGTCTCAAATATTTTATATAATAAAAAAAAAAATTAATAATTATTTGTGGACTTATTACGTCCAGGCTCCAGGGCCATAAACCGTAGATGAGCTCACTTTTGATCTTCTTACTTTTCTACTAAAAATTCTTTTGAAAAATAAGACAGAGATCAAATTGTAAGCTCATTCAAGTTATATGGCCCAAGGTTTAGGTATTCCCAATTGATAATAGTTGTAATTTAAATTAAATTATAAAGCAGCAGAAGTTAACAATTTCAGTTAAAATTCACTTTGACAGCCAATTGATATAATGTGATACTTATAAATAAAAGTAACAGTCTCACAGCTATAGTGTTTCCCCAGTTTTGAACCATTTCTTTTGACATTTGTTTGCGATTTTCTTTCTCTTCTCTCATTCTTCGAATTCTTTCCTCTTCGATTTGTCTCTTGTAAAGTTCTTGTTGAATTCGGTTCCACTCATTCTTGGACAGGATAGTGACGTCCCTGAGGTCTGTACCATTTGGGAGTATCATTCCAGGTTGGCCTGTCTTGGTACCCTGCATTTGGAAGTCTGGGGGTAAGGGCATCTCGGGAGTGGCTATAAAAATTAAAGTTGTCAAATGACAAGATTTTTTTTTAAATTCATCATAGGAAGTTTAACTTAATGAATCCATCATCAAGCCTGATGAAATTTTTAAGAATGATAAAATTTAAGAATAAGATACCCTAAAATAAAAGAGGCCAACAGGTAATAAACATTTTTTTTTGGGGGGGGGGGGGGAGAATTGAGTATAAGTTCAAAGTTACACAGATCTGAAGCTCACTGGTCTGAAAAAAAAAAATTGGGTGGATGACCAGATTGCTACAGTGTAGTAGAAAAAAAATGTACATTTATTGGACACAAAAAAATGTGCTGTTTCTTGATTTATGTCTCCATACATTTAAGCTGCCATCTCAAAATATTTCTAATCGTGTTCCTAATTAACATATTCTTGTACTAAATCCACAACAAAACATCCCCCAAAACCGTTGTTAATAGCCCTTCTGGACCTGAAATTGCATGGAACCATAGAAAATTCTGCCTATTTTATGATGCTTCCAATTTTGGTGATAAAACAATTTAGTCCAACAACGTGTTTCATGCATGATTTGTAGAAAGTTTTATTGTGGGAGCAGTAAAAGAATACATAAGGAATTAATTACCTAGTAACTTTACCGTTTATTTGTTTTATAATATTTTGAGATGGCAGAGAAATAAATCGAGAAACAGTGCACAACATAACTTTTTTTTCAGCCAGAGTGGCACTGTAGGCTCTCTGGTTGCCCAAACTAATTTTTTTTCCAGATCAGTAAGCTACAGATCTGCAGCTAAAGGTCAATGCTTTATTTGTTTACAATTACAATTCTTAAAGCTGACAACGTTGAACTAATACCCCCCCCCCCCCCAAAGGAGATATAAAACGGAATATCTAAGAAACTCTGCAAATTTAATGACCTCGCTACATTGAGTATGAGCTAAACTTTCCGCTGTATCGATAATGTTATATTTTCTGACTTCGATCTGAATTATATAGTTAGAAATCTATCTTGAAAGCATATGCACACAGTAATTGTTTGATACAGTTACATGTTACTGTCAGTTTGAGAATTTTATTATTTTGAGAATATTTGAACTAAATATTTAAGATATCAACAGTAATGCAAGATGAAAACATAGCTCTCAAACTCACAAGATAAAAATATCAAAATTGACCCCCCTTTTTCATCTCCATAATCATACTTCTTTTCAAATATGACGAATATCTGACATTAACAATTAACGTAATGATAAGAAAAACATACCCCTTTCTTTCCCCTTTCGCCTTCCATGCATTACTGTCGCTGTTGCCATTTTCTTTTTTTTCAGTTTGTATTTTAATAAGATGACAACAAACGAGAGATCAATAACTGTTGTCAAGCAAACAACGCCATGTAACCTGGATGAAACTTCCGTTTCCGGTCAAACTGAAAGTAGAAACAAAATTTCCGGCGAAATGTAGGTCTTGATAAAATCCCGTTACGCAACTAATTTCGCAGTGTGATACGCTCAGGTGTCAGTGAACTGTTTGCCGAAAAGTAAGTTCTATTTTCTCATTTTTTTATTGTCTTCGTTTCAACATTTTACTTTTAGAAAAGGAGACATATTTCAAAGTTATCAAATTGTGTTTTCGGTGGTATTTTTTTTTTAATACTCAAGTTTTAATTTTTGAAAACTACCAAAACTCAATTTTAAACAGATTCAGAAATGATTTTTTTTTTTTTTTGAAAATTCCTTTTTTTTTGTTTGTTAATATGTTTTCGCTGTAAAGAAAAATATATATACTGTTAACGTTCCAGAATGTTAAATATTCCACACACCTTTACATTTCATACATTATTCCACGGCAATTATGTAAGAACAACACGTTGCAATTTCTTAGATGAAAAATAATTTAGGGAAAAGAGAATTTCATGATATCAAGGGAAATTTACAAGATTTTCCTGTGAAAATTGCTGAATGGCTTTTTCTGGTTAATTTTAATGCAATAAACAATGATAAAAATATATAGGTATTCATTGTTATATAAGAAATAATTATTATCATGAACTTGCCATGTATAGTTCTCAGTGAAAATAAATCTGGAAGTAACTGAAATTAGTTACTTTTAACTTCACAATACTGGGATACAGTATACTGTGAACATGGTGAAATTACTAATTTTCGTAGGGGGGTAAGAAACCCACACATTCATGTCCGCCACAAAATGTAAATATTCATATTTATAAATACTCAACAATTCTTCATCCACAAAATTAAATCCCCATGAATTCAAATCTTTTCCTCAAACCATGAAAATTTGACCCCATGAAAAAGTGTTTTTACAGTATCTCACAATACTAACTGTATGTTAAATATCATATATATATATATATATATATATATATATATATATATATATATATATATATATATATATATATATATATACGAGGGGTGATCAAAAAGTTCACGAACTAATTGAATAACTTCCTTAAAAGACATAAAATGAGGTTTCAGTGTTTATTATTTTTTAAAGTAGTCCTCTCCGATTTTAATGCCCATCTGCCATTGTTCTGCCCATGCGCAAATCACGTGATCCAGGCAGTCACGTGACATGCTCCGTAGCAGTCTGTTCAAAGAAGCTAAAAGATTTTTCCGAGTCTTATATTTCTTACCATGCAAGTTATTTTTTATAACAAGAACAGTCCATCTGTTAGAAATGGCCTAGGATGGGTGGATAAGGATATCCCTTCCCACAATTAGTATTGTGACCCATCTAAACCCAAGTTCTCTGTCTCAGGAGCGTCATTTATTCAATGTGGATGAAGTATGGGCGCATTCTTTTTATCATATCTCATACGTTTAAAGTCTAAAGTAAACGATATTTTATGGATTTAATGATTATAGTATTGTTAAGATATTCAACCATTTTTCTGATTGTAACTTGACGATGTTTCATAACAAATTGCTCAGCTTAGGACACATCTTTTCCCCGGCTTGCTTTCGCTGGGCAACATAACAAACATCATTTTTAACCATCTCCCTGCCTTCACTAAAACAATCCATCCAACTAATGATTGAACGTCTGGTAAGTATTTTATCTTCATAAACCTTGTACAAATTATCATCTTCTTCTGCAAAAGAATTTCCAAGATATACGTTAAACATTAAAACCGTTCGTTGCTCGAGAACAACTGAGTCAAGCATTTTTTGTCACAAGTGACCTACATATTGACGTCATTTTCACACTGTGACGTCACAAACACGGAGCAAAACATTATATAACATCTGTTATTTATAGAACGTGTGTATGACTATATGTGTGCCAAATTTCATTCTGATCTGAATTGTGGTTTTGTAAATATAGAGATAGTTCGCGAACTTTTTGATCACCCCTCGTATATATATATATATATATATATATATATATATATATATATATATATATATATATATATATATATATATATATATATATATATTTTTCCTCAAACCATGAAAATATATAATATATAATATATATATATATATATATATTATAATTAGCTACTTTGAAGGATAACAGAAATAATAGAGAGATTATTTTGGTTATTTTTGGATTCTTTTCCAATTTTTTTCACTATGCTGTCTCTATTAAATGACAGTTAAAACTAAAATGATATAATTATGTAATTCTTGTCACATTTTAATTATATTTTGGGTGTTTTTCTCTCAGATGACCGAGAAGATCCTCTTTGCATTTGACTTTGATCACACAGTTATAGATGAGAACAGTGACTTGTACTGCAAGAGACTCGCACCCAATGGAAAAATTCCGCAGGAAATCGAAGATACCTGGAGCAGTGTGGGGTGGACTAAATACATGGGTCTCATATTTGAATACCTTCACAGGCACGGAGTAACGGAACAACACTTCAGAGAATGCATGAATGAGATCCCATTGACAAAAGGAATGAGAGAACTTATTGGGTATGCCACAGAAAATAAACACGAAAGCATCATTATTTCGGACTCTAATTCATGGTTCATTGAATACATTTTAAACGAATCTGGTCTCAAGGAGGCTTTTTCAGAGGTGTACACCAACCCTGCACAATATGACGAAGAAGGTCGTTTGACAATCGAGTTTTATCACAAACAGGACTGGTGCGACTTGAGCACCGTCAACCTGTGCAAGGGACATATACTGCAAGAACACATCAGGAGGAGGGAAAAGGAGGGGATCCAATATAAGTGTGTGGTGTTGGTGGGGGACGGGAGCAACGACTTCTGTCCTGCCCTCAGACTCACGGAAAATGACTACGTGTGTCCTAGGATCAGTTACAGGTTGTGGAAAAAAATTCAAAAGTTGGAAAGTGACCAAGAAAATGTCAGTAACGGACATAAGCTTAGGGCTCAGGTTGTAAACTGGACGTCGGGGTTAGATATTCTGGAGTTTCTGAAATCTTTGGATGGATGATTAAACTGACAATTGCTTTATAATATTACTACCGGTAAGAATCCAAGTGATGGGTTTGTTTTAAGGTGTCGACTTTTCAAGAAAGCCATCTAAAGTAACTTTTGGAAGTGTTGTTCATGCAATAATAGAATGAAGATGGATATTGCAATAGTTGAATGTATTGTAATTGAAAACATTTATCTTTCATTGGAACATAACTATGTTGAATTAGTTGTTATATAAATTATTGTTATTCTTTATAACTGGTGCTGTGGGAGTGTTTCTTGTTTATGTATTCATTTGTCACCTGCTGTATGTGGCTAAAAAAGGAAAAATTTACATAATTACAAGTTTCAAAATTAAGAATATTGAACATTTTGTTCCAAATCTGCATTTTAATAAAGTAACATTGCATATAATTTATATAATACTACCTTAATTGCTACTAAGTATATATAAAGTCTGTTAATATCATGTTTATTCCACATGTTCCATACATTTTTTCTAATCTGCTTATTTTTAAAAACAAAGTATTCTCCTTCTGACTTTACAATTCTGATTCTGCCTGGAGACATTCTGCATTAATGATGCTTCATAATATACATATATATACGTAGAAACAATTATAGACATTCATAAATATTCATGTATATTTGGGCTTATCTGTTTACTTGAGTCCTAATATTATCCTTGGTTTGAAAACTTTTACTTTTTACGTACAGGTATATAACATTGATGAGTGTGACCATTTGGGGGGTTTATTCACACTGAAGTTGTAGGATTTATTTTTGGGTTTATTCATATTTATTATTAAATACATACAAGGAGTATACTAGTCAACATTGACCAGTCTGATTTATTATGTTTTATTCATTACATGTTGAATTAAAAATAGATTAATTTAAATTCATTGTCTCTTTGATTCATTAATCATGTTAACTATTATAGTCAAAACTTCAGACTTTTAATGTAAGATAGGCATCATTCATGATCACACTGTGTTGTTTACAGATGCTTATAAATACATGTTGAATTGAAAAAGCTATCCAGTATATCTTCAGCATGATACCTGTACAATGATGATTTAATAGACTGTTACTAGTACCTCTGGAGTTAAAATGTAATAGTGTGATATAGCCTTAGGAGTTACAATAGGCTGATATTGCCTCAGGAGTTACAATAGGCTGATATAACCTCAGGAGTTACAATAGACTGATATAACCTCAGGAGTTACAATAGGCTGATATAACCTCAGGAGTTACAATAGGCTGATATTGCCTCAGGAGTTACAATAGGCTCATAGAGCCTCAGGAGTTACAATAGGCTCATACAGCCTCAGGAGTTACAATAGGCTCATATAGCCTCAGGAGTTACAATAGGCTCATAGAGCCTCAGGAGTTACAATAGGCTGATTTAGCCCCAGGAGTTACAATAGGCTGATAAAGCCTCAGGAGTTACAATAGGCTGATACAGCCTCAGGAGTTACAATAGGCTGATTTAGCCCCAGGAGTTACAATAGGCTGATATAGCCTCAGGAGTTACAATAGGCTGATATAGCCTCAGGAGTTACAATAGGCTGATATAGACTCAGGAGTTACAATTGGCTGATATAACCTCAGGAGTTATAATAGGCTGATATAACCTCAGGAGTTACAATAGGTAATTTTAATTGAATTAACCTCTGAAGTTACAATGATAAAGCCTCTGGAGTTATAATGTAACAGGTTGAGGCTAATATAGCCTCTGGAGTTATAATGTAATAAATGTAGGCTGATTTAACCTCAGGAGTTATAATAGGCTGATATAACTTCTGGATTAATAATGAAATAGGCTGATAAAACCTCTTAAGTTATCTTAAGTCTGATATAAAGTAATAGGCTGATATTAACTCTAAAATAATGTTAAGGCTGATATAAAGTAATAGGCTGATACCATCTCTAGGATAATGTTAAAGCTGATATAAAGTAATAGGCTGATACTAACTCTAGAATAATGTCAAGGTTGATATAAAGTAATAGACTGATACTAACTCTAGAATAATGTCAAGGTTGATATAAAGTAATAGACTGATACTAACTCTAGAATAATGTTAAGGCTGATATAAAGAAATACACTGATACTAACTCTAGAATAATGTTAAGGCTGATATAAAGTAATAGGCTGATACTAACTCTAGAATAATGTTAAAGCTGATATAAAGTAATAGGCTGATACTAACTCTAGAAGAATGTTAAGGCTGATATAAAGTAATAGGCTAATACTAACTCTAGAATAATGTTAAGGCTGATATAAAGTAATATAGGCTGATACTAATAATGTTAAGGGTGATATAAAGTAATTGGCTGATACTATCTCTAGAATAATGTTGAGGCTGATATAAAGTAATAGGCTGATACTAACTCTAGAATAATGTGAAGGCTGATATAAAGTAATAGGCTGATACTAACTCTAGAATAATGTGAAGGCTGATATAAAGTAATAGGCTGATACTATCTCTAGAATAATGTTAAGGCTGACATAAAGTAATAGGCTGATACTAACTCTAGAATAATGTGAAGGCTGACATAAAGTAATAGGCTGATACTATCTCTAGAATAATGTTAAGGGTGATATAAAGTAATAGGGTGATACTAACTCTAGAATAATGTTAAAGCTGATATAAAGTAATAGGCTGATACTAACTCTAGAATAATGTGAAGGCTGATATAAAGTAATAGGCTGATACTAACTCTAGAATAGTGCAGTAGACTGATATAACCTATAGAGTTATTACTCAGTATGTGAAATACTTGGTATTATCTCTTGAGTAATGTGTTAGGTTGAAATAACTTCTGGAATTGTAATGGGCTATTACATCAGTATCTAACCACAATGGAATACGGTGATATTACCTCCATGTTTATAATTTATTAGGCTGCTATTACCTTGGGGGATATTCTGTAACAGGCAGATACTACCATTGGAGATAATGTATTTTTTCCTATGTAGCTTATTTCATGAGCTTTGATTGGTTAATAGGCACGGTGTAAAGATTTCCGTACACCAGACTTGAGCCAGGGGTAAATAACGTGATGTAATAATGCCTACTTTATGACAAAACTAGAAATATGTCCATAGGACATGAATGCCCCGCCAAGGGTATATTAGTAATGCAACATTTTAACACAAATTGAGAAAAGTGAGGTCATGGTCAAAGGAAAGGTCAAGGTGAAAAAATATTGATGCAGTTGAATAGCTTACATTAGTATGTATCAGCATATGAAGTTTGACACAAATTTAAGAAAAGTGAGGTCAAGGTCAAATGAAAGGTCAAGGTCAGAAAAAAATTGTTTATGCAGTTGAAAGGTTACATCGGTATGTATTAGCATATGAAGTTTGATAAAAATATTATGAATGGTTTTAAAACTAAGCTAAACACTAATTAAAGAAAAGTTAGGTCAAGGTCAAAGGAAAGGTCAAAGTCAAAAAATATTGATGCAGTTGAATAGCTCTCATCAGTATGTATCAGCATATAAAGTTTGACACTAATTTAAGAAAAGTGAGGTCAAGGTCAAAGGAAAGGTCAAGGTCAAAAAATGTTGATGCAGTTGAATAGCTCTCATCAGTATGTATCAGCATATGAAGTTTGATAACACTATCTTGAATGGTATCTTTAAAACTGAGCTAAAAACTTATTTAAGAAAAGTGAGGTCAAGGTCAAAGGAAAGGTCAAGGTAAAAAATATTGATGCAGTTGAATAGCTCTCATCAGTATGTATCAGCATATGTAGTTTGTTAAAAATATCTTGAATGGTTTCATTAAAACTGAGCTAAACACTAATTTAAGAAAATTGAGGTCAAGGTCAAAAGAAAGTTCAATGTCAAAAAATGTTGATGCAGTTGAATAACTTACATCAGTATGCATCTACATATGAAGTTTGATTACACTATCTTGAATGGTATCTTTAAAAATGAGCTAAACACTAATTTAAGAAAAGTGAGGTCAAGGTCAAAAGAAAGGTCAAGGTCAAAAAATGTTGATGCAGTTGAATAGCTCTCATCAGTATGTATCAGCATATGAAGTTTGATAACACTATCTTGAATGGTATCTTTAAAACTGAGCTAAAAACTTATTTAAGAAAAGTGAGGTCAAGGTCAAAGGAAAGGTCAAGGTCAAAAAATGTTGATGCAGTTGAATAACTTACATCAGTATGTATCAACATATGAAGTTTGATTACACTATCTTGAATGATATCTTTAAAACTGAGCTAAACACTAATTTAAGAAAATTGAGGTCAAGGTCAAAAGAAAGGTCAAGGTCAAAAAATGTTGATGCAGTTGAATAGCTCTCATCAGTTTGTATCAGCATATGAAGTTTGATAAAAATATCTTGGATAGTTTCTTTGAAACTGAGCTTTGAACAGAGCTAAACGCAAAGTGTGACGGAAGGACAGACAGAAGGACGGAAGGACGGAAGGACAGAAGGATGGAAGGACGGAAGACGGACATGACAAACACTATATGCCCCGGCCATATTCATGGCGGGGCATAAAAAAAAACAAACAACATAATGTCACAAAGCATTGTAGTACGTAGTAAATCTTATCAATAGCTAGAAACACAGTTGATTGGACTTGGGTTTACAAAGATTTTATTTGGGTACATAGGAAATAAATTCATTATCCCTGTCTAATCAAGGGTGTACAGGGATTTCCCTAAGTTTTATTCCATACATGCTGAGGCTGAAGGGTCTAATGGCATTAGACCAATTAGTATACATCTAAAAAAAATTTAAAAACCAGTAACACTGATTTGCGTGGCGCAGTGGTTAGAACGTTCGCTCTAGAGTTGCAGAGTAAGGAGTTGATCCTTACGTCACGGGTTCGAATCCCACTGTGGGACGTGGTGACCGGTCCTTCAGATTAGACCGTATTAACCGAGGTCCTGTGTCACAGTAGGTGCTGGCACGAAAAAGATCCCTCACTGCTCAATGGCCCTAAGTGCCGAGTATAGGTTAAAATTTGTAGCTCTCCACCGGCAAGTGGTGGCGTCTCCATATGAGTGAAAAATTCTTGAGAGGGATGTTAAACAATAAACAAACAAACCATCATTTACAAACACAAGAAACAATTTTCCTATTTTTACACAATAAAGAGATACTGTAAATTTACTCCTTTATGGCACCTGATCCCTCCTCTGTTTTCAGAGGTCTGTGTTGGTTCTGCTCACAATCTGCATTGTTTAAATGGACTTTTGAACATGATCACTGTTTGTTATCTTAACATTTCATTATTTCAATGCATTTCATATGCCCTTTACATGGGTTTTCATTAACACTTCTAAAATACATAACTTCACAAGACTATGTTATAAAAAAAAAGTCATTGATAGTGTTAATTAAAGATTGCTTTAATTAGACAACAGCCTACACATGAGCTGAACCTTGACTTAGTACACACATAGCATGATCTGATAGCCATGACTTTACAACATTCACATCTGCAACTTCCACTTTTTCAAAGAATCCATGTTACACATGTCCATATTTACTGACACATCTATACATGACACGATTATATTCTGCCTAATGATTACCGTACATGATTTAAATACATTCCTTGTCACATTCTGTAGAATCACCGTGTGTCGGTTCAGGTGGGTCTGGATATGGGTGACAGCAGGTGTCCGTTGAGGGTGGGTGGGGGAGGATGACGATATTGAATGTTCTGTATCTCATCACTGGAGATAAAGTAAAGAGGTACGTAGCGTAACACGGAGGAACTCCAAATCTGTAAAGATAAAGTAAAGGTACATAGTGTAACACAGAGGAACTCCAAATCTGTAGAGATATAGAGGTACATAGCGTAACACGGGGGAACTCCAAATCTGTAAAGATAGAGGTACATAGCGTAACACAGAGGAACTCCAAATCTGTAGAGATAAAGTAAAGGTACATAGCGGAACACAGAGGAACTCCAAATCTGTAGAAATAAAGTAAAGGTACATAGCGGAACACAGAGGAACTCCAAATCCGTAGAGATAAAGTAAAGAGGTACATAATGTAACACAGAGGAACTCTAAATCTGTAGAAATAAAGTAAAGAGGTACATAGGGTAACACAGAGGAACTCCAAATCTGTAGAGATAAAATAAAGAGGTACATAGCGTAACACAGAGGAACTCTAAATATGTAGAGATAAAGTAAAGAGGTACGTAGCGTAACACAGAGGAACTCCAAATCTGTAGAGATAAAGGTACATAGTGTAACATAGAGGTACTCCAAATCTGTAGAGATAAAGTAAAGAGGTACATAGCTTAACACGGAGGAACTCCAAATATGTAGAGATAAACTGGTACGTAGCGTAACACAGAGGAACTCCAAATCTGTAGAGATAAAGTAAAGAGGTACATAGCGTAACACAGAGGAACTCCAAATCTGTAGAGATAAAGTAGAGAGGTATGTAGCGTAACACAGAGGAACTCCAAATCTGTAGAGATATTTAGTAAAGAGGTACATAGCTTAACACGGAGGAACTCCAAATCTGTAGAGATAAACTGGTACGTAGCGCAACACAGAGGAACTCCAAATCTGTAGAAATAAAGTAAAGAGGTACATAGCGTAACACAAAGGAACTCCAAATCTGTAGAGATAAAGTAAAGAGGTACGTAGCGTAACACAGAGGAACTCCAAATCTGTAGAGATATAGAGGTACGTAGCGTAACACGGAGGAACTCCAAATCTGTAGAGATAAAGTAAAGAGGTACATAGCTTAACACAGGGGAAATCCAAATCTGTAAAGATAGAGGTACATAGCGGAACACAGAGGAACTCAAAATCTGTAGAAATAAAGTAAAGGTACATAGCGGAACACAGAGGAACTCCAAATCCGTAGAGATAAAGTAAAGAGGTACATAATGTAACACAGAGGAACTCTAAATCTGTAGAAATAAAGTAAAGAGGTACGTAGCGTAACACAGAGAAACTCCAAATCTGTAGAAATACAGTAGAGAGGTACGTAGCGTAACACAGAGGAACTCTAAATCTGTAGAGATAAAGTAAAGAGGTACATAGCGTAACACAGAGGAACTCCAAATCTGTAGAGATAAAGGTACATAGCGAAACACAGAGGAACTCTAAATCTGTAGAGATAAAGTAAAGAGGTACATAGGGTAACACAGAGGAACTCCAAATCTGTAGGAAAAAATAAAGAGGTACATAGCGTAACACAGAGGAACTCTAAATATGTAGAGATAAAGTAAAGAGGTACATAGCGTAACACAGAGGAACTCCAAATCTGTAGAGATAAAGGTACATAGTGTAACACAGAGGAACTCCAAATCTGTAGAGATAAAGTAAAGAGGTACATAGCTTAACACGGAGGAACTCCAAATCTGTAGAGATAAACTGGTACGTAGCGTAACACAGAGGTACTCCAAATCTGTAGAGATAAAGTAGAGAGGTACATAGCGTAACACAGAGGAACTCCAAATCTGTAGAGATATTTAGTAAAGAGGTACATGGCTTAACACGGAGGAACTCCAAATCTGTAGAGATAAACTGGTATGTAGCGTAACACAGAGGAACTCCAAATCTGTAGAGATAAAGTAAAGAGGTACATAGCGTAACATGGAGGAACTCCAGATCTGTAGATATAAAGTAAAGGTACATAGCATAACACAGAGGAACTCCAAATCTGTAAAGATAGAGGTACATAGCGTAACACGGGGGAACTCCAAATCTGTAGAGATAAAGTAAAGAGGTACATAGCTTAACACGGAGGAACTCCAAATCTGTGGAGATAAACTGGTATATAGCGTAACATAGAGGTACTCCAAATCTGTAGAGATAAAGCAAAGAGGTACGTAGCTTAACAAGGAGGAACTCCAAATCTGTAGAGATAAACTGGTACGTAGCATAACACAGAGGTACTCCAAATCTGTAGAGATAAAGTAAAGAGGTACATAGCGTAACACAGAGGAACTCCAAATCTGTAGAGATAGAGGTACATAGTGTAACACAGAAGAACTCCAAATCTGTGAAACAAGAAATCAACAGATAGCAAAACAATATTCACACAATAAACAAATACTAAATTTAACTAGAACTGTCCAAAAGGGACAAATACCCCCCGCTGGGTTTTTCAGAGAAAGTACCAAATCACTTATGTTTTCTAGATGTGAGAGGTGTTCACAATTTCCTTAAACATTTACAGTGAAAATTTAATTACTCATTATATATTTTTATACGTCCGTCTTACGACGGGACGTATTATGTTATAGCGTTCATGTTTGTCCGTCTGTTAGCTTTTTCATGTCCGGCTCATAACTTTAATACTATTAGGCCTAGAATTATCAAACTTTGTCAGCTGATACATCTAGGGTAGAAGGTGTGTCGCACATTAAAACCAGGTTGCTCTGACCTTTAATAAAGATGCTATGGCCAGATATGGAAAAATCATAACTAGAAATCCATTAGACTTAGAATCAAAAAACTATGTCTTTTAACTTTTAAATTACACAGTCCCAAAAGATGTCAGAGTATTGCAGTATCTTTATTAAAAAAGTGTTAAATCAAGAAAATACTAGTCTTATTTTTTTTCACTATGTTCTTTACAGCAATCTGTAACAACAAAAATTCCACCTCTCCCATGAGTGTAATGATCAGGCACTGGTCAAAGAAAATTTTGATAGCAGAAAATTGCATGTCAAATTAGAGAGAAATTAATGAGTTTAGTGTGAGGAGATAACTGGTAGAGCATCTCTGATCAAGCAGGTGTTATCTACATCTCTTGGGAATTGGACAAAAGGAATCAGTCTCTTAATTAATTGCTTGTGTTGTATTGAATTGTTCTTGTTGGCTAGTCTTACTTTCAAGATAAATTTGATGTAATTAAAACTAATTTGATATTGTATATAATAATTAAAAGTTATATGATATTGTATAATATAATTTAAACTAATTATTTATTGTACATTTTTTATTTGAATTTTTATATCTTTACAACAAATTGCAGACTGCCTTGTCTTGCTAAGATGTCATTCAAACAATTGAATCTAAACTGTTTATGATAATTTAACAATATTTGATGGGTGTATCATGCTGTGGTGGGGCACTTTATTTAATGAATGAAACTAAGGTGCAGCCTAATAAAACATCAACACTAATAATTACAGTGTTTTTTATTACATTGAAAAAATAGTTTGCAACTATCTGCCATCTTTGTGAGACATGACACAGGAAGCTTAGACAAATGGTCCAAATGTTCAAAAATCTGGTAGAAATAAGCTTACTTATATCATTTAAACTATTACTCAGTTTGCTTCTGGTATGCCCAGAAGCAGAGAAGAATTTCACAGGTACAATGCATTTTCACTACAGATTCAACAAAGCCTTACCCTAACACCAGAACCCAAGACCAAGGGTCAAGAAATTTACAAATTTGGAAGAGTTATCCGCATCATAATAACTATGGACTTCAAAGAATTAACACTTTTCCACTATATTATCAACCCCCCCCCCCCCCCCTCGTTATGCCAGAACCCCTGACCCAAGGGCCACAAGATTTAAAAATTCTGTTCGAAGCTCCCATTTTCATCACAGCTAAGCAATTTATTTATCAGCTCAACACTAAGGAGCAGACAGGATTAATTAATGATTAATAGAATTAATGCTTTTTCACTATATAATCAATAGAGTCCCCCCCCCCTCCTCAAGAACCCCAAAAACTGAGGCCATATATTTAAAAATTTTGGAAGAGGCATCCTTGCCTATCATAATCATGCACTTAGTTTGTTTAAATAATCTCCAGTAGCAGAGAAGAAAATTTTCAAAGAATCAATGCATTTTCTAGGGGTGAAATGATATACCTCCTTCACGGTTCGATACGTATTGTATAATTTTGTCTCGGTACGGTTATTTTCGATACGATACATTTTGATAGAGGGAAACAAATTCAACCTTGTTTTATGCCTATGTTTACTAAATCTAGTCACTTAATTTATGAATTTTTAATTACAAATTGACTAGAAGAAATTGACTAGAAATTATCTGACTCAAAAATTATTTTACAAACTATCTTTCATCAAAAATTTACGTTTTGTATACTTATTTATACCGAGTAACATGTTTTACCTTACGCCAAACCCAACTGAATAACGATCCCGACCGAAATATGAACCGAACCGAAAATTAGAGATTTTGTACCGAGTATCAAACCGAGAAAAAATACCGCGGTGAATCGATACCGCTGTGAACCGTTTCACTCCTAGCATTTTCACAATATAATCAATAGAGCCCCGCCCTAACACCAGAACCCCTGACCCTGGGTCCATGAAATTCACAATTTTTGAAAAGGCATCCTTATGCATCATAACCAAGCACTTATTTTGTTTAAATAATCTCCAGTAGCAGAGAAGAAGATTTTCAAAGAATCAATGCATTTTCACTATATAATCAATAGAGCCCCGCCCTAACACCAGAACTCCTGACCCTGGGTCCATGAAATTCACAATTTTTGAAAAGGCATCCTTATGCATCATAACCATGCACTTAGTTTGTTTAAATAATCTCCAGTAGCAGAGAAGAAGATTTTCAAAGAATTAATGCATTTTCACTATATAATCAATAGAACCCCGCCCTAACACCAGAACCCCTGACCCTGGGGCCATGGCTTTCACAATTCTGGAAGAGGCCCACCTCCTCATCATAACTATGTACTTAGTTTATCACCTTAATGCCCAGAAGCAGAGGAGAAGATTTTCAAAGAATTAATGCATTTTCACTATATAATCAATAGAGCCCCGCCCTAACACCAGAACTTCTGACCCTGGGGCCATGAATTTCAAAATTTTGGAAGAGGCACTCTTGCTCATCATAACTATGTACTTAGTTACTTTATTTAATACCCAGGAGCAGAGAAGAAGATTTTCAAAAAATTAATGCATTTTCACTATATAATCAATAGAGCCCTGCCCTAACACCAGAACCCCTGACCCTGGGGCCATGAAATTCACAATTTTGGAAGAGGCTCTCTTGCTCATCATAACTATATAGTAGTTACTTTATTTAATACCCAGGAGCAGAGAAGAAGATTTTCAAAGAATTAATGCATTTTCACTATATAATCAATAGAGCCCCGCCCTAACACCAGAACCCCTGACCCTGGGGCCATGAATTTCACAATTTTGGAAGAGGCACTCTTGCTCATCATAACTATGTACTTAGTTACATTATTTAATACCCAGGAGCAGAGAAGAAGATTTTCAAAGAATTAATGCATTTTCACTATATAATCAATAGAGCCCCGCCCTAACACCAGAACCCCTGACCCTGGGGCCATGAATTTCACAATTTTGGAAGAGGCACTCCTGCTCTTCATAACTATGTACTTAGTTACTTTATTTAATACCCAGGAGCAGAGAAGAAGATTTTCAAAGAAATAATGTACATTCACTATATGATCTATATAGCCCCACCCTGGGGCCAGAACCCCTGACCCTGGGACCATGAATTTCACAATTTTGATAGAGGGTTCAATGCTTATTTCAATGATGCCAACAGTTTGACTGCTTGATGTCCAGGAGTAAAGAAGAAGATTTTTAAAGATTGCATTATTTTTGGTGGTTTTAACCCCACCCCTCAGGCCCCAGGGGGGCAGGGACCATGAAATTCACAATTTTTGTTCCCCTTCACCCATAGATGCTATATGCCAAATTTGGTTGAAATTGATTAAGCGGTTTTAGAGAAGAAGCTAAAAATGTTCAATTGTTAACGCACGCCGACGGACGAGAACGGATAGCAATAGGTCACCTGAGTGACTCAGGTGACCTAACTAGCCAATAACATCATAGATATTCAGTTTATACTTACGATGGAGAGTAATGCCCCCTTGTCATAATTTGGCTGGAATGATATCTGTTGGGGGAATTCTCCAGGTTCTCCTTGTATTAATCCACTGAAAAGATACAAAGTTTAACTTTAATGATGAAACCAGTTAAAATTTAGCAGCCCTACTAGGACAACTTTGTTGTTGTCAAACTTTGTTATCTCAAACTGGATGGGACTGAGAGAAAACTCTAGAGATATCAGAGGGTTGTTGTAATTGTTGTGAGTGTGTGTGTGTGTGGGGGGGGGGGGGGGGGGGGGGGGGGAAGGTGGCACAAAAAGATAAACTTGTGAAACATCTACCTCTCCCTGGTTTCACTTCACTTTGATCCATTACAAAAAGTGTACAGTGCTATAATCACCCTCGGACTGTGTACAACTCATGTGAAGTCTCCAAAGAATGAAATAAATTTTAAGATCCACCACATAAAATATTGAATCTCCATTACCCCCAAACTGAACATATGTATTTGTAGTCACTGAAGATTTCTAATTTCATTGTACTTTGAACAGCCCCTTTATTAAGAACTGGATAAAGTACAATTGTTAAAATACAAAATTTGTAATGATCAATTTAAGCATTCTTTACACTATATAAGACTAAGATGAAGCTTTTAAATACTTCAACTGCATTCATTTTCCCTATTTAAGTAAGCAACAATTATTTCTGTTCATAATTAATGCACAAATAAAGAAAAGGAAGGTCAAGGTCATAATGTGTTATATTTTGGAACAGTTGAATAGTTCTCACCAACATGTTTTAGGGTCAAAGTCAACTGAAGATCAGGGTATAAAATAATGATGCAGTTGAATAGCTCTCCCAGTATGTATCAGCATTTGAAGTTTGATAAAAATACCTTGAACAATTTCTTGAAACTTGGAATGTTCTATCATTAAAATGACAATGTCCTATGACAATGTAGTAAAGATAACCCTAACTCGGTGCATACACTATGAACAATCCAGAATGTTCAGAATGTCAACATGGTGTGTAAATTTTAAGGCAAGTAAAAATGTTTGAATAAGTCATGAATTCTTCCATTATATGGATTAATTATTGTATGAAAGCTATCCACAATTTCAAAAAGTTTTGTTATGAATCAGTGATTTTTCTACACTCAATTTAGGTCCGAATATCGGCCCTTTCCCCTCTTAAAAATTACCAATTTTCCCCCAATTTTCAACTGCTTTTTTCCCAAAATCAAAACGTATTGTTTTGGTTTAATTGAATTTTTTATGTACGACTTATCTAAAATGGAACGCTATTGTTTTTGGTCATTCGGACGCTTAAAATAATGGCGAAAAACAACAGTTTAATTGTGTGTTTGCAAGACTTGGAAAATCGATCATGTGGAAGTCAAACTTTTGTGTCAATACATCGTAAGAAATTTAAATATGCATGTGAATCTGTTAAGCATAGCTTTATTTGTAATTTGCAAGTACTAGTAGTTCTACAACAAGTGTCCTTGATTTCACGAAAATTAAACTGTTTCTTCATCCTGCAGAGACTGGCATTGCAGAGAAATATGCGATACAGCAATACATGCTTGTAAATAGTGTCAAGATTATTCCATCTCCAATGCGAGCAATAACGAGAAATCGGGAATGATTTTTTTTCCTCAATTTATAATTCTACCATAATGGTAAACAAGAGGCCCATGGGCCACAACGCTCACCTGAGTAACTTTGGCCTTGCTGTTTTTCACCCGATTTCCCCCTTGTAATACCTATTGTGGCCCCGCCCTACCCCAGGGGTCATGATTTGAACAATTTAGAATCTACACTACCCCAGGATGCTTCCACATAAGTTTCAGCTTTTCTGGCCCAGTGGTTCTTGAGAAGAAGATTTTTAAAGATATTTTCTACATATTTCAATGTAAAACTTGGATTCCCTATTGTGGCCCCGCCCTACCCCTGGGGGTCATGGTTTTTACAATTTAGAATCTACACTATCCCAGGATGCTTCCACATAAGTTTCAGCTTTTCTGGCCCAGTGGTTCTTGAGAAGAAGATTTTTAAAGATTTTTTCTACATATTTCAATGTAAAACTTGGATTCCCTATTGTGGCCCCGCCCTACCCCCGGGGGTCATGATTTGAACAATTTAGAATCTACACTACCCCAGGATGCTTCCACATAAGTTTCAGCTTTTCTGGCCCAGTGGTTCTTAAGAAGAAGATTTTTAAAGATTTTTTCTACATTTTTCAATGTAAAACTTGGATTCCCTATTGTGGCCCCGCCCTACCCCCGGGGGTCATGATTTTAACAATTTAGAATCTACACTACCCCAGGATGCTTTCACATAAGTTTCAGCTTTTCTGGCCCAGTGGTTCTTGAGAAGAAGATTTTTTAATGACCCCACCCTATTTTTGTCTTTTCTTGATTATCTCCCCTTGGAAGGGGGCTTGGCCCTTTATTTTAACAATTGAAACTCCCCTTCACCCAAGGATGCTTTGTACCAAGTTTGGTTAAAATTGGCCCAGTGGTTCTTGAGAAGAAGTTGAAAATGTGAAAAGTTTACAGACGGACGGACGGACAGACAGACGGACGGACGGACGGACGGACGACGGACAACGGGTGATCAGAAAAGCTCACTTGAGCTTTCAGCTCAGGTGAGCTAAAAAAAAGAATATCTATAGGACAATCAAAATACAAAAATGAAAGAAAATTAAAATGTAGAACTGTCCATTTTGTTGAACTTGAAAAATTTTGTAACAAATAAATTCAATAAATGATATTACATTTACTTATTATTTTATTTTACTTGTCAATATGAAGGTTAATTACAATCTTATTGTTTTTCCCAATTTGACACAAATGTCGACAATTTTTCCCAATTGAAAAGGCACAGGCCCCTTTTAAAAATTGTAGAAAAATCACTGCTGAATAATCAGTCAGGGGTGAGACTGAAATCCGTCATTTTTAAAATGACAATTTTTAATCATAAAATAAAATTTTTATTATGACTTAAACTCGTCATTTTTAAGAAAATGACGAAAAACAGTCATAAAATTTAGAGTGTTTCTAGAATACCGAGTTACCTCTCTTTAAAAAAAGGACAAAAAACATCGTAAACAAACTTCATTTCTCAAATACAGTTGACTACAATACTGGTTATGTTGACAGTACAAATTTCCCAAGCAAAAATAAGAGTGGAAGAGTTATTTGTCAATTTATTTGCATTAAACAGGAAAGAAGACGAAAATGACGATATTTTGTCTTTTTTCAAAATGGAGGGTCTGGGCGCACTGAAATATCTCGCTTGTTTTACGGGGCGCACTACTTTCTTATGGCTTTAACTTTTTGTTGAGACTTTTCTCTACAAGTACGTATTCTTCCAGACGGTGTACTATATGTTTTTATAGGGTTAAAGCCATGTAAAAATGGTGAATTAGTTCTACCAAAATTCGACATTTTACCGCTAGATAATAACTTCCACCTTCCATGTTGATGTTCTAACGCACGTGGTCGGCAGTAATGAGTGACCCTGATGAAATGAAACTTGTATAAACACTCTTCTTTCAGCGGTGAATTCAAATTTTGCTTTTATGTAACCAGGATAGAGGAATTAAGTTGAAAAAGGAAAATATGACGATAGTAAGTCATATTGATAAAAATGACAAAAATACGTAGTTAGTAAATATGACGATTATCCATCATTTTTCAGAAATGACGGATTTCAGTCTCACCCCTGACTGAATAATTTGTTGGATATATTCAATGCAACTCTATTAATTTTCTCCATAATTGTTTCAGAGTGATTCTGCTATTTTCTGCTACATTGCGGGTATATATGGGAGGAATTCTAACTGTGGTGAGGGCCTGTCCCGAGATTATTCTAACTATTTAAATCTGAGCTATAGGCAAAGAGTGATGGACAGAAGGAAAGAGAGATGAAAGGATGGACATGACAAACATATTCATGGTGAGGTATAAAAATGTTCAAATATTTTTTCTATCAGATTCCAAAAAAAAATTACCATGGAGTAATCTCCAACATGGGGTTTATCTTTGTCCTGAAGAGAGCTACAAATGGCAGAACCTGACCCCTGTCATCTACAAAATACAAAAAAAGAATAAGAGCAAACAAGAGCATACAACAAACAGCCAATCAAAGCGATCCCCAGTCATCTATAAAATACAGAGTAACAGGTAACAAACAGGGCAATCAAAGATCTGGAACCTCAAAAGTTATCTACAAGGAAGGTTATGGTGCTACAAAGTTACCTTAGTGACACTATGTAAGATTTTTTTCTTCTGAGCCAAACATTTTTTTTTTATCTACATCCATTACTACCAAGTACATTATATATGCGCACCATGAGAACTCGTTGAAATCTCAAGTCAAGAGCAACTACTGTATAAGTAGAATTTTTAGCCAGACAAAAATTTAGCAAATTATCCCCCAAAAATTGTATTTATTTACAGCAGGAAGTAATTTTATAATGTCAAGAAAGATAGCTATAACAATCGATACGGAATAAATTGTTCACGATAATCAATTTTTGAGACCTCAAAACCCTCACTTATAATGCCAAAATTAAATCTTCGCTAAAAATTCTGCTTATGTGGTAATTTTTTGGTCATTGTTGGGAGTCCAAAACCCTTGATATGAAATTCACCACCCAGTGGTGTCAGTTACCACACTGCTGGTGGCGTTTCCTTTAATTGCTGTTGACTTACCATGTAGAGTTACAGCTAATCTTTCCCCATGTCGATCCATCACCATACTTTGTACATGTCCCCCAATCCTGTATGAAAGAAATTCAAAGAGAAATTAGTTTTTAAAAATAAATGTAATGCAATTAAAAAGTGCCTCTTTATGTCATCTATGATACATTAAGACTTGGTACAGAAAAACATGCTTATAGCAAACACACTTATAATGAATTAACATTTATTGTTAGGTGATTTTCATAGCCCTTGACTTTAAAATATATTGAACACTTAATGGATACAACAAATTACGCTTCTAACATAGCACATTTGTCAGTTCCTAGCACAGACTGAGGTTCATTGAAAAATTATCTTTAATAGGACTTTTTAATGTCCTCTGTCAAAAATGAAAGTCTTAATTATTAAACTAAAATATGGAAAAAGGACTTCTAATGGAATGGAATTGCACTGGATTAACAGACCCACTGTACCCAAACTTTCTTTACCAAGGACAAGAGCAATCAAATTATTCATATATTTTTAGATATACATTGTGAATCTTTGATTTTAATGATTCAATAGCAATTTTATAACTGGTTCTTCAAAGTTTCATATTCATAAACTGTATAAACTCCTACACACTTGACCATATTCCCATCCACAGTGGCTATTTCAACCTCTGACAGATTGACAGACACAACAGCTGACTGAGATCCACCAATCACAGTGGACGTATCATCTTCACTGGTGGAAAATGTAAGGGAGTATATGACTGGCTCATTTTCAGTGGCAAATAGTAAGGTTCTACCATCTGGACTCCAGCATGCAGCCTATTTAAACAAAGTTGAAAAATGTTTGAAATTAACTTTTTTTCACAGGAATATCATATCAAATTGTCTCCACAACTATTAGTCATAGATTGTTTTTGGTAGAAAGAAAAATGGTTTATAGTGTAGGTTGGATAAAAAAATTATTTTTAAAAAAATGGTTCAACTATTGCATAATTATTTATCCCCTGGATTGTGTGTCTGGAATATATCCCTGAATAGACTTCTAGATCTCAAGAACCTAAAATCCTCCAATGTAAGAAGGATCTTTTCTGTTTATCAACTTAACAGTGGATTACCTTACAGCGACTTGTGCATTTCGTCCACACTTCACAGGTCCATTTCTTTGTTTCCCAAACTCTAAAACAAAGACACCACACAATGAAAATCAAATGGCTTTAATCAGTGTTGGAAATCACTCTGAACTGAAATTAAAACTGGACTTATGAAAGAAAATAAAAACAAGAGGCCCAGGGGCCACATCGCTCACCTGAGCACTTTGGCTAGGAAAAAGCAGAAATCAGTTCAGTCTTGAAAGGTTGAAAAGTTTAAATATAAAAGTGGTTCGGGGGGGGGGGGGGGGGGGGGGGGGGCTTGAATTGATTAAATTTGAATCTACATTATCTGAGAATGCTCCCACTTAAATATGACCAATCATGGCTTTGCAGTTCTTGAGTAGAAGATTTTTAAAGATTTAACCTATGTATTCCTATGTAAAACTTTGATCACTCATTGTGGCCCCACCCGACCCCCAGGGGTCATGATTGAACAAACTTGAATGTACACTATCTAAGAATGCTTCCATATAAATATGACCAATCATGGTTTTGTTGTTCTTGAGAAGAAGATTTTTAAAGATTTTTCCTATATATTCCTATGTAAAACTTTGATCGCCCATTGTGGCCCCACCCGACCCCCAGGGGTCATGATTTGAACAAATTTGAATGTACACTCTCAGAGGATGCTTCCATGTAAATATCACCAATCATGGCTTTGCTGTTCTTGAGAAGAAGATTTTTAAAGATTTTTTCTATATATTCCTATGTAAAACATTGATCACCCATTGTGGCCCCACCCGACCCCCGGTGGTCATGATTTGAATAAACTTGAATCTACACTACCTGAGGATGCTTCCATATAAGTTTCATATTTTCAAGCACAGTGGTTCTTGAGAAGAAGATTTTTTAATGATGCCATTAATTTTTCACAAATTCTTAATTATCTCCTCTTGGAAGAAGGCGTGGCCCTTCATTTGACCAAATTTGAATCCCCTTTACCCAAGGATACTTTGTGGCAAGTTTGGTTGAAATTGGCCCAGTGGTTCTGGAGAAGAAGTCGAAAATGTGAAAAGTTTACAGACAGACAGACAGACAGACGGACGGACTACAGACAAAATGTGATCAGAAAAGCTCACTTGAGCCTTCGGCTCAGGTGAGCTAAAAACTAAACTAGAACTGTCATTAAGACTAATAGCCACCAACATGACATACTGAAAACATGCATAATTGGAAAGAACAAAGAGTGAAAGTTTAAATTGCCTTTTTTATGCAACCAAATATCTCATATAACTATATGATCATTGCATATCATCTGAACATACATGTAAAAGGCATTTGAATAAAGCTTCAATCTGCAATCTCTGACAGAATTACATGTTTGTCTTGGACAAAGCATCTTCTCTGAATCTCTTCACCTTGACAAAATGGCTTTGACTCATGGCAATGACACAACCTTTGTCAAGAACAACTGAGTCATGCAAATTTTAAGTCCCTACTATATTTAAAGGTATTTTCCTCTGTGAACCTGTAAAAAATTACCTTAGTTCAACATTTAGACACACCTGAACATAAGCAACCTTTGTGTTACCAAGTATTAGCTGGCTTTTTATTTTGTGTACATGTAATAATTTCAGAATTTGAAGCATTTTTGAGGCCCACCAATCAAATCAAGAATATGTTTGGAATAAGTTTTTACTAGATTAGGATGCTCAATATAAATTCAACCAACTGTTTAAACAAACTTGAATCTACATCACACACTAATGCATTTACTAGTAATCTAGACAATTTTGCCTAGCAGATACTTTTTTTTACAGATGATTCTTCAAGATTTCAAGGCAAAACTTTTGATCCCCTTTTTGTCTATTTATCATGTTTATGCCATGGATTAAACAAACATGAATCTTGATCATCACAGGATGTTTGTAATCATGTGTAAATTGAATAATTGTAACTTTGTTAATCTTGAGATTAAAAAAAAAAAATCAAATCTATGCAAACTTTTGAACCCTTTTATGGCCCAATCCATGCTAAAGGGGCCATGGTTTGAACAAAAATCCTATCAAATCTACACATGTAGGTAATTTTTGGGACCCTTTCATGGCCCAATCCATGCTGAAGGGGTCATGGTTTGAACAAATATCTTATCAAATCTATGCAAACTTTTGGACCTTTTATGGCCCAATCCATGCTAAAGGGGCCATGGCTTGAACAATCTTGAATCTACACTGAAAGTGGATGTTTGCATATACATGAAAGTGTAAAATTTTCTAGAAATTCTAGCTTTTGTTGTAATTAACATTTACAAGAATCAAAGCCATGTATTAAATTTACACAGGATGAAATTACACCATTCAGTCGACAGAATGGTAACTGAATGGTCACTGAAAAGTTCCTTTCCTGTGACTTTTCCGTGGTCTTTCAGTTACCATTCCGTCGACTGAATGGCAGATACATTTGAGTGGCCTTTCAGTTATCTTTCAGTTGTATCTTTTTATTGAATAATCAGCTTATTTTTTAACTTAAAAAGTTTATTTCACGTTTTCTTATTATAATGATATTAAATTAATCTATTTTCAAATAAAAAAAAATTTTAAAAAGTGAATATAAGAAAAAAATTTCATGCCGAAAGCCGCGATCGAACCTTGGTCTCCCGCTTGATAGTCCGTGACATTATCCATTATGCGTGGGCGTTTTGTTGACTGGTTCATAATTTAAAATCAATAAATTTGTGGAAATCGAATTGGGACACCCAGTTCACCTGTTGTATTGAGGAGCTGGGCAATGTGTATATATCTTATATACATTTTGTATGTTCTATGTGCGGATTTTTGGGGCTGACTAATTAATTACACATCTCCTATCGGGATGATGACAATTACCAGCGAGGGGCACCTGTTTTTTTTTTCTCCAAAGAAATGATTCAAGATGGATCCTCATCTTGGAAAATGTAAATTCTTAAAAATGATATCTTTAAACATGCTAAATTATTGTGCTATTTTATAAATCAAGAAACAAAATTTACAATATAAAGGTTCTTCCACAAGAGGCATAAATAATTAATTCAATCTGTTTATTTAAAATAATTTTAAACAATATTTTTTAGAAGCTAAAATATTACACGATTTTAACAATTAAGAAACAAAATTTACAGTATTAAAGTTTCTTCCAGGAAAGGCATAAATAATTAATTCTGTCTCGTCTTTCATGACCAAATATTTCCATGAAAACTAACCGCATTAAACACTGTGATAGGTGGATATAAAAATAATAAATAACTATTTTATAGTTGAAAAAAATAAGAAAACTTTTTTCTTTTTTATTTTAAGAGCATTTTGACCGATATCCTTGATTTTTTTTCAGATTGACTGTCTGTTTATTCATTTGACAACTTATCAAATTGAATAAGCTTCTGAAAATATTCATAACAGATTTAGAGATTTTACTTAAAGAAAAAAATAAGACAATTCTATTCCTGTGAATTAAATTCTGATACGAATATTATTTTTCATCATTTGAATGATTTTCTTTTTCAAGATCAATTTTCATGAAACAAATTAGAAATTCGAAAATCATTTTGAATTTTATGAGTCCACAGTTGAATTGTAATCTTTAATGTTTATAAAATTATAATTTACTAGACATAGATGTTATAGATAATAATCACAATTTAACATTCTAGTAATCAATTTAAAGACGATTGAACATCTAACCATTACCAGTTCTACTTATCTGAATTTTATATTGAATAAGAAAACACTTTTAAAAATGTGAATAATTTCATTTAAAAAAAATTTAAGGAATAACTACTGATAAACTAATGAAAAGGTAGTTGAATTACGACTGAAAGGTCACTGAAAGACAACAGAAAGGTCACTGAAAGACGATGGAAAGGTCACTGAAAGGCAATGGAAAGATGACGGAAAGGTCACTGAAAGATTACTGAAATGTGTCCGCTGAATGGTGACTGAAAGGTACCTGAATTGTGGCTGAAAGGTAAATGAAAGGTCACTGAAATGTACCTGCCATTCAGTGACTGAATGGCCACTGAAAAGTCACTGAAAGCCGTTTTTCAGTTTTAACTGAAAGGTCTGGTTTCTTCCTGTGAACCTTTACTGTAAGAAAAAACGGTCGAACCATTTACCATAATGTATGACATTATGTCTTCCTCTTTAATTTATGTAATGTGATGTAGCATGACATTTAAAATATACAACAATCTGACAATTAATGTATATACTACAGCTGATCAAATACCAGACTATGTACATTAAAACATGCTTAAAACTAGTGTTCTTTTTTTTACAAACAAAAACGTCTCCCCTTCTTTACAAACATTAAGGATTGCAATAAGATCATCGGGGTAAAAAATTAAAATGCAGTGCATCTCAGCTTAAATTTATCGATCTGTGTACAAAATGTCAAGTCTTTTATTGACCTTGACTTTATAAATGGGCGGAGGTTAAAACTTCTGTTGAAATGCAACACTCCTTTTTCTCTATACCACCTCTCCTTGTTCCAAGTTTGAAGTTATAATATTAAAATCCTCCTAAGTTTATGTCTAGTAATTTTTTCAATTTGAAAAAAAATGAATGAATGGGTTCCAGGTCAAAATTTGCGTGCCGGTCATTTTGTCTCAATCTTCTTCTTATGTGACAAGTTTGAAAACCTAATGTACTGGGGTTCTTAGATTATGGCCTGGATTATATTTTGATGTAAAAGATTGACCTTGACTTTATAAATGGATCAAAGTAAAAAATTCATTGGAATACACCTTTCTTTTATCCCACCTCTCCATGTTCAAAGTTTGATGTCATTATGTCATAGGTTTCTTATGTTTTTGTTTAGTTGTTTTTTTTTTTCTCTATTTGACCTTGAAGAAAAGGGTCAAGAACAAAATGTGGGTGCTGGTAAGCTTGCCTCATTGTCTTCTTTTTATGTTAAAAGCTTGAAATTCTAATGCCAAATGGATCTCAGGTTATTGCCTGTACTATATTTTGATGTTAAAGATAAACGTTGACCTCATAAATAGGTCATGTTGAAAAAAAAAAAAAACACATGGTTTGCGGGCACGCCTCCTCAATACCATCTCCTAATGTTCCAAGTTTGAAGTTTTAATGTCAAATTGTGCCCAAGTTACAGCCTGCAATTAGCTTATCAATATTTACCTGAATAACCGGGATGGTGTGGCTGAAAAAACTTTGGATCCATCAGGGGACCATCGCAAGAGAGACACGCCCCCACCCCCGTGTCTTCGGAGTGGTACACAAGTCTCCATAGGAACATCCCAAGCCTGCAACAAAAAATAGAACACGACTTATTCAGCTTGACTCATGTATTTACCTTTTAACAAATGTATAATCTTTCAAGAAATACAGACTACTAATACATATATAGCTTTGCATCAAATTAGGGATACTTACTAAAACACATTAAATCTTTACATTTTATTTGATTTGAGCGACTTTTTTGTGTTAATTACATGTAAAAGATGACCCAACTGGAAAAATCTGCTAAGTTACTTTGGAGATTACCCTAATAAATACAATGTATTCATAAACATTTGTAAAAGTATAAGGAATTTTAGTACACCAAGAACTGTGTTATGTGAACTACAAAAGTACTAAATTATTATTTTAACACATTTTTGAGCAAGTGGAACACCTTTTTACGAACTTTTATAGAATTACCTTCCAAATTACCTTCCATGATCGATTTTAATTTATCACTTTCTTTTTGCACAGATAATGCAATTTCTATAACTGATAATAGTCACAGTTAAACCTTGTTATTTCTAGCCCAATAAGATCAAGATCAAATTTCGAGATATCCATGGGCTGGAGATAGCAACTGAAGGTTAAAAAACGTAAAGAATAAGTTGTTGGGACTGCCAATCAAATCATTTCTTCATTTCTCTATTTCCCTGATATTCAAAATATGAGTGTTTGAGATAACCAATTTCAACTATTTTTTTTCGAAGAAATATTGCAAGTTAACTTTCAGAGAGTGTTGTTAAGGACTCAGAACGGTCTCCAAGATGACTGTTACCATAAGAGAGGTGTCCACCGGTGAGGCTGAGAGGAGGATCCTACCACTGGGGTCCCACGCCAGACAGGTCACGGGGGAGTGGTTAGTCTGCTGTAAGACTTGACATGAACTTGTAGATGGTCTGTAAAGGTCAAGGTCACATTATTAAAAACAATCAAAAACAAGATGTGTTTGTGAAACACTGATGCCCCCGTATGGCAGCTTATGGCAAAGGTTAAAGTTTCTCAAATGCAAGTCAAAATCCAGGCCAAAAGATAAAAAATGTTGATACCCAAAGAAAGATCTTGTCTCGAGGAATACACCTGTGAAATTTGAAAGACCTAGATACAATTGTTCAAAAGTTATGGCGAAGGTTAAAGTTTTTTAAATAAAAGTCAAACGTCAAGGTCAAGGTCAAAGTGGTTGGTATCCAAAGGAAGACCTTGTCACAAGGATTACATATGTGAAGTATGAAAGCCCTAGCACCAACCAGTCAAAAGTTATGGCCAAGGTTAAAGTTTTTCAAAAGAAGGTCAAACTCCTAGGTCAAGGTCAAAGGGTCAAAGTGGTTGGTATTCAAAGGAAGGTCTTGTCACAAGGATTACATATGTGAAGTATGAAAGCCCTAGCGTCAACCATTCAAAAGTTATAGCCAAGGTTAAAGTTTTTCAAAAGTAGGTCAAACTCCTAGGTCAAGGTCAAAAGGTCAAAGTGGTTGGTATTCAAAGGAAGGTCTTGTCACAAGGATTACATATGTGAAGTATGAAAGCCCTAGCTCCAACCATTCGAAAGTTATGGCCAAGGTTAAAGTTTTTCAAAAGTAGGTCAAACTACTAGGTCAAGGTCAAAGTGGTTGATATCCAGAGGAAGGTCTTGTCACAAGGAATACACGTGTGAAGTTTGAAACCCTAAGCACCAACTGTTCAAAAGTTATGGCTAGGGTTAAAGTTTTTCAAAAGTAGGTCAAAGTCCAAGGTCAAAGTCAAAAGGTCAAAGTTGTTGGTATCCAAAGGAAGGCCTTGTCACAAAGAATACACAAGTGAAGTTTGAAACCCCAAGCACCAACTGTTCAGAAGTTATGGCCAAGGTTAAAGTCTCATAAAATTTTGCAAAAGTGGGTCAAACTCCAAGGTCAAGGTCAAAAGGTCAAATATGATGGTACCCAAAGAAAGGTCTTGTCACAAGGAATACACACGTGAAATATGAAAGTCATAGCTCCAACCAATCAAAAGTTATGGGCAAGGTTAAAGTTGACAACAGACAGACAGACAAACAGACAAACGGACAAACAGACAAACAGATAAGCAGACAAACAGACAGACAGGACAAAAACAATATACCCCCGGGATCTTTCGATCCGGGGGCATAATTACAAAGCTCACCTCAACAAATGTTAATCTATAAGTGATGGCAATGTGTCTCATCAATTGAACGTTCGTCCTTGCAAGAATGGTCACTAAAGGACTTACAGTCACTTGGGATTGGACCTGCCCTAAAAACTTTAACCTGATCACTCATCTGGAATATGTTAGATCCAGCATCCAAAGCATGTACATGTATACTACTATGCTTACCTGGTATCTTACCTGGTAGCTAGTGACGTGGGCTCTACCTGCCTTATCTGTTAGTTACCAATCTTACCTGGTAGCTAGTGAGGTGGGCTCTACATGCCAGATAAGAACACAGGACTGACAGCCAACAGCTAGGACAGAGGCTGACTGAGGTCTGTAAAGGTCACATTATGGACATTAGTTATCTGCATGTAATGCTATAATTAATATAATATGCAACCATTTCCAAGTCTGTGAAAATTCACTTCTATCAAATGTAGATGCCAAAATATAATTTTTAAGTTGCTTACTGAAGAGCAGCCAATTGAGTGGAATTTCTGTATCTACAGTTGTAAAATTAAAATATTACATTTTAAATGACAATTTTGATTTTAAAAACTTTACTGCCAGGCCAAAGCAGCAACATTTTTCTGTAGCTTATGTTTGAGAGTGGGAACCAGATCACTTTTCCCAGAATGCACTTTGATCGAATCATCACCAAGGGCGTAGGCAAATTTGAGTGTATGAGGATGCCAGGCAAAGGCACGTACTGGACTACGGGGCCTGAAAGACAAAATACATGTTCTGTGTATACAATATTTAACATTGTACTGGACTACTGGGCCTTAAAGTTAAAATACATGTTCTTTATATACAATATCTAACACTGTACTCAACTACTGAGGCTAAAAGACAAATACATGATCTGTGTATATACAATATTTAACATTGTACTGGACTACTGGGCCTGAAAGACAAAATACATGTTAAAGTTTATAATAAAGCAACATTGTCAGTCCCATGCACTTTGTTATAAGTGTCTTTTACTGTATAGTGTTTTCAATGATAAGTAAGATTTAATACATAGTCTCATTGTGTGTCAGCAACACATAAAAATGTCCTATATTCCTTTTCTTTTAATATAGCTTTCAACATCTCAATCTTTCTGAAAATTTTTTCTTTAAAGAAATGCTAAAATGACAAAGAAATTCCTTTAAAGAATGATAATATGCATATGTTTCCTTACCAGTTAGATATGTCTGTAAACTTGGTAATGATTTCTTCATTAGACATCTGGAATAAGAACAACAGTAGATTTAAAGTAACAAAGCATTATACTCTGATATTCATTTAAGTTAATGCAAATCATTTTTATAATTTTCTTTTTGCATAAATATGACTAGGTGTTAGGAAAAAAAAACAAGATAGGCCACATCGCTCATCTTAGCAATGTGGGTAGGAAAAAAATCAAATATCAGTTTAGTGTTAAAAAGCATAACTGCATAAGTGGTCCCCACCTACCCCTAAAAGGCAGAAGGGGTGGGGTGGGGGGTATGATTTGATTTTGATTTTGAACAAAATTGAATCTGCACTAACTAAGGATGCTTACATATTTTTTTGACTGTGATTTTTTTCCTACAAGTTTGAACTTTCACTGTTGCCCCGCCCTACCCCCCGGGGTCATGATTTGAACAAACTTGAATCTACACCACCTGAGGATACTTCCATATAAATATGACCAATCATAGCTTTGCTGTTCTTGAGAAGAAGATTTTTGAAGATTTTTCCTATATATTTCTATGTAAAACTTTGAATCTACACTACCTGAGGATATTTCTACATATGTTTCATCTTTCCTGGTACTGTGGTTGAGAAGAAGACTTTTAAAACATGCCAACAAATTTTCACTATTTCTAAATCATCTCCCCTTGAATGAGGGCATGGCCCTTCATTTGAACAAATTTGAATCCCCTTCACCGAAGGATGCTTTGTGGGAAGTTTGGTTAAAATTGACTTTGTGGTTCTTGAGACAGACAGACTACAGACAAATGTGATTAGAAAAGCTCACTTCAGCTTTCAGCTCACGTGAGTTAAAAAGATTTCTTTTGCAATACAAACTATTTTATTAATAGTTCGACATGTAAAATCTCAACATCACATGTATCAGACGATACTGTAGATCACTAAATTTTAGCAATACCTTATTTTCTCCGATAGGTATATAGTATTTAAAAGCCAGACAAATATTTCACTAATTCTGGTTATTTCTCTATGTAATCTACACTCTTTAAAATATACCGGTAAACAAGAATGAAAATTTTGCAAACAGACTGTCTTGCAAAGACATATACAGCATAACCTCATTATCTCGAACCCGATGGGACTGAGAAAATGCTTTGAGATATCCAAGGGTTCGAGATATGCAGGGTAAAATAACTTAAGGAATAAACATTTAGGACTTCCAAATCACTTCAACATATCCATGTATTCGAGTTATCTGTGTTTGAGATACCGAAGTTCGACTGTGTATGAGCCACTGGCAGAATGCTACACTATTTATTAAGTACTGCAGTTCTGAGATAATGTGTTTTACTTACAGAGAGATGAGGGAAGACAGATCCATGAAGAGAGTTTGCCCATCGGACAAAGGTCAAGGTCTTCTTGGCCAGGACACCTACACACTCAGGGACTACAAACAAAAAGACAGCATTTAATGAGGAGTTGACAGTTTCTGAAGAGGGGTGCAGAGTTATAAACCATCATTTGATGATGAATTTATTTACTTTCATGAATATGAAGCACTGGACAGCAGACAACAACGAAAGATTTAAAGAAAAATTAATCATGTTCTGTTGTTATACATGAAATAGAAACTTTTTTGTCATAACATTTATCTTCATTTCATAGTTTCTGGAGGGGCAAGTAAAAATTGAGGTAGGGTAAGTGAATTTTGACCACGCACATGCTCCCACGGCAATTGCTTGAACAATCTAGTTGTCAGCCCCTGTGGATTGTCTAATAAAATGTCTAACACATCCCTTCCCCCTTCCCCTGATAATGAAAAATCCATGAAATTCTACAACTATGATGTTTGATTAAGTTGCATGGACTCTGTAGCTATAGTACTTACCTTCCTGACTGCTATTAACTATCTCCTCAAAAACACCTGGTGTCCCCATTTCATACCTGTCAAAGAAAAGGATACTTAGTTACAAAAAATTACATCTGGCGTCCCCATTTCATACCTGTCAAAGAAAAGGATACATGTACTCAGTTACAAGAAATTTCTAAAAGTATGGCATAAATTCTGACACTTCATTTCTGCAGATTTTTAAAATTGTGATTGGTTTTGTAATTTACTGATAATTTATTAGTATAGATTCCTTATTAAACAAAAAATCTTAATTTTCTGACATGACTCATGACGAATTTACATGAGAACCACAAACGATTATTTTGTCAACTTATCAATTCATTGAATAGTTACCCTCAAAATTACGTCCTGGCAAACCAGCAGAATTTTGCTTGCCAATAAACATTACCCCCCACAAATGAAAATGATTTCTCAGTATAATTTGGAACTATAGTACACTAATTTTAAAAGAATGTTTTTGTTTTTGTTTTTTTGTTTTTGGTGTCGTGAAAATCAATATTACCAGGCATGGAGGGCTCTCTTCCATACTGTCTCGTTGTGAGGTAGGAAGGCTGATTTCGCATTCTCACGGTGGGTCAAACTGCTTGATCCACTACCAGAAATATTCACATCTGGGTACCCTGCTGGCTAAAAATAGATTCCAAACATTCAGATTATCATGTATTCTAGTCAAACTCTTAATTAAATAAAAATCTTGATTACGGACATAATTGAGTTTTTACATGTGTTTATCATGTTCATAATTTGTTGAAGTGCCCTGAAAGATCACAATAGTAATGGGAGTTTACTCTGTTTAGCCTTACAAAGCTGTACATGTATTTCCACCCATATTTTTAAAGCAGTCTTGGCACTCGTAGTTGGAAAGAGCTGGAAAAGAAAGTCAAGGGTAGGAATAGCTGAAGGAGTCCTGTATATAGCCTATGCCCCCAAAGGGGGTAGCAGCCTTAAGTAAGTACAAGAGGTACTTCGTTAAATGACTGGTTTTACCTTTTTTTCATTCATGGTTTAAATTTTTATATGATCCTGAAGTGCTTGGTGAATTGACCAGGCAACCTTTTTGGATTGAGATCTTACCTTTTTTTACCATTTAGAAGTGTATGTAAAATATTTACCAGTTAAGAAATTACCATTTTATCATGTTAAGCAGCATCTGATAATTTAACAGGTAAAGATTTACCTTTTTAAAAGGTTTACAAGTCCTAGTTAAATTGATCAATTAAGGATATACCTTTTTACAGGGTTTAGAAGTGCTAGATAAATGGGCCAGTTAAGGACCTACCTTTTTATAGGGTTTAGAGGTGCTTGGTAAACTGATCAGTTAATGACTTACCTTTTTATAGGGTTTAGAGGTGCTTGGTAAACTGACAAGTTAATGACTTACCTTTTTGTAAGGTTTAGAGGAGCTTGGTAAACTGACTAGTTATGGACTTACCTTTTTGTAAGGTTTAGAGGAGCTTGGTAAACTGACCAGTTAATGACTTACCTTTTTATAAGGTTTAGAGGAGCTTGGTAAACTGACCAGTTAATGACTTACCTTTTTATAAGGTTTAGAGGAGCTTGGTAAACTGACCAGTTAATGACTTACTTTTTGTAAGGTTTAGAGGAGCTTGGTAAACTGACCAGTTAATGACTTACCTTTTTATAGGGTTTAGAGGAGCTTGGTAAACTGACCAGTTAATGACTTACCTTTTTATAGGGTTTAGAGGAGCTTGGTAAACTGACCATCTGTCCATTCTGTTCACACACTGTTAAGTCTCCTTCTGAGGGGGCGGGAGGAAAGGTGGTAAAAATGCTGCCCTCCAACATAGTCTGGGAGCAAAACAAATAAACGTGGAATGGATTACATGTCTTACTTTATATCTAAAATGTAACTGTAGCAAAAATTAAATATTCTAGGGATGGGTATCAGCAAAAATTTCGTATCATGATATATCACGATTTTTTCCGTGAAATTTTTACACACATTTCAAATGAATTTCCATCACATTTCTTAAAAATATGCTATAAAAACATAACTTTACTATTTAATTTTTTATTTATTTAATTTATAGCATATTTTGATGCCGTTGTTTAACTGTTTTCAACCTTTTTTTACACTTCCTATAATTCTCATTCAATAGTTTGAACAAATAAATGAATAATATCCGGAATTTATAGTTATGTACCAAATACTGGTATTTTAGTCTCCTTATCAAGATATGTATCATGCAATGAAAAATCGCGATATACCTGTATACCAATAAAATCGTGCATCCCTAAAATATTCCATTAAGTTTAAGGGTTTATATTGCTTTACAAGTACAAAAGCAGGGGGGGGGTTATATATTTTTGGTACATTCATACATTCAGCATCCAAATAAAAATTTACATATTAAAGATTATTCTCAGGGAAAAAAGCGGATTGGATTTATAGTTCTTTTCTTCTTCCATACGAGACAAACTCTAAGTAGAGCGTTATACTCGGGTACTGCCACACTTCGGACAAGGCTAAAAACCCAATCGGGGCACTATGTACAATAAAAAGGTAAAAACGACTGGCGTGCTTAGGAGATGATGGTAGACAGCTGGCACCTCGTGTATGAGTCCAGCTGTGACTTGAAGGACTCTAAAGTTGGTGCTGAGGCAACTTCAGATGGTAAGTGGTTCCAGTCTAGTATTGTTCTCGGAAAGAAGGAGTAACGATGTGCAGCTATCCGAGTGTGTGGTAGACGGAAAGTGTGGTTGCCTCTGGTCCTGCTGTCACTGGATGTTAGGTACAGATCTGCAGGAATTGCCACTAATGCATGTTTGATTTTATAAAACAACACAAGCCTGATTTTCATTCTTCTTATCTGTAGTGGTTCCCAGTGGAGATCTTGAATCATCTGGGTAACACTGCCAGGATGGCGATCATGATAGTTCTTGGTGGCATATCGTGCTGCTCTTCTTTGCACTTTCTCAAGCTGATGGATTTGCTTGGAGTTCCAGGGATCCCATGCTGCGCAAGCATATTCAAGGATTGGTCGAACTAGTCCCTGGTATGCTGCAGATCTTGCAGATGTCCGGCATCCCCTCATATTCCGCCTGATAAACCCCAGTGTCTTGTTGGCTTTGGATGCAATGTTATTGATGTGGTTGTCCCATCGTAGATCTTTACTGATGGTGACTCCAAGGTATTTTCTGGAATCAACCACGTCTAGGAGGTGCCCGTGTATAGTGTAGTTAGCAGTGATGGGATTCCGCTTGTTGGTAATTTGTATAACTGTGCATTTTTCTGGGTGGAATGCCATTTGCCAGTCCTCCTCCCATCTAGTCAGAGAATCCAGATCCTTCTGTAAGGTATCTGCATCAGCCTTGTTTGTAATTGGTCTGCATAGGAGACAGTCATCTGCAAAAAGGCGAGCATCTGACAATGTCCTTTCATGTAGGTCGTTGATATAGAGGAGGAACAGTAAAGGTCCTAAGACTGTCCCTTGTGGCACTCCTGACACCACTGGTGCAGTTTGGAAGTGTGGCCTTCTAGAAGCACTTGCTGTGTCCTATCTGTTAGGAAGTCTGTAATCCACTGTAGAGTGGTGCCTCGTACCCCATAGTAGTTTAGCTTATGAGCTAGCCGCTTTTGGGGGACTTTATCAAAGGCTTTTGAAAAGTCAAGCAGAATAATATCTACTTGACCTTTCTCTCCTGGATTCTGAGCCAGTCCGTTGATGGTGGACACCAACTGAGTTTCACAGGAACGCTTTGTACGGAAACCATGTTGACAGTCTGAGAGGATGGAATTCTCATCTAGATGGTCCATGACTTGGCTATGTATAATATGTTCCAGAAGTTTACAAGGAATAGATGTTAGTGATACCGGTCGATAATTTGAAGCTAAATGTTTGTCCCCTTTCTTGAAAATTGGGACAATGCTTGCCCGACGCCAGTCATCTGGAATCTTTCCTGTGTCCATAAAAGATTGGAAAATGGATGTTAATATTGGTGCAAATTGGTCAGCGTGGTCATGTAGAAGCTTAGCTGGTATTTCGTCAGGGCCAGTAGCTTTGTTGACCTTGATGTTTTTAAGGAGGGTGTAGACTCCATCTTGTGACATCTTTTGTTTTTATCTCTATTTTTTTCAACCAGTGAGCTCAATATATTTTGCAGCTGTATCTATGATAGATAGAATGTTCTATCGTTAAAATGATATCGTCCCACAGACTGGTGAGGGATTGTCCTGAGACAGGTTATCCTAATTCTGTCTATGGTTTTTATATAAGCGAAACAAGGTGGCTATAAAGGAATTTTTCATACCCCATAATTTTTAACAACTAGTCTCAATGATGACCTGATGCATTTTATACTCCATTTAGGTAAGAAGGTTTAGTTTTATTTCTAATCACAGCATGTACATAACGTTAACATTACAGAGGAAATTCGAAACATTCAGTATGAGATTTTGACCATGTCGATAAGTATAATGATTGTGACTTCCTGTCACTCATACGTTGTTCCTTTTCACATTCTTGTATCTTAACAAAGACAGATATAAAATTACGTGGATTTACCATTCATAGAGCTGGAATATGCATTCAAATCAACAACAACATTCTCTGAAAAGGAAAGTTGCATTTCCCGCAAAATTAATAAAAATAGAGGTAAGTGCGATCGTATTTCCGGAATTAACAAATTTAAATTCAGGGAGAAGAGAATGTCAGAAACTTCCCTATAGAAATGTTGATGGTAAAGTAGAGAAAAGTTAAGTTTAAAATAAATTTTTAGCTATAGGTTAGCTAGATAATACATGTATATATCTTTATAAATTACGAAACTTTATAAAAATAGAGGTAAGTGCGATCGTATTTCCGGAACTAACAAATCTCCGACATGTATGCAGAGTTGTCGTTCGTTCCTCTATGAGCCGCTAGTAGAGAGTGATTAAAGAGGGGGAAAATGTCAGAAACCTATCCATAGAAATCTTGGTGGTAAAGTAGAGAAAAGTACAGTAGTAAATTTAAAATAAGGTTAGCTACATATGTAGATAATATATATCTCTATAATTTACGAATCACGTGTTCTCAGTATCATAACTCCTAATGATGGTAAGTAGATGTTACTGTATAATCGTGATAAAAGGGAAATTAAAAATCTATCGACGATAGTCAAAGGAAAAATCTTCCGCTTCCCAGTGTAAAAATCAGAACCCCCCCCCCCACTAAAAAAAAAATCCGCAAGAAATTAAAAGAAATGTTCGAAACTGCGACGTTTCATTTTTTTAAGATGTTAAAAAGGCTATAAGCAATATTGTAGGACTTGTCAGCTTATGGAAGTTGATATTTTTGTTAAACGATGTGATGAGGAGTGGAAAATAGCAGTGGCGGATTCAGGGGGGTTTGGGGGGGGGGTCGGGAAAACCCCCCCGCCCAATCAAATTTTTTTTTTTTACAAGTGTCATTTTAACAATATATTTCATAAATGAGACTCTATCCAGGCCCATTGTTATACACGAAGAGGTGAAATATACAGCCACCACGAGAAATCCCTTTCCGCTTGAGTGCACACAATACACAGGTGATCAACAGTACAGAGATCACACAAGGTCATATACTAACAACCAAAACTGCACATAGTTATTACGGTTTTGGTATAATTGCTTAATATACTTTCAAGAATTTAATTGAATGTTACTTTATCAGTGTTTCTTGAACTACGTGAATAAACTGTGATTATTATTATTATTTAGAAAAAAAAATCAATTAATACAATATTTTCATGACATAATCAGGTTGCTTTTACTACTGGGAAAGTAGACCCTTCGAGTAATAACGGTTTACTAGTGGTTTACGTTGTGACCTGTACCAAAGAGCACATTGAAAGTGTTCCTTTTGTAGATGGAAGTTTCAATGCAATTTTAAAAAGCAAAAGATCTGCAATTTTTTTTAAATTACTGTTGAATGATGTTTTAAAAAAAACCAACTAACGGTTACAACTTTGTATTATGAATTAAGGTAAAACAGATATGTATAAAGTAGAGGTCCTGTGAAAACAAGAATTGGCCACTTTTTTTAAAATTCTTTTTCAAGACTTTTTTTTTTCTTAAAACATTGGGCTGGTAAGGGGGTAAAAAATAATAGAATTAAAGAGTGCATATAATTACCCCCCCCCCCCAATGAATAAGCAATTATTCCAACAATTTCCCAAAGACTTTTTTTTCAAACATTAGGCTGGTACATGTACATGCAAGTGGGTAAAAAAAAGAATTAAATAGTGCATATAATTAACCCCCCCCCCCACCTCCCCAAATGAATAAGCAATGAAATATCATTATTTGTTTATATACTGCAAATTATATGAACAGTATAGTCAAGTAGTTGAAAAGAGTAATTAAAGTTTCCACACAGAATCCAAATTTTCTAAGTGTTGGGAAATTGCACATCATGCAGTTGTATTTTGGTAGTTAGAGCTTCACATGCGACACATTGGACATGCATTTTAAAATGAAGAATTGGATACTATTATAATGTCAAATAACGATATTTCTAATTTTATCAGATTTTGCATTTAATTGTTTTTTTTTTCTAGAAAAGTCTTCTTTTTCATGTTTACAAGTTAAAATTAATCCCAAATTTTAATTTTTTGTTCAAATTCTCGAAAATTTGGGTAGGTAGGTCTTGAAAAAACAACTAGAAAAAAGTGGACAAAACTAACTAATTCAATTTAAAATGCTGGAAAATGCACCATTTGGAGCCATTTTTAAAGAAAATTTCTCGGGGGAGACCCCCCGAACCCCCACCTATGGGAGGGGGACACCCCCTCCCATGCCCTCCCCCTTCAGCTCTGAGGGCCTCAACCCCCCCCCCCCCCCCCCCACAGGAACTTCTGGTCCGCCACTGAATAGTGTTAGGAAACAGGATTGGTGTGTGATAAAAATGTTGATTTTTGTAGTATCCTGTACAAAGTGAATCAGATAGTATGTACATGTATATGTTGCGTTTAAACAAATCCAACAATATCATATGCTGCTGTAAAAATAAATCCATAAAATGCGGTTGTGAAAACAGGGACCCCTAGAAACACCAGACTGGTACTTAAAGTTTACTTTTGTAGCAGCATAGAATTAATTTCAGATTTTAATACTAATAAAGAATCATTGGAAATTGTGCATTACACAGTCAACATATTTCTTTGTACTTTCAGCAAACAATGCACTGCATGTCCTCTAAATATCTATACATGTATTGTCTACAGGTGCACTGAGTTTATTATGTAAATTGCATGCAGACAAATAAATCTGATGAATATCATCTTGCAATTTATTGCCAAAATTTATTAGTACATGTATCTAGTTTTGTGCAATAATTATTATTATTTTGTAAAACGATTCAATAATAAAATGTTTCATACTTGTTAAAAACCATACAATCTATTTTGACTGCTTACATTCGTTGAAGTCCTAGCCAAATTATAAGAATAAGCATAACCTTCTACACTAAACTCTGCTAAAGGAGATGGGTGAACATGACGAGCGATAAGCCTATAGTGTGACAAACATGAAGATGAAAAATTAAATTTCAATTATATCAAAATTTTCCTTGATATTTCGTCTAACATTAAAATATACTTTATGTAAAATCTCTACAATTTGCAAAAATCCCTCAAAGATTGAAATTATTTGCCTGTGAAATGTTAGACATACACTAAAGCGGGCAAAAAGAGTCATTTTCGCATACTATAACACTATCTTTCGATATGAGTGGGTCTTCGCTCCACCTTTTTGAAAGTTAATTCTCAAAGTTTACATAAAAATAATTATACATTTTTTAGTTACCCAAAATATGGAGCAATGACCCACTATACCTTAAAAATATACTTTTATGACATAACATTCGCATCTTTTCGAGAAATACTTGAAGTCCATTAAGTCAAGGGTCATATCACAAACATGATTTAAATGCCACTGTTCGTCAGGACTTGTGTAGTCTAGTGGTTAGCGTGATAGTCTCGAAAGAAAATGATACTCAGGATTTTTATTGCTAGGGTTCGAACCCCACGAATACCACATTATTTTTTTTAATAAAAGAATAAATTTTTCCGATAAATTTTCCTCAGAAATGTTTTGTTTATCACAATTTCATAAATTTCAATAATGAGAACTTTACTCTAAATATTAAATTCACAAACTGAACATGATTTTTATATTTTTGAAGCTATAGGCTTTCTGCACGCTATATTCGCCCATCTCCTTTGAGCTCCGAACTTATGTTGCATGAGTGAAAAGCTGGTGTGCAACAGCTATCTGGACAGCATAGCTATTCAACCTCTAGGGAAAATGCATTAATTTGGAATTTCGTGATCTAGTTTTGTTGCGATGTAAAAAAAAAATGTATATTCACCTTGAAGTCGGGTACAGGTGAAATAACTTTTTATAACCAATAGTTCTCGATCTATTTTTAGTCTAATGTAGAAAAAAAATATTCATTAGGTTCACTTGGAAGGCCGGGTGCAGATGAATATTTCATAACTAATTCTACTATCTAATTTAATAATTCCTAGCTTTCTGATTGGCTGAGATTTAATGTATAAAAAAAAATACTACACTATGTTCACCTGCACTTGACCTTCCAGGTGTGCACAAGAATATCTTTTTTCTACATTGAACTACAGAAAAATAGATTGAGAACTTCCAAATTGATATAATTTATTTAGTTGTTATTTCTCCTAAAAAACATTCTTCAGGCACGTAAAATCGGAGGTGGTAGTGGGATCCTTTTTTCTGAACGTAAATTTAAATCAATTTGAAAATGTTTGACATTTATTGTTTTCTATATGAATACAACTGGTCATGTTTATTTTTACCCCGCTTCTCTCGCTGCGTTTGGCTAGGATTTAATGCAGTAAATGTGGCATCGTTTGCTTAACGAGTTGGTATCATTTAATCATTGAATCATACAATGAAAAAATTATTGCTTCTTTTTTTAGTCAATATGATGATTTAGCCACCCTCGAAGAAGTCGAAGTACAATACATGTATATTCACAGAGCACTTAATTCAGGCTGGGGGAATATTGTACTCTCCAGGTAGCTAAACGGTTACCATCATTTTGTCCTAAAAACAGCAGTGATTGTATTATACATGTAGTATAGTTGTAAATTTTAAAGTTTAACGTCCAGTGTAGGAAAAAATGTTATATATATTCATCTGCCAGTGGAAGGTCTCTTAAATGCAGGTGAAAATAACTTAGTATGATTTCTCAGTCAATCAGAAAGCTTGGAATTATTCAATCATATAACACTTGTAATATATTTTATTGCTGATATCTGATTTTTTTCACATCTCCATTTTCATGTTCAGCAATAAATAAATTGTCATTCTTATCTGTACACAGTCCCCAAGGTTTAATCAGTCCACACTCTATGTAGCGGAGACACAGACCATTCCAGTCTATGATATGGACACACTGATTCTTGATATCAGCTGTAAGAATATGGCTCTGACTGTCTGTGGTGATTTCCCGGGGATAAAGTTGTTGGTACTTTAATTCAGAAGCATTCCCTGTATATCTGAATCTCAGCTTTCCAAACTGATTGACCACCACTACAGCTCCAGCTCCACTATCTGCCATACAGATATCCAGATTTCGGTTTTCACCTATGTACTTCGTGTAACACCCAGGTGATTACAGCGGTTTACCCGTTTCATCATATTGAATGGTGTATTTCTTTGTGGAGCCAGAATAAGCAACAACCTTTGACTGTTTGTAATCATCACTGTCCAAGATAACCAGAAGGTCTCCAGAGCTGGCGCTGCAAACACTGCGAGGTTTCCAATTCTGGAATCTGATCACTTCCTCTATCTCATCACTGGTCACAATATTTACAGTTTTATCTTTATAGTCTGTATAAACCAGATCTCCATCTTTTGTCACAGCTATATCTTCTGGCGTGTTTCCTGACTTACTTTTGACTGATTTGAGTGTTGAGCCTTGGCTGACGCTGATGAGCTTTAGCGAGCTATCATTTCCGGTTGTCCAGATTTGTTCGTCACTAAGACAGGCCACGTTATTAAGGCTCTCATACCCCGTGTCTAAGGTAGTGACAGTTTCGGGTTCATTTAGCAGTTGTTTATCTGAAGTAGACGAATCTTCTTCTGTTGGATTTAGTGTTGTCGTCATACTGTCATCGTCACTGTCATCGTCATCATCTGAATTGATGAGAACTTTGCTTATACATCCAAACAACTCTCTTAATTTGTGCGTTTCAATTTCCATTGGTATAAAAGTCGGGAAGGGAGCATTAACTGTTGAAGGGAGATTTCTGTATTTCTCATTGACTGATGTGTAATTTAAAGCCAGGGAGACATCATTAGAGGTGATCAAGTTTTCACACGTATGTATTGCATCTTGAATATTTTTGATTTCTTTTTGGATTTCATGTGAATGCTTCCTTAGAGCATCTAAGTGTTCCGTTTTCATTTCATCAAGTTCAGCTCTAAGTTCATTGACAAGCCTTTCAATTTCATCGTGCCATTTTTCTGCATGGTTAATTATAGCAGTGGATATCTGCGCGTATTTCTTTTGAACATATGTTGAAATATTAATGTAGGAAGGGAGAATGTTTCCTTCCAGCTCTTCGAAGTCCTTTTGAATGACTTGTTTCTTCAAACTGACTATATCTCCAATTAAAACGAGTTGATGTTCTTTGTGTAAGTTATTAAACATGATACACTCCAAACAAAGCGGGGTAATACAATCTCTACAAAAGGATTCACAATGGCGTTCCGCGTGATGGCTACAAAGAGGGAAAATAAGAGTGGATTTTTTGTCCTTGAAGTCAACAATTTTGTGAGGTATTGACAAATTATTAGAAAAATGTTCTCCCACACAGGCCTTGCATAGGTTGACAAGACAAGTATCACAGTGCAACTGTACCAATGCAGCCTCACACAGATCGCACCTTACCATGTCTGGATTATTTGTCTGGAGAACCATTAAACTGTTGTATTAATGTATCTGAAAAAGAGTTTAAAAACAATGGCCAAACAGTGTCGTAATAAACATGTCAGTCAAAATACGACCCATTGACAGTATTTGCAAAGAAGGTCATTAATGACGACCATTGTATTAATTGCAAAATGCTGACTTTAAACGGGATCGTTGAACGTCCTTTAACATCAACTTATTTGCCAGTAGGCGGTCTTGGATTAAAAAAATTATCGTACTCAGAACATGCTCTTGGTACCGAATGAGTTTGGAGACAAAAAACACCATATGCATTGATATTTGAATATTACTACTTAAATTTGGGGAAGTTGACGAGGATAAGTTGAAGTAATCCTGTTTGTCATAGACATATAATATTTTAGTTTCGTTGTTAGTTAGTCATGTTATATAGTCTGTTAAACATCCAGATATGAAACAGACGTGGCAGACTCTGTGGTGACGATCACTTCTGGTTTACTGGGATATATCGAGTCGACAAAGGAATAGAAATAACCTTTGTTAATTGATAAAACAAAATGTCGAATTGAATTAAGGCCACAACAAGGTCTTCCTCTCCTAGTGTGGAATTTTTTTTAATAAATTCTGCTTCATAAGAATATAAAAACAGGTCTGATAATAGAGGAGCACAATAAATGTCGATGCGTAATTAATTCCAACAACTTATTGGAAGACTTGGTCTCCAAAGACTATAAAGATATTGTCTGACAACTCGGGCATCTTTTTAATATCAACTTGAGTACTTGTACACGTGTGTAGAATCAGAATTTATTTATTTGTAACAGTAATTTTGCAAATGACCAATCACAAGATATGTAAATTTCCGAGTTCCCATTTCCATTTTTATTAAAGCTACAGTTTTTTTAATGATGTCAAAAAAATCCGCCTTTAATTTGTCATGAGGAATGGTTGTGCAACGTGGTGAAAGTCAAACATTTTGATGTTAGGACTATGGGAAAAAAACTTTGCGATTTTGAATTTAATAGAATTTTTTTTGTTTTTTTTTTTTTGTTGTTTGTTTTGTTTTGTTTTTTGTTGTTTTTTTCCTTGTTAATGTTGTTGTTGTTTTTTGTTTGTTTGTTTTTTTGAGTTTTTTATTTTTTTTTAATTTACATTTGACTTACACCTTCACTTGAACATACTGTAGCACAATACGTTTAAAAATTTCTTCTTTACAACAGATACTGGCAATATATTTGTAAAAAAGTACAGATCAATAAGAGGTAACTCAGAACATTTACTGGATCCTGCAATGTATCTTTTAAGGATTTTTTTTTTTTTTTGAAATTTGGAATCTGGTATATCTGGTAGCTACAGTATATATAATTATCTTATTATAACTTATTTTTCATTTCAAAGTATTTTTTCTACGCTAGCACTACGTACTTTATCTTCTTCATGACAACGAAAGTTCCAGTTCTTGCAAGAAAACGATTCCTCTGCATTTTACATATAATACATAATTGTAATTGATTTAGGAAACGCTCAGCAAGTCATATGACTCCTTAGTTTATCGGAGAAGAAAGCGGTTATAATCTTTTTTGGCTTTCACAAAGAAAATGCTACAATTATAAATAAATATAACGTTGTTGTAAGAAAAGCTAAACTGAAACATGTTGCTCATAAACTAACATAATGTACACATTTTTTTTTCGGGTTTCGTTGTTCGTGTTATTTAGTTTTTTTTCAGCTTTGCTTTCTCAAAAAAGTAAACTAAGAAGTATATGGTTGATAAATTCAATTATGAGAAATTTACCTCGGTCGAATTAAGCATTCACACCTCTGTATACAAGCGTTGATAATCCCCTGTGATATGATGTAATATTTATCAGTTTATGTAAAGTATGTTTATCTACAAAATATTAACGTGACTATCATGCAATATTACGATTTTTTATTGATAAGAATTGTCTACCTACACCTTTAAGTAACAAAGTCATTTGTCTATATATGTATGTCCTATTTAATTTATAATCATTACTGTCAAACAGCCAAAATGAAAAATGGACCCTAAGTAAATAATTAAGGTGTTCAACATGAAGATCTCTTTTTTCCTATTATACTTAACTGAGTGAAGCTTGATTGTGAATCTTTATTGTTGATTACATGTATTAGTATTCTTTATTTATCATGTACAGCTATATCACTTTTTGTCCTGACTTGTTATACAAGGAGAGGGTACGGATATGTAGGCTTTGTCTGTTTCACAACTCCTTGTTGAATTTACTGGTATTCAATAAAATATGTTTAAGCTAATTTAAATATGAAAATGGAAAGTTTGCTTAAAACAGTCTACTGATCATAACTATCAAAACAAGAGTCCTATGGACCAAAGCATTAACGGTCAGTTTCACAAACTATGACCAAGTTAAACCAATGCGGCGGATTTTACAGTTTAGTATAGGACTCTTTTATCACATTACGTGAAGATTGCCTCTTAGATCCTAAAAAGTGAAAAAAAAATAAATTAATATATCAATACATGTATGCGTTTTCAATAAATTAATGTTCAATTTAGCCCCACCCTGGGGACACAACTTTCAATGTTTGGCAAAGGGTTCATTGCTTTTTTGTCATAATGCATGCATACATTTTGCTTGCTAAATGTCCTAGAGTAAAGACGTATAACTGTATATTGAATTTTCGATGAACGACTACATGAAATTAAAGTGACGATAACGATCAGTGATCGATCTAAAAAAAAAACTACAAACAATACAAATATGTGAATAGGGAATAAAACACGGACCCCTGGAAATTCCGGAGGTGGGATCAGGTGCCTAGGAGAAGTAAGCATCCCCTGTTGACCAGTCACTCTCGCCATGTAATATACTACCTTATCCCCACTCTTGGGTCTAAATTCAAGGTCTCATGGATGCGTTAGGACAGGAAGCATTCTGCATACACGTACGCTTATTCCTGAAAAGCAAGATCTTTTTTTTTCTCTTTTCCTGACATGCTCCATTTTTTCAAAACTTTCTCAGCACAAAGATGACCAACAATACCATTTGTGAATGTGTAGCATAGCAAGACTACACAATCTGTCTGCCGTTAGTACTCTTCGACACCAAGTTTCAATATTCCTAGCGCTGAAAATGATCGCTCTCAAGAGCAACAGCTACTGGAAGTTCCAGTCTGGAACTGTAAGTAGTAAATGGCATATATATATATATATATATATATATATATATATATATATATATATATATATATATATATATATATATGATAAAAATCTTAGCAAGCGTTCTTTTGAATCTGTCATTTTCCAGTGTTTCAGCATATTTATATTTCTATACTCTGAATCACCAGGGATCGAGTGACAATTCTCGTTGTATTTTGATTCTTTCACCACCTTCTCTGAGATAACACGGGATCAAGTAAAATCTCAAAACAACGACTAAATAGATTTGGTGAAGTGGAATTCAGATGAAAAATAATATGATCAAGGAATATAACAAAAAATAACTTACTGTCTGTTAGCATCTCGTAGTTTGGATTCTGGAACCTGATTCTTCCTGAGAGATTTTCAATATCTTTCCGTACAAAATAAGAACAATTTTAACAAGCCTGATCAAGACCACAATTCCCTATTTGGTGAAGTGTATTGAGAGACTTTTAATTTGACCGGAAAAAGAACTTCAACGATTAATTTAAATCGCAGCCAACGAGCCCTTCAAACAACTTCTCTTTTCAGAATTACTCATCGCTCGCTGACACCATAGGAACGGCATGGACAAAATACTTCGCAAATGGATACCCATCTCTTCCCGACCTCTCTTGGATGCCTGCTATTTGGAGCATCCATCATAACCCTGCATGGCCCTGCATGCTTTCAAGATGAATTCCCTTCTTTTGAGCCATGTGTTCAGTTAAAGCATCGATGGCTGTTACTGCATTCATACGTACACGCTTCACAAGTCTTAGATAAAATCGTCCGACACGTTCACGAAATCCTCTTCTGTGTAAAAATAACAAGAAAAATTCTCTGATGTCCCTGATGTGAGGGTTTACTTCCATTAAGTGATATCACCTATTCAGTTGGTGATATCACCTATTAGAATATGTGACATCACCTGTTCATATTTTGTGTGAAATAACAATTGCTCCCAAGATTATACATGTACTGCATACATTTACTCTGTATAGGTAGTTTTTAATATGTAAAATAAGTTGCTCTATGGATCTTTTTTGTGTACATATTTATGATATATCATACGAACAGTGCCCCGCCCCTATTTGTGCCAAAAAGGAGATTTTACAGCGAATCTTCGGTTTATTTGATGAATGCCGAAATAGTAGTGTAAGAGGATGTGGCTCATATTAAGTTCAACAAATCCAGAGAATCTTTTATAATCTTTTTTAAAAGTAATGAAATCAATTTTATCATTTTTTGAATCAATGGTAAGAAAATATTGTTCTTCGAAAGTCTTTTAAAATTTCATTCTTTACTTTACGTTGAAGCCATATTATCTTGAAAAAGAGATCATTGATTATTTAATGTTTTGGGAAACGCAAAACGCAAAAAGGTGATATCACTCATTCGAACAAGTGATATCACCAATTCAAAACGAATAATTGATATCACCAATTCGAATACGTGATATCACTTATTAAAATAGGTGATATCACCAATTCGAAAAGGCGATATCACCTATTCGAGTAATTGATATCACCTATTCGAATATAAGTGATATAATTACCTATTCGAAATAAATATAGATAATATCATGCATCTACTGCATGAAATAGATGATATCATCTATTCGAATACTTATATCACTAAATTAATGGCAATAAATACATGTATACCATAACGGCGCCTCATACGCTGAGAGGTGCTGAATATGGTTGCTCACTGCTGTATAGCATGTAAATTATTATCAGAATAAATCATTTTCTCGGGCTAGTAGGAAACAGGGGGTTGGGGATGTCCCCTCTCCAATAATTTTGCAATAGAAAGCATATATATATATAAAAAATTTTGGGCTCTGCACCCCTCAATAATAACATCGAAAGACTTTTTCTATTGTCTTGAACTTCTGCCCGGTTGTGTTATGTCCCCCCCCCCCCAACATTTTAATTTGGCTATATTTCGCTTTGATAATACTGCCCATGTCAATTCATCGTCATCGCTAAACCACTATAAACGTCATAAACGGTGAGAAACTTCGACTGATGGTGTCGATATCTTATTTAATTATAATTTAAATTAATAAACCTATGTTAACTGCCTCAATGGTACAAGCACACAGGATGTGATGCGCTGTAATTTTTGTTGACGAAGCATGGGCGGATTCGAGAAATAATTTATGTAAAAAAAAAACGGGGGGGGGGGGGGGTCCACCACTTGATTGAACCACTTGATCACTTAAAATTTACACCCATTTGTAAGTGTTCGTAACATCTTAGAGAGACCTGAGCCTGACTTCCTCTAGCTATTTATTTGTATTTTCATGATCTATCATAAGTGCGTTTTTTTTTGGGGGGGGGGGGGGGAGGGATCGGCATGCGACCATGTACTGTATAGTCCTAAATATCTGACGTTTTCCAGTTTTTTTTTTTTCACGATTTTGATATTTGACGTGCCAGACGTTTTCCTTACATGTTCGATCCTATCCCCCCACCACAACCCCACCCCCACCCACGAAATAGGATTTTCGGAATTGGACAATTTTTAATTTTCTTCTTTTCTTTTTTTTTTGGCTTGTCAAGTTTTTTTTTCAGGTTTGAATTTTTTTCTCTTTCATTTACCCCCCCCCCTTTCAATTTGCTTCCGACGCCTATGGTGGTGATTATTATTTTTTTTTTTCATAAAATACATTTTTATTTCCGGAAATAAAGATTCCACTTGTTTAGGACCATGTTTGTAGAATTCTACTTTCATTTTACAAATCATGGCGGGAGAGGAGGGGAAAACAGCGAAGGTTGTGTCACAGGAGTTTATGAAATATCGCTCTCCTCTTGTCTCGCGATATGCTAGTCCAGAGATGGCCTTTAACTTTAGTGAAATGAACAAATTCACAACATGGCGCCGGCTATGGACCTACCTTGCAAAGTCAGAAAAGGTTTGTACTGTCAAGTCATTCTCATAGTCACACACCTGTAACTAGTCCTTTTAACCAACATTCATAAGTAGCAATGCCCAATAATTTTTAAGGAGTCAAATAATTGTCAGTTTTTTATGTTTGTTGCGTAAAGTATGACCCACTGATTCCATATCAGCAATCATTTCTCAAATCGGGTGAAAATTAAGTCTTGTATGAATGTTTAAAAAATGCAGAATTCATACAGAGTTATCTATCTTTCTGAGGAAAATGATTAGAAAGTGTACATTGGCCAATAAAAAGCAGATAATACAGGAATGCAAGATCAAAATATTTTTAGAATATAACCTAGGTATCAGTAGGGGTGAAACGATACACCTCCTTCACGGTTCGATACGTATTGTATAATTTTGTCTCGGTTCGGTTATTTTCGATACGATACATTTTGATAGAAGGAAACAAATTCTACGTTGTTTTATGTTTTCTTTTTCTAAATCTAGTCACATATTTTACGAATTTTATTTGCAAATTGACTTGAAGAAATTGATTAAAATTATTTGACTGTCAAAAATTATTTTACAAGCTATCAGTCATAAAAAATTTACGTTTTCTATACTTATTTATTCTGAGTAACGTGTTATACCTTATGCCAAACCCGACTGAATAACGATCCCGACCGAAAAATGAACCGAACCGAAAATTGGAGATTTTGCACCGTGTATCAAACCGAGAAAAAATACCGCGGTGCATCGATACCGCGGTGAACCGTTTCACTCCTAGGTATCAGTTATTGAATTTTATCTTAAATTTCACAATATTCTTGTGCCGTTGTTGAAACACAGAAGAATATATTGACACGAGATGTAAAATGCAAGAGTTGTCTTCCTTTGATTTCCTTATTAATATACAGTGGATTATGTGTCATTATGCATATGACGTATTGTCATTTCCAGTAATGAACTTATCAATAAAAGTTAAATTATGATTATAGATTATGTTTTTATTTGACTTTCATTGTTTTCTTCATCAAAGTAAGTCAATCTTGAAATTTATTCTTGTTAACTTTGAGATGCACCCTATTTTCGCCTTCGCACACGAAATAGCTTTTGATACGAGCTTTAATTGATAAAATACTTCAGTTGTTTAAGGACACAGTTTAAAAACATGAATTTAAAATTGTACATTGTTCGAGATGAAGTAAACAGACGTCAGACATTCAATTTGAATTGTTTACATTTTTTTCTACACACGTGTTGACTGCCATATTGGATATGAATGAGCCGATTTTAGCTACAGTATGCCTTGGAAAATTCGTGTGGCGAGCAAGAACGGTTGAATACTTGCCTGCATGTGATATGCATTTGTAGTGGAATACCTGAGGAAGCTATTAATGCATGTTTTGACAAATTACTCGTCCGTATATGAAAATTAGAGATATTTTAATATTTCAATCTATCTTTAAAACGTCTAATTGCGCCATACTTCAAACATTCAGGGTTGGTAATTCTAGGGGGCATCTCAAACTTCATAGAAAGGTCATCAAAACGTTTGAAAACACGAGGGAAAGTAGTTTATGAAGCCGTACTTTTCAAGCTCTTTTCTGATACGGAATCAAAACGAGGCTGAAGAAATTTGGAAAATTATCTCCCCCTTGCTTGGGCATTGCTATCATAAGTCTTTGCGTATGATTATAGAATAAAAATGTCTTATGAGAAATTTTAAGTGTTTTTCATATACGCTTTTAGAACATATTGACCTTAAGATTTCACTAAAGAGAATCTTTTTCCCTAGCAACGATCTCGGTAAGAAATGCATGAGAATAGACGACTTTCACATTTACAAAAGTTATTTCCCTTTGCGGGGTCAATCTGGGGTCACCTGGCGTAAGACACTGTTTTCCCTCAATACCATTACCAACTTTATGGGGCAATGTCTTACAAATGAAATCTATATGAATATGTTTGTTATGTTTTTTATGTTGCCCCAGACTATGACAATAGATGGTTTTCCATCAAGATGATTTAAACAAGAGTTATTTCCCATGGCTGCCATATTGTAGGTCAACATCCCCAGATCCCTTCATTATTCAACCAAGTTCAATTTGTTATACTGGGCACTGAGGTGAAGATAACACTGTTTTTCTTATGAATATACATTTGTTCAAGCTTCCTTTAATTCATAATTTCAATATTGTAAATATTTTTTACCATATATTTTTGGCAAGCGTTTTTAAAATTGGTTGCTCAAATTGGAAAATTTACTACTTTGACCTACAAGATGGCGTCCAAGGGGAATAACTCCGAGGAAAAATTTGTCATAGGAAAACCATCTGTACAGGATCAGATCAAAATTGTCCGATAGCGTTTAAAGGTTGAAAATATTTACAGGTAAGTTACAAAGGTTATAGAGAGAAAAATGAGCATGACGCCGACAACAGAAGATAACTCTTGCATATGTGAAATTCGTCTATGAGAACAAATTAAAAGTTTTCGAAACTAGTGAGCTGAATTCACACAAATATGGAGCAATCAAGAGTGTTTGAAATATGATGAGTGATGTATCAATCACAAGTGTAATGTAAAGATTGCTAATAAGAAAATCTTAAGAAATTATCATGGTAGGAATTCTGCAATAAATTCAGGGTTGTCTCAGCACTTTTTGGTACAGGGACCAGGTCCCTCTAAATTGGGAAAAATCCTCGACATTTTTGTCGAAGAACTACACACGCTAACTCTCAATCGATTCCCGCCTACATTTTACACCCATTTATTTCAATACTAATGGCAATTTGGCCGTAAAATCACATGTAATATACAATTGCATACATTTTTTTTCTTTTTTCTGGTTATTTAACACATGCAAATGAAACTATAATGCACTTTAAAATATATTTATTTATTTTTCTTTCATGAAATAACTCATAATGGTTACACTTGTTAAATAATGAAAATAAGTTCCCCAACCGAATCTACATATGCATGAGCTATCTATAGATCTCTATTCCATGACAGAGGAAATTCAAATTAGAAATAAACAATCATGACAGGGCTGTTGTAGATTAACATTAATCATGCATGACTGCTAAATGGATCAAATAAAGGATATGTTTGGAAAATTAGGTCATATGTACAAGAAAACACGTGTTTGGGAAATTTTTAAGTATGAAATTGGGAAAATCTAGCACTTTGTGCCATTGCATGGGAATGGGTCCGATATTCGGTCCAAATTTGAGGGGAGTGACGGCCCTGATAATTTAATATAACTTCGAAGCTGGAAAATGTGTTGAATAATATAAAGTATAGATAGATTTCGATAGACACTATTTTAGCAAGAGTTATTTCCCATTGGCCGCCATATTGGAGGTCAGCTTGCCCAGATTCATTCATTAATCAGCCAGTTTAAAATTGTCATACTGGACATTCAGGTGTAGATAACACTACAGGGATATACATTAACTTTCAGATTAACTTGCCCTTCGGGCAAGTGATCTCAAACTTTGACTTGTCCGAATGCAAAACTTGGTTGCCCAAATTTAGGAAAGAACTTAAAATGAAAATTATTAATTACTGTAAACGTTATGATAAGAAAAAAAAATGTGACCAAATACACTACTGTCAATTTGGCAAGTTGAGCTACCTGAAAAATGTCGATGCATGCTGCATTTGTACATAAATGAATACCACTGTGCTTGTAAATTTAACCTGCTTACACACACTGCCATGCAACAATAACCCTCCGTTTCCTTTTCATAAAATTCATATTTTTATGCGCCCGGATCGATAGATCGGGGGCGCATATTGTTTTTGTCCTGTCTGTCTGTTTGTCTGTTTGTCTGTCTGTTGTCAACTTTAACCTTCACCATAACTTTTGAACCATGAGAGAGAGAGAGACTTCATATTTGGTATACATACTCCACTCATTAAGTTCTTTCAAATGACACCAAGGTCAATGACCTTGTGACCTTGACTGTGACCTATATGCTAAAAATAGCTTTTTCGAACTTTGTTGCCGCCGGGTGCATAGTGTTTCACAAACACATCTTGATAAAAATTATTTTCGGTAGGAATCTTTTGTGATTGTGCTTTCAGAGATAACTGTGAAGCAACGCTTAAGGAAGATAGTTGCTACAAAACATACATCTTATCTTGATCAGGATACATCGTGTTACACTGCACTTATATCCTATGCTTGAATAAATAATTTAATTTCCTAGTAAGAAGTTAACAAAATTTTTTTAGACATAGAGCGTATTTACTACAAAAGAAAATAATGAACCCGATTTTTAAATGAGTGGTATAATCCAGAAACGCTACCAAGGAATTCCGAATGCAAAAACATTGTCAGTCAGGTCTGTGGCGGAAATCAAGTGTTCAATTTATTGTTTTATTTATAAATTACGGTAAACTAAATAAATATGTATATTTGTATGAGATAAATTCATTTGCCCGATTGGACAAGTACGTCAACAATTTCACTTGCCTGAACTGAGAATTTACTTGTCCCGGGCAATCGGACAACCGTTAATGTCGATCCCTGCACTATTTTTCATACAAATTTATGTTTGTTAAAGCTTCCTTTAATTCAGAATTTTAATATTGTAAAGATTATTTCTGCTATACACATGTAAAATTGGTTGCTTGAAGAGGAAAATTCACCAGTTTGACTAAGATGGCAACCAAGGGGAACAACTCGGAGGGAAAACACTTCATATCAAAAAACTATCTATAATTAAATATTATTATAATTAAATATTATTTTGAAGCTGGAAAATGTGTTGAATAATATAAATTATTACGCTTCCGGCTCATGTTCCTAATTTTATTTTTTCTATGTACATGATGTAAATGCTTTAGCATGATCATAGTGATTACCCAAAAGACCTCAAAAATACCGATATATACTCGGATTGTCACTTATGTATGATACATGCTGACAAAAAAAATTACATAGCAATACAAAATTATTCATATCTTAAAGGTATCAAATTTACTTTATAATGACAGATAATTAGCAATGGTATTGCCAACACGAGTACTAATGAAAAGCTCAAATTACCAACAAAAACCGTTTAGTACATTACTAAAAACTGTATACTGGGGTAAAGACGTTTGCAAAAGCAGTCTACTGACAAATGGCTTTAAGGTGTACATTGGTGCCTTATTAATCTGAATGGCAAACTTAAAGCAAGATCATCCGATATATGATCAGATGTATCTGAATAATAGAATTTATTGTGTCAATTTTTTTTAGTTTATTAACTTTGATTAAATCTGGCAACTGATGAGAAGTATATTCTTTTAATTTCATAACTAAGGTACATGTAAGTTATGAATTGCCAGCTTTTTGACATTATTTATGTGTGTAATTAAATGTTAATTTTCACGTCCAGTGTTTTCATTGGGAGAATACATTACAGCTAGTAGTCATGATTCCCTGCTATGACAGGTTTTACTGTATTTAATTCTAGGATCTAGGGTTGGATATCACAGAAGAACAAATAAAAGAAATGGAGAATAACGTAACAAACATTGACTTTGAGCTGGCGGCCACGGAAGAGAAGAAATTCCGACATGACGTCATGGCCCACGTACACACATTCGGAGCTTGCTGTCCTAAGGCTGCGTCCATTATACATCTAGGAGCAACGTCAGCTTATGTAGGAGATAACACTGTAAGGACATATTTCAATCATAAGTGAATATTTACATTACGATTTCCAAATATTTTTCTGTAAGATTCTTTGCAAATTGGAAGATGGTTCATTTTTTCATGAACTACCATGGATGAGCAAGAATATCTCCCCTGAGGTATTAATTCCGCACTTGATGTCAAAACTGTATAAGTGCAAACTGTTTTGTTTCAAATATGATTGTTGAACGGTATAAATTTTTGGCATGTCGTCAGACAAATAATGTAGATATAAGATATGAATTTAGTTTTTGAGAATTCATGAGGTACATGAATTACAATGCTTCATGCTGGCATATCTATCATGAAGCACATACATGCTTCATGAAATATGCTGGCATGAAACGCTGTAGTTCATGTCCTCATAAATTCTCAAAAATGAAATTCATTTCTAAATTAACTACTAAGTGACTAATTACTAAGTGACTATTTACTAAGTGACTAACCACTTAGCGACTTACTGAGTGACTAACTACTTGGCTAGCAAAGAATTTCTTATCGGCCACTCTCCTCACAAACGCTTGGCCTATCGTGCAATCTTAAGTTGAGATTTTTTATGTCACATGATCTTGAATCTTACCACCTATGCACAGCTTGTGTCATTAAACAGAAATAAAGAGCTTTGTAAAAAAAGTATGTAAAGTTTAATTAATAAGGAGTTAGGCAAACATTTTTTTATTAAATGGTTTACAGGAATTTTTTTTTTTAGCTCTACTGGTCAGAGACCAGAAGAGCTTATGCGATAGTAAGGTGTCCGTCGTCTGTCCGTCTGTCTGTCTGTCTGTCCGTCCGTCTGTAAACAATTTTTCAAAATGCTACTCCTCCTACAGTGTTGGTCTGATTTCAATATAACTTGGCACACAAGTAGACTACACTAAGATACATAATTCTGTGTATCGGTTTTTGATTTCGATGAACGGTGTTGCCATGGTTACTAAAAATAGAAATTTCTGTGAAATACTTTCAAAATGCTACTCCTCCTACAGTTTTGATCTGATTTCAATAAAACTTGGCACACAAGTAGACTATACTAAGATGCATAATTCTGTATATCGGTTTTTGATTTCGATGAACGATGTTGCCATGGTTACTAAAAATAGAAATTTCTGTGAAATATTTTTTAAAAATGCTACTCCTCCTACAGTTTTTATCTGATTTCAATATAACTTGGCACACAAGTAGACTATAATAAGATACATAATTCTGTTTATCAGTTTTTGATTTCGATGAACGGTGTTGCCATGGTTACTAAAAATAGAAATTTCTGTGAAATACTTTCAAAATGCTACTCCTCTTACAGTTTTGGTCTGATTTCAGTATAACTTGGCACACAAGTAGACTACACTAAGATACATAATTCTTTTTATTGATTTCTGATTTCGATGAACATTGTTGCCATGGTTACTAAAAATAGAAATTTCCTTGAAATACCTTCAAAAATGCTACCCCTGCAGTTTTGGTCTGATTTTAGTATTACTTAGCACACAAGTAAACTACACTAAGATACACAATTCTCTGTACCAGTTTCGGATTTCAATGAACAGTGTTGCCATGGTTACTAAAAATAGAAATTTTCTTGAAATACTTTCAAAACGCTACTCCTCCTACAGTTTTTGTCTGATTTCAGTATAATGTGGCATACAAGTAGACTACAGAGATACATAATTGGTGTTATTGTTTTTTGATTTTGTTGAATGATGTTGCCATGGTTACTTAAATCAAAATTTCTGTAAAATTGTTTCAAAAGGCTACTCCTCCTACAGTTTTAGTCTGATATAATAATAAATCTTGCCACAAAAGAGACTAAATCAAGGATCATTATTCTATTTATTGCTGTTGCAAAGTTTCAAGTCCAAGAGCTACTTTTATCTTCCTTTATAAATACAACCAGTAGAGCTACAGTCTCATCAGAGACTTCTGGTTTATTAAAAACTGGGTCAGAGGGAATTAAAGAAAGTAAAAATAAAAGATTTATTCTGAACATTGATATTGTCATTTACAGATTAGTTGAATGATATCAATAAACTCCAGTCACAACTCAAGAAAAAATTCCCAACTTTTGATAGCCTGATAGGCCAAGGATTTGTGAGAAGAGTTGTGAATCAGAAATTTTAGCCAGCTATGATGATTTTCGATAAAAAAAAACTAGAACTCTCTTGTTTCAAAATAGATGTATCTTGGTAAAATTAAACATTAGAATTTGAAAATGTTATAGAGGAAGCACACTGTCACAATGATCTAAATATATTCTTAGGGTCCCACTAGAATTTTCTGATGCCCTATGGTAATCACTCTGTGATTCTGTCCACTAATTTTCTGGTTTTTTCCTCCTTATAACATTTTTAATGATTAACCAATTGAATTGAGATCGGTGTGTTGTTTTTATCTATTAGGCCTTCTTTGATACCAAGTTTGATTTTGTATGTAACTTAGTTAGAAGCTAGGGTAGAGGGATAATTTCCACTCTTTATGTAAGACTGAATTGGTGAAGAGAGATCTTTTCCTACTACACATGTATAAACTTCTAAAAACTGCAGGGGAAATCCCCAGGGATTAATTATATTGCCTGCTGCACGAGATCCAGAGCCTAATCTTTATCTGTCACATTAAGATGATTTTTGTTTAGTATCTGTTTCTATCTATTGTAGGATTTGATTGTTATGAGAGATGGATTTGATATCCTACTTCCAAAGGTTTGTACAGGAAAAATGCTTGATAGTTACATTATCATTATATAAAGTATATTAAAGTAATTTGGGGTCATACACATTGTAAGCAATTAGGGCTGTCACGAGTACCCGAAATAACTGAGAACCGAGGTCCAAGTTGTTTGGTTCATATTAGATAATTATCAAAACGAGCAGGAATGGTCAGGTTGTGGCTAATAGTAGGCCAAGTAGTTCTACACACCGATGTCTAGAGGTTCGCATGGTTAAGACTTGTTTTCAATGTAAATTTAATGTAACAAATAAAGATTTTTCAAGTTAAATTCATGAAATTAAGGTTTAAAATAGATGTAAATAACCGAACCGAAAAACCCGACACCGAACTGAAAATTTACAGAACCGACCCGACCTGAAAAATTTTGGAACTGTGACAGCCCTATAAGCAATAAAAATTAGTATTTACTACTGATAGTGGTGGACAATAGAAGATATGAAATGCACATTTTAGTGTCATTTTTCAAATGGCATCTGCTTAGTGATCATGATGATCAATTACTGACAAGGTTATGAATATGTACTTATAAAATGTGCCAATATTTCAACACATTATTTTCTTTTCCTTAACACAAATATATTTAAGATTGCATATTGTAATTTTTGACAAGCTTGCCTGTATGATCCAGCTGTTGACAAATATTGACGTCTTCTTCCAGAATTTTGACTTGCCTCCCTGATCAGTTTGACAATATAAGATTATCTTTAGATTGTTGAACATGTTGAAGTTTGTATGAGTAGACATTTGGTGATGAGGAGAATTAAAAACTTTGAAATCTGAGATATTTGTTGAAGCTTCCAAGTGGCCGAGATAATTGAAATCTAATATGTCTGTTGTACCTTGCTTGTCATGCTTGTGTGATAAAGCAATCAGCAGACTTTGACATTTAAATTATTTATTGTATCTTGCTAATTAGCAGTTCTGTTGTAGCTTGCTGGTGTGATAAAGAGATTAGCAGATTTTGCCAATAAGCAAAAGAATCTGCCTTGTTTGTCTTACACACATTTACAGTAAGTACATTTACAGTAAATAAATTTTTACAGTATGATGTACATTTACAGTAAATACATTTTTACAGTATGAAGTACATTTACAGTAAATACATTTTTACAGTAAATACATTTACAGTAAATACATGTTTACAGTAAGTACATTTACAGTAAATACATTTTCAGAAACTACATTTGTCTCTAAAAACCAAATTGTGATGTGAATTTAACATTGTATTCACTGGATTGAAGAGCTGAATGATTTTTAGCTCACCTGAGCCAAAGGCTCAAGTGAGCTTTTCTGATAGAAATTTGTCCGTTGTCTGTCGTCGTCGTTGTCGTAAACTTTTCAAATTTTCATCTTTTTCTCAAGAACCACTGGGCGCCAATTTCAACCAAACTTGCCACAAAGTATCCTTGGGTAAAGGGGATTCAAGTTTGTTCAAGTGAAGGGCCACGCCTTCTTCCAAGGGGAGATAATTATGAATTCGTGAAAAATTATTGGCATCATTTAAAAATCTTCTCAAGAACTACAGTGCTTGAAAATATGAAACTTATATGGAAGCATCCTCAGGTAGTGTAGATCCAATTTTCTTCAAATCATGACCCCCGGAGGTAGGATGGGGCCACAATGGGTGATCAAAGTTTTACATAGGAACTAGATGAAAACCCACGCAAGCGCAGGTAATTGAATTTATGCCACTACTGACAGAAAATATATTGTAGTTTCTACTGACAGCCTACAGGCTTATAGCAGGAAGAAATACTTTGTTCAAAATCCCGCATGTGCGTCTCCAACCCCCCACCCCCTTTTGTAAAAACTTGAAAAAATAACAATTTCATTAATTGATGTTTATTGTGAAACCTGTTATACTATGTTATGGATATTGTACTTCAGATGCTCTTATTTCATTTCCTTCAAGGATAAAAGCAGTGAACATTTTACTGATAAATTGATTGTTTTGTTTTTGTTTTTGTTTTTTTTTTGGGGGGGGGGGGGGGGGAGTTAATAATTCACAGGTACTTGGGTCTTGATTTATAAATATGTATGTACCTTATTGATATGTAAAAAATGTACTTTACCTTTTTTACATACAAATAAGGTATATACATATATATAAACCAAGACGCAAGTACCTGTGTAAAAATTAGCTTTTAACGCTCTATGAATAGGCCGAGTATTTGATACAAAAGACTGTATTCAGAAAAAAGAACTGAAATGTATTGATTAAAGCACAAAATTTTACAGCTTTAATTGTACTTGAGCAATATCTTATTCATTAATTTTAAGCAATTTCATTACGAAGTAGAAATTGTACTTCGGGTTCGTTGCCACAATGCTCTCAGTGAGGAATATATACACATTTCACCGATAAATTTATTAGGAAAACCTACTAAATATATAGTCTTTCGATATATAAATATATTCACAACTTATAGTGTTATCAATGATTTACCATTATTTCAATGACCATTCACACATAAGCTTTTTTTATGTTCCTGCAGCTATAATGTCTCGTTTTTCTTTTTAACATTGGGCTCGATGCTATATGATGTTCTAGAAGCTTCCATCAATATTAAGATCGGTGAATGACAAAAATAATTTGCACATTTCCCTTTTTAATCGGTTATCACAACTTATTTCTTTTTTATGTCATTTAAATCAAGTTTTGATTGAATAATTCAGCGATGACGTTATATGAAATAAATAAGCGTTTGATTGTTGTCAGTTTCATTGAAAATTGCCAGAAACTTAGATCCGCCAACCGGAAACGCCACCGTACTCACGCTTTTGCAATTTCATGGCTGTTTATAGAAAATAAAAGTAGACTTTTAATTTAATGTATGATACTTACAATGCGAGTGAAATCTAAATATAGTTTACGGACATCATATTGTATCTAGTGTATTCTTAGAGGAGTAAGTAAAAACTCTGGTGCATCCGTTTCGGAGTTTATTTGCAAAATTTATAAGTATAGATATATAGGAAAAAATCTTTAAAAATCTTCTTCTCAAGAGCAGCAAAGCCATGATTGGTCATATGGAAGCATCCTCAGGTAGTATAGATTCAAGTTTGTTCAAATCATGACCCCCAGGGGTAGGGTGGGGCCACAATGGGCAATCAAAGTTTTACATAGGAATATGTAGGAAAAATCTTTAAAAATCTTCTTCTCAAGAATAACAAAGCCATGATTGGTCATATTTATATGGAAGCATCCTCAGGTAGTGAAGATTCAAGTTTGTTCAAATCATGACCCCCTAGGCCTGGCGTAGGGTGGGGCCACAATGGGCTATTAAAATTTTACATAGGAATACATAGGAAAAAATCTTTAAAAATCTTCTTCTGAAGAACAGCAAAGCCATAATTAGTCATATTTAAATGGAAGCATCCTCGGGTCATGTAGATTCAAATTTTGTTCAAATCATGACATGACCCCCCCCCCCCCCCCCCCCCCCCCCCCCCCCGGTAAAGAGAGGGGCCATAACAGGGGATCATAGTTATACAAAGGAATACAAATGATATATCAATAAAAATTGTTTTCTTAAGAACAGCAAAGCCATTATTTGTCATATTAATTCAAAAGCATCCCTATGAAGTATAGATTCAAGTTAGTTCAAATCAACCCCCCCCCCCCCCAACCACTTTTATATCAAAACTTTTCAAGACTGAACTGATTTCTGCTTTTTCCTAGCCAGAGTGCTCAGGTGAGTGATGTGGCCCCTGGGCCTCTTGTTTGGGGGAATATTGTTTAGGGGTGGGAGGGGTTGGAAATATAAAATTTTAGGAATATATTTCTCTTAATTGCAAACAAGCACCTTTCTAGATTGTGAGTGACAACTCAGCCTGTGTTCCAGACATTGACACTTATAAATACCATAACTTCATATGTTTTTGTGATATTCTAGACCAGCTCAACTTTCTACTGTTGGTAAGAGGGCCTGCCTCTGGATACAAGACCTGCTGATGGACCTCGGAAATTTGGAGAATGCCCGTGATAACATCAGGTTCCGGGGAGTTAAGGGCACAACAGGAACACAGGCCAGCTTTCTCACATTGTTTGAAGGAGATGAAGAGAAGGTTTGTTCTGATTTGATTGACATTGAAAAGAGCTTTACCTTGTTTTTAGGATGCTTTAAATATGACAATCGGACAACCTCTCTGTGAGCAACAGTCTGTCTATCACAAGTTCATAATATGTCTATCACAAATTCATCAAGCCAGATTTACCAACCTTTCTGTAGATATGTGGAATGTCTAAGTAGGCTGTGGAAATTAAGTCATTTGGAAGGACTTGATGTTATGACTTGAGTAGACTGCACATTTGATAGCAATGACATGACTTGTGTAAATGGTGGTCTGACTCTGTAGACTGTGTTCAGAGTGACTGACTTTGTTAATTAGTATCCTGTTAAAATTGAATTGAATGGCATTATCATAAGATTGTTAAAAACAGGGTAAGTAACAAAGAATTTTGAAACAACTAAAGGGTATTATTAAAAGGGTAGAAAATCTTACTCTGTGCTCATTTCTTTTGCGAGTATTAAAAAATCCAGTAGTTTCTCTTACAGAACCAGTATTACTTTTTTTGCTGTCTATTTAAAAATACATGTACATATAAATACTTGGACTTTCAAACTTTGTTCCATCAGTAGTTCATCCCCCCCCCCCCCCCCCCCCCCCCCCCCCCGGTTCAAGTCGTTTTGATTCAAAAACTTAAAATATGTACATAATGATTTTGCTTGTGAATTATTTATTTCGCTGTTTGCTTCAATCTGTAACATACTCAGGATGATATATTCAGTATATTTACATTCACATACAGTCAAACCTTGTCATCTTGAACTCTATTCGACTGGTGGAAAAACTTTCAGATATCCGAGTATTTGAGATATCCAGGGTAAAATACTTAAAGAATAAAGGGTTGGGCCCTCAAAATCACTTCAACATATCCATGGTATTCGAGATATCAGTGTATTTGATATCGAAGTTTAACGGTATTTACAATCACATGTTTCTGAGGTATGTTGTGTACATGTATTTATTTCCTTATATTTTATCATTATGTATTTGTTTAATTTCTGTAAGGTTGAAAAGCTGGACAAGTTGGTCACAGAGATGGCAGGATTTAAACAGTAAGATGACTTTCTAAATAGTTCAATTTCTGTTTCTTATGAACTTATGGTAGTACACAATAGATAGGCCAAAATTTTCCTCAAATTCAATTTTTTTGAAACTTTGATATTTTGTTCTAGGATACAAAATTTCTATTTATATGTAATGTGAAAGAAATTTTTTGCCCATATAGTTTGAGATATGGTCTATCAGACCCCTGTAAGAAGATTGTGAAATCAGACATTCGACTTAAGAATGTGCCTTATTTAAAAATTATCAATTAATCTATTGCAAACTTGTGTGATGCTTTTTAAAAAGGCAAACTTTTTGTCACTAAAATTCAGTAAAATATATTGTCATTTGATACTGGTAAAATTGAGCAAAATATGATGTAAAACTAGGACATACCTAGCCCCTGAATTGAAAATTCACATGTAAATATGCTACACATGTTCTCTTAAGAGAAAATGTATAATTCAATTTTTACAAAAAATCAACAAATTGATTGAAATGGATCACAAATTAAAATGTGTCAAAATAAGGAAAATTGAACCGATGGTTTCAAGATATTTTGGCAATTAGAAAAAAATTTCAATGGCAAAAAAGTGAAAGATTCATGACATCACATTATTTGACCTTTGACCTCTTAATATGATGTTGACATTTACTGAACATAAAGAGTGGAGACTCCTTATATATGTGTCCATATATCAGCCCTCTACTATTTATGGATCAGCAGGTACACTGCATTTAATACCAGACTGTTATATCATATTAAGACAGCATATTAAACACATTCTAAAATGTAAGCTCCCAAGTGACCATTATATAGGATGTCTCTAATTCTTTAAGAAAATATGACGAAAACATGTCCCAGCCTATTATTTCTCTTAGATCATTGATATTGACAATATAGGGATAGTATTCTTTTTTCTCATGTAATTTTTAAGAAATTAGTTAAAATAGATTTAATGGGTGTTTTGTACTACCTTAATATATTTACAATTTTATCTAATAATAATGAAAAAAAAATGTAAGTATCTTTCAGATAGGTTATGTGTATAAAAATAGATATGTACTGACAGAGAGATTAAAAAAAACTTGTTATATTTGGTATAAATTGCATTTTTAAAAACAGATCCTGTTACAATGTAAATTGCTAATTCTAAATATTCTATTTTAAAAAGCACTGTTAAGAATAGAAAACATACACAAAGCTTAAGATTGATACAAATGATGACAAACCACAATTAGTGTAATTTGAACTAAATCTTCATTTCTCTTAATTTTCTTTTTTGCTTAAATGCAGCATTTTTTAATTTACTTGAATATATATTTTTGATGTAATGGGTCTTGAAATGACAAATATATTTATTTAATATTATGTTTTATTATATCTGACATAGCTGAATAACTCAAGAAATGTCTAACTTTTATCGAACTTTTATTTTCGTTATCTGTGTAGGACGTATATGGTGTGCGTGGACAGACGTACTCCCGTAAAGTGGACATCGATAGTCTCAATGTACTGGCCAGTCTAGGGGCCTCTATACACAAGGTGATTCTCTCTGTTGCTAATATTTACTGTCAGAGGGTTGTCATTTTCATCTGATCCTTTATGGTGCTAATTATATTATTTAAAAAGGACAAGATAGGCTAAGACCCCTTTTTAGCTCACCTCAACAAAGTTGGGGGAGCTTATGTAATACCCTCGGCATCAGTGCGGCTTCCAAGGTTAAAGTTTTTAGAGCAGATTTCTTTTCAAGTACTTCTATGCCCTATATTAATCAGAGATGCATGGAGGATGCTTCTAGTGTGTTTTATTGTACCATTCAAGGTTTCAGATGCTGCAATTTCAGCTAAAGAATGACCAGGTTAATGTTTTTGGAGCAAGTCTCATTTCCAAGTAACTATAAGCCCTATATTGACCAAACTTGCATGGATGATACACCTAAGGATGCACACTACCAGGCTTGCTTCTTAAGGGTGCAACGATACACCAACCTCACGATATGATACGTATCACGGTATTCAGTTCACGATACATACGTATCACGATACATGACAAGGATAAGAAGTTTGTCATCATATTTCTTAAAACTTGACATGGTTATATCAAATGTTTATATTTTTTGATAATAATTAAAATATCAATTTTGTTAACTTGATTTGGATTGATAGGTAAATCTTCTGAGTTGTGATGATATTCTAAACCAATGAAAACATTTAAATTGAACTACAGTAGTTTGGATTCAAAGTTCAGATATGACTTGCAAAATGTATTATTTTATAAAAGAGAAATTTTCCTCATAATATACCTTTTAAATTGGAATGAGAAAGGAAGACATTCATTCTCTTATTCCTTTTTTTTTTCGTAAAAAAACAGTTGTCATATTTTTCGTGTTAACACATTCTAGTCAACAAGTTTCTAGTCAAGAAAACAGCGAATTTTCATCGAAATACACGTGTGATGAAATATCATGTGCTACCATAGAATACTTTCAGATCTAAAGAGTTTATCACTTCTCCTAACATCTATAACTTAATTACGTTAGGAATGAGATAAAGCCCTTCACTCTGTTAAATATGAGGTCTGTGAAATGCAGGAGATGAGTTTGAGTGCGTTATCGTCGAACTCATGTTTTGCACGGAAACCATTTTGAAATTGTAAATAAGGAAACAAAACGGACGATTCAGAAAATTCTGGACCTATTGAACCGAACCGTGATATCAGTTTAGCGTATCGTGAATTGAACTTTGGAAAAATATACCGCAATATACTGTCAAATGGTTTATCGTTGCACTCTTATTGCTTCGGATGCTGGATCTGACCTACATTTTCTGGATGAGTGACCAGGTTAAAGTATTTGGAACAGATCTCATTTCCAAGTAACTGTAAGCCCAATATTGATCACACTGGATAATACATCGATGAGGATGCACACTACTGAACTTGCTTCAGATGATGGATCTGACCTACATTTTCCGGATGAGTGACCAGATTAAACTTTTTGGAGCAGGTCAATTCCCAGGAAACTATAAGGCCTATCTGAACCAAACTTGCATGGATGATGCATCAAGGGATGAACACTTTCAAACTTGCTTCAGATGCTGGATTTGACTTATATTTTCTGGATGAGTGACTAGTTTAAAGTTTTTAGATAAGTCCATTCCAAGTAACTGCAAGGCCTATTGGACCAAAATTGCATAAATGCTGCATCTAGGGATGCACACTACTAGATTATTAGTTTAGTGTGGGACTTTGCCTTACTTAAAGGGGGAGGAAATAAGCACCTCCTTCAAATTTACCTGGTCTTTGAACCCCTGTCAATCATCTGAAATTAAGCCTGGGATTGGATACTTGGATTTGATTGACATTTAGTTTTCTGCCATTGTGTATATCTTGTGTACCTTGTCTGGAGATCGTACCGACCATCGAATTTACATTCAGGCTTTTGATGCTTACCGCAAATGATAACGTGATAAAGAAGCAATGAAAACATTTTTTTTATTTAATTCATAAGAATATACCATAAATGTAATAATTCTGTCAAATAATTAAAAAAAATGATAAGAAAAAATATGCTTATATATTAAAATTTATAAAGGGGGGATTTCATTTCACGATTACAATCGATAACTATAATTTGTCAAAACATAGTTTAACTGACGTACATTTATTCTACCTTAACAACATATACCGACCCGCGTTTGAAGTATCATGGAAGTAAATAAAATTATTTTTTTAAAACAAGTATGACAACATTGCAATATTGCTCAAGCGAAATTTTATATAAGACAATTGTGCTAGTAGACATGTCGCTTTTCTTCCAGACAAGGTGACGAAGTTATGGTATAATAATCAGTTTTAGAAGAGAAATTATTCGGATTATAACGTCTTGCTTTGTATATAATATTTGAAATTATGAATCCCGAAGGGAAAAAAAGTGTACGAAGCAGGTGATTCCATTCCCGTTTCACCGGGTAATAGCTCGTCATCAGGAAACCACCCCCAGTCTGAAGCCCTGGCCATTTTTATACAGATCATGCATCCTGGAAAAATCACGTAGGAATTATCTTCAAAAATATTTATTTCGTTTATTATATTTCTACAAAATGTAGCCTCCAAACAGCGTTTCTAAGTTTTATTTTTACTGAGAGACTTATTTATGACCCACTTTCTGTTTTCGTTTTGCATGCATGAAGTGCAATTTGAATTACTTCCCTTTGTGTCGCCAGCTTACAACGACAGATTTTGGCCCTATATTCATTATAATATTTAATATTAATTAACAAACACACAGTATAATTAAAATGGTCAAATTATTTTTAAAAAATTTTTTAATTTCAAAAGAAAGAATTTAAGTAAGATTCTGTTCGCAACTAAAATATTTCGCATGCCTTATTTAGTAAATTTGACGGTCAACATTTCGATTGACCCACACAACAAAAAACAATAACATTGTTTTACCATGTCGTAGGAAAACGTGTACAGGTAATACAGGTAACATCCTGTGCATATAGGTAGGTATACACAAGCCAGCGTCGTTCCCTCAGGGCTTCTCACCCGCTTCGATTAAGCTCCACCCCACACCAAACTTACCTGAGGAAAACCGACCGGTTGAAAACCTTGGCCTTTAAAGACAACATTTGTTGAGGTGAGCTCTGTAATCTCTGATTACTTATGTTTGGCCCCTGGTTTGGGGTGTCTTTTAGAATGATGCAACAGTTTATCAATAAAAACCTGATATCACCCCGGACACAAAATGAGTATTGGTTCTAAGTTATGGGATACATAGAGGTCACAGGAAGGTCAGAAAATATGTCAATTTCTGAATTTTCTCATTTTTATGCAAATTTTCATAGATTTTACAGCACATTTTGTTTCAGAAAACATAGAGCACAAGCTTGCCTATCTTCCATATCTTTATATATTTCATACACTAGTATCAGATGCATAGCTTGTGCGCTATGTTTCCTGACTTAGTGAAAGGTATCTTAAATTTGATGAAATTTCACCAGAATTGAGGAAATTTGGGATAATGTCCTACATTTGCACCCCCTTGTGGCCTCTGTGTAAACTTTGAATCAAAATTAATGCTGGCTTTTAAACAAGCATCATTTTAAGTTGTTAACTACAAGCAATCACAATTTAAATGTGTTCTGATTTTTACATCAAATAAGGGGCCAGATTCGGCCATTACCATACCTTGTCCTTGAGGAAAAAAAGGAAACTTTTGGGACTGAATCTAAGATAACAATTATGCTTCAATCTCAAAGTATACTTTACATATTTTAAATTCTTACAAAGTTGAATTTTTTGATTAAATCAAACTAGTTTATAAAAATTGGTAATGTATGAAGAAAGGCACAGCAATAAGAGACAAAAAATAAAAATATGGCTTTTGTAGATTTGTACAGACATCAGACTCTTGGCTAACTTCAAGGAGTTAGAGGAACCATTTGAAAAAGATCAAATTGGTAAATAATTCTTCCTTAAATAAAAAAATAAATAAAAAGAGGTCTATAAAATTGACTAGGTGTGCAGTAGGTTAAAGGTCAAGGATAAGTCTTTGATCATGACGTAAAGGTCAGATATGTTTTTCGCAGCACTCTCTTTGTTATTCTACAGGCTCTAGTGCCATGCCATACAAGCGTAATCCAATGAGAAGTGAGCGTTGTTGTGCTTTAGCGCGTCACCTAATCTGTCTTGTACAGGACCCTCTGATGACGGCATCCGTGCAGTGGATGGAACGGACACTGGACGATAGTGCCAACAGGTACAGGCAATTCAGTGGTACATTTCAAAACAGAGCCGTATGTTTTACAAATAATTTGTAGTTTATGTGCCAACAGGTACAGGCAGTTCAGTGGTACATTTCAAAACAGAGCCGTATGTTTTACAAATAATTTGTAGTTTTTGTGATAACAGGTATAGGCAATTCAGTGGTACATTTCAAAACAGAGCCGTATGTTTTACAAATAATTTGTAGTTTTTGTGATAACAGGTATAGGCAATTCAGTGATGCATTTCAAAGCAAAGCAGTATGTTTTACAAAAATTCTGTAGTTTGTTTGAACATCTGAGGCAGGAATTAAAGTTTCTCTGTATGGTGCATTTCCATGACTTTTACAATGTACCTTGGATAGAAAATTTGAGCTGTTAAGGGAGTAACTATTTAACAAAGTACAATGTAGTTGAAGGTCAGCTTATAAACAAATATCACTGTTCATATTTGAGTTTAAGTCCATCAGATTTGTCACCATTTGATACAGTTACACGCCAGTGTTAATGTTTATAATGAACATATACATATACACTGTCATGAAGAAATATCCATGTAAAATATAATAATTTATATTTTTTTTAAGACGGATCAGTTTGCCAGAGGCATTTTTGACAGCGGACATAATTCTTAGCACGCTACAGAATATTGCAGAGGGGATAGTAGTGTATCCAAAGGTAAAATGACATGGTAAACAACATTCTATAGAAAATAACAGAGGGAATAGAAATATTTCCAGAGGTAAACATAACACAATACCCTGTATTCTATAGAATATAACAAAGTAGAATTATAACTGAAGTTAAATGCAACCAAGTACATGGTATTCCACAGATTATAAGAGGGGATAATAATATATACATAGAATATTTTTTATTAAATAATTTGTAAAACTATAGTGTTAATAAATTATTTGATGGATTTGGAGCCACTAATACAGGATTTTTTTTATAATTGTTTCTGCACTATTTTAATTGCAATGTATTTATTTTCCTTGTTAACTCAGTTAACTAACAAACTGTTATTACTTAAGGTCATTGAAAGAAGAGTCAATCAGGAGTTACCTTTCATGGCTACAGAGAACATCATCATGGCAATGGTCAAAGCAGGAGGAAACAGACAGGTAGACATTTTTTAGCTCACCTGAGGTGGTGAAGATTCAAGTTTGTTTAAATCATGGCCCCAAGGGGAAGGGTGGGGCCACATTGGGCAATCAAAGTTTTACATAGGAATATATACATGATATAATAGAAAAATCTGCTGATGAAAAACAGCAGGGCCATATTGACTCAGGTGAGCCCATGAGCCTCTTGTTTTATTATAGCTGCAGAAACTGTAGCATAATGTTTTATATTTTAGTGTTTGACAGCATTTTACAGAATGCTATCATTTTTATGAACAGTTGAAATCAGCCAATATTAGAAATTTACTTATGAATTTTGTACGGTACCATTGCAGGACATTGTAGAATCTATGTGCAAATTGAAGAAAAAATTAGTGCATGAAATATATACTACTAGAGCCGTCCTAAAGTGTTACAACTTACGCAATTAGAAACCCCATTACTCTGGGCTATATCTAATTGTTACAGTATCAAATTAACCAGGAGAATGATAAAACACTTCAAATGTCTGTTCCTTTTCAGGAATGTCATGAACAGATCCGTGTTTTGTCTCAGGAGGCGGGGCGTGTTGTAAAACAAGAAGGTGGTGACAATGACCTCATGGAACGCATCAGGAAATCCGACTATTTTAAGCCAATCCATGGAGAACTGGATTCTCTTCTGGATCCGAAAACCTTCACAGGACGAGCTCCAACTCAGGTTGGTTTTGAGACGCTGGGGAATCTAAGACTGGTTCTGGTTATACCAGGACAACAAATCAATCTTTCTTGGATTGGCACCGTTTTATGACTCCGTTACATTAAACAGCAGATACATGTACATGACCAATATCTATATGTTCAGTAAAACATGGGTATAGCAGCCATGCTTATCATAAGTTCCTGCTTACAGCAAAGTGATTTTCAATCCCTAGGGTTTTAATCATATTATGAACTTATTAGATATAATGAATTAATATATTTATTAAAAAATCAAAATTGTTCTTCCCTGGCACTCTGCTATAAGCATGTTGTACTATACTAAGAAATACGCCCTCATGAAACATACTGAATTTATGTTAAGCTCACCTCAACGAAGTTGGGGGAGCTTATGTAATACCGTCGGTGTCGGCGTTGGTGTCGGCATCCCAGGTTAAGGTTTTTGGAGCAGTTTTCTTTTCAAGTACTTCTGTGGCCTATATTAGAGATGCATGGAGGATGCTTCTAGTGTGTTTCATTGTACCAGTCAAGGTTTCAGATGCTGCAATTTCAGCTAAAGAATGACCAGGTTAATGTTTTTGGAGCAGGTTAAAGTTTTTGGAGCAGGTTAAAGTTTTTGGAGCAGGTCTCATTTCCAAGTAACTATAAGCCCTATATTGACCAAACTTGCACAGATGATACATCTAAGGATGCACACTACTGAACTTGCTTCGGATGCTGGATCTGACCTACATTTTCCGGATGAGTGACTAGGTTAAGGTTTTTGGAGTAGATCTCATTTCCAAGTAACTATAAGCCCTATATTGACCAAACTTGCATGGATGATACATCTAAGGATGCACACTACTGGACTTGCTTCGGATGCTGGATCTGACCTACATTTTCCGGATGAGTGAACAGGTTAAGGTTTTTGGAGCAGATCTCATTTCCATGTAACTAAAAGCCCTATATTGACCAAACTTGCATGGATGATACATTTAAGGATGCACACTACTGGACTTGCTTCAGATGCTGAATCTGACCTATATTTTCCGGATGAGTGACCAGGTTAAAGTTTTTGAAGCAGATGTCATTTCCAAGTATTTATAAACCCTATATTGACCAAACTTGCATGGATGATACATCTAAGGATGCACACTACTGGACTTGCTTCGGATGCTGGATCTGACCTACATTTTCCGGATGAGTGACTAGGTTAAGGTTTTTGGAGTAGATCTCATTTCCAAGTAACTATAAGCCCTATATTGACCAAACTTGCATGGATGATACATCTAAGGATTCACACTACTGGACTTGCTTCGGATGCTGGATCTGACCTACATTTTCCGGATGAGTGAACAGGTTAAGGTTTTTGGAGCAGATCTCATTTCCAAGTAACTAAAAGCCCTATATTGACCAAACTTGCATGGATGATACATTTAAGGATGCACACTACTGGACTTGCTTCAGATGCTGAATCTGACCTATATTTTCCGGATGAGTGACCAGGTTAAAGTTTTTGGAGCAGATGTCATTTCCAAGTATCTATAAACCCTATATTGACCAAACTTGCATGGATGATACATATAAGGATGTACACTACTGGACTTGCTTCGGATGCTGGATCTGACCTACATTTTCCGGATGAGTACCAGGTTACATGTAAAGTTTTTGGAGCAGATCTCATTTCCAAGTAATTATAAGCCCTATATTGACTGAACTTGCATGGATGATACATCTAAGGATGCACACGACTGGACTTGCTTCGGATGCTGGATCTGACCTATATTTTCCGGATGAGTGACCAGGTTAAAGTTTTTGAAGCAGATGTCATATCCAAGTAACTATAAACCCTATATTGACCAAACTTGCATGGATGATACATCTAAGGATTCACACTACTGGACTTGCTTCGGATGCTGGATCTGACCTACATTTTCCGGATGAGTGACCAGATTAAAGTTTTTGGAGCAGATCTCATTTCCAAGTAACTATAAGGCCTATCTGAACCAAACTTGCATGGATGATGCATCAAGGGACGAATAATCTCAAAACTTGCTTTGGATGCTGGATTTGACTTACATTTTCTGAATGAGTGACAATTTTAAGTTTTCAGATAAGTCCATTCCCAAGTAACTGCAAGCCCTATCAGACCAAAATTGCATAAATGTTGCATCTAGGGATGCACACTCCTAGATTATTAGTTTAGTGTTGGACTTTGCCTTACTTAAAGACAACATTCGTTGAGGTGAGCTCTGTAATCTCTGATTACCTATGTTTGTAAAGCTATTATATTATCACATATAATAATATACTGTAGACATACTTTTTCCGTGTAAGATTAATTTCCACTATGTATGCAGAAATTTGTCACAGCATACTTAAAGTTCACTAACGACATACAATGACAATCCAAGAAATCCACTTAATTTTCTACTCGCTGATTGAACAGAAATTGGGATTCCGCGGAATTATGACTCTGTGGAAAAAAGTATGTTTACACTAACTTTAATATTTATTGAAATAACATAGTATACCTTATGCTATAATGAATTTGGCTTGGTCACGTTATTTGACAGTCACATGATAAATGCATATAATTGTACTGCATGGATTCATAAACAAATTTCAATATCACAAGGGCATACCCTAGTTAAAATTGAAAATTTAAGTGATAAACTGTTTTCTACATATCTTGTAGTTTCTGGAATATGCTGCTGCTTTAGATAGAATAAAGATTTTATTAGTTTAAATTTCAAGAAAGATTTACATTAGTATTAAGCATCTTACTATAATTTAAACATCTGTCAAAAATATTCTGTTTATTAATGAAATGCATTTTTCACTCTGAAAAAAATTGCTTGATCTGCCTCTCAAACACATTGCTTATTAGGAAGTGCCAGGGACGGAAATTTTGGTTCGTTATAGAAATATTTTCATTATATCCGTTAAGTTTACATTATATTTTAAAGTCGTGGGTAAATGTCAGTTCATTTTAAGCGTGTTCACTATAAGTGTGTTTTTACTGTATAGCTTATTTTACATGTAGGGAAGGAATTGTTTACTTTATTGTGAAGTTTTTTGGAAAACATCAGAATCATTAAAAGCTTTGAAGTTTTATCCATGGAGAGGGCTTGAATTTTTCCATGTAGCTGATTGTTTAGAAAAAGATAAAAAGAAAGTACCTGTACGAGAGTAATTCTAAATTGCTGATTGCTTAAATTTCATCTTCACACAATTCAATAAAGGAATAGTTTCAAGTTTTGTGCGAGTAATTGGTGTGTAAATCACACAGACCTAGTACATAGGTGTATTTCATGAACAGAAGTGCACTAAAACTTCATGAAAAATACGCCTACGTGCAAGTCTTTTGTGATTTACACACCAATAACTCACATTAAAAGTATAAACATTCCTTATACATGTATTTACAATTTACATGTTTAAAAGCACCAAAAATATACTCAATGTTTGAATTTCTTGTTGCCCTTTGTTGTTATATTTTAATATTTACATTTCCAATAAATTTCCCCTATAATTCTTTACAAAATAGAATACAGTTCCATTTTCTCATGAACTACCGTCAGTTGGCATGAATATCTCCATTGTTACGTCATAATACCTTACTTGACGTAAAAACTATGTAGTGCAAACTGTTTTGCTTTAAAAATGACAGTTGAATGGCATCATTTGAGGCAAATCATCAGAAAAATAATGTAAATATAAGAAATGAATTTAATTTTTGAAAATTCATGAGGTACATGAACTACAACGCTTCACGCGGTATATTTATCATGAAGCGCTGACTCGCTTCATGAAATATGCCGATGTGAAGCATCGTAGTTCATGTCCTCATGAATCTTCAAAAATTAAATTCATTTCTTAAATAAACTTCTCTGTAGCCTCACTATGATGTCACTTTAACCCGAGTTACATGTACTCCGTGTATATTTCTACACATGAGCATACATGAAAATGGCATACAGATCAATTTCATGGTTGGTTAAATAGAAAATCATGGCAATTGAAAATGTTTTGGTTTGGTTTTTGGTATTGTGTAGGTATTGTAGCTAGAAAAGGTTTTTGAAACTTCTTTAAATTTGAGTTCTGGTTTAAAAAGTCACTCTGGTATACATATTTGTATAATAAAATCAAATATTTTGTTAACTTATCTCCATTGAAAGTAGTAAAAGTATATTTGTTACAGTAATAGTATGAAAGCTATCTTGAGAAATTATTTGGTACATTTAGTAGATAAGAAAATTTTCTCAGGGACAAATGTATACATATTAAATACCAATACCCTATGCTGTTCAAATGTTTTATAATATTGATTTGTGCACAGGCAATCCATTTTAATTCTATTTTGTAGGTAACTAAATTCATAGAGATGGAGGTAGACCCAAGCTTGAAGAAATACACAGAGAAACTTAAGGCAGGTGGAAAAGTGGAACTCAATGTCTGATTTGTTACTGTTAAATAAAGTGGACACTGAAGAGTGCTATCAAGGGGAACCACTCCAGCTCAAAGGGAAAATTAAGATGGGACAAGGAGTACGTGTCAATTCTTCATCAAAAGAGGATGTGAAAAGTGGGACATTTGTTGATGCTTATTGATTGGCAAAAATATGGTGCCAGAAATTTTTCTACCCTGTATTACCTGTTTTTCTCAATTAGGAAATAAAGTGAAAAAAAGAAACTGCATTGTAAAAATTGGTGAATACACTGATATTCTGAAAATAAATTTATTTTGGCAAGTTTATATGAGAAAATTGAATTTGAATATCATGGTATACTTACTTCTTTCAAATAAACGAAGATTTTGTGCATATTTTACATTGTCAAGGAGTCCAGTTTGCTATACTAAGTCACAGTGCTGCAAGATACTAACTGAACAGGGTACAAATGAGATGCCTGTTTTATAGTGGTTATAGATGAACAACATAAATACATGTATGTTCAACTTAGTACATAATCTTTTACTTGTTTGCATAACAAAAGAGTAGAATGTTCATAGCCATTCTCTGTAAGCATCTAAACTCTTATATAGGGAGTGTGGCATGCTATGTCTTAGATTTTTATGAAACTTGGCACACATTCCTATATTGATGTATGAAACTAAAATTCATAATAAAATGGTTGCTATGGTCAATGGTTACCATGGCAACCAACATAAATTTTTCATGGCCTAAAAATGCTAAATTTTGATGAAAAATGACCATTTTTGACAAATTAAAAGTCTTTAATACAACAAGATATTTACATGACTTCATCTTTTGCCAAAATACATAATTTTTGTAGTTCTTTAGATATTTTCTAGTATTTGGGTAACTTTACCTAATAGAAAAAATATCGCCCGTTTTTAGGCAGGATTTTTCTGGGAAAAAATTGTAGATTTTAGGCTCTTTTGAAAAGCCTGGTATAAAATTTTTATGGACATTTGGGAAATAATAAATACATTGGTTTGAAAATCCATATATAGTTCTAATATAAACTGCAGAGAAACACTTGGTATTCATATTTTGTTTTCATGTTACCATGGTTACAAACTTAAGTTTTTTTTAAAGAATTCCAGACAAGGGCAATAGTTACCTACAGTTTCCATATAAATACCTGAGTATTTTAAAATGGATTAAAACCAAATTTAGTTATGTGGTACACAATAGCAAAAACAAAAAGAAAAATCAATTTTCATGACAAAAGGTCAAAGGTCAAGGTCAAAATAGCTCGATTTAGATGGAAATTTAAGGAAACTAAGCACATTTTTTTTCTGTGTCCTAACTAATACTTTTGTTTTAAACAGCATGAAGAAACAAAATTACATTTCTGGTGGACAATAACTACATGTGGCATCACATGAATTGGTAAATATGGACAGAAGGTCAAAGTTCAAGGTCACAATGGTACATGAAAATTGCCTTTTTGTCCCCTGCTTTCACTGAAAGTAGGGGATATTGATTTGGGTCTGTCTGACCGTCTATCAGTCTGTCTGTCTGTAACACTTTTGTTTCGGCCCGATGTCTCGAGAAGCCTTTGAGCCTTTGCAATGAAATTTTGCATAAAAAATCCCTGTGGCATAGGGAAGACTCCCATTGATTTTAAGGTCAAGGTCATGAATACATAAATTCTGTTTAAACACTTTATTTCTGTGCGATATCTCGAGAAGCCTTCAAGCTTTTGCATCGAAATTTTAAAGCACAACTTCCTATGAACTAAAAAAGACCCCTATTGATTTCGAGGTCAAAAGGTCAATGTCAAAAATTTATACATTCTGTTTGTGTGTAAAACTTTCATTTCCGAGTGATATCTCAAAAAGTTTTTAATCTTTTGCAATGAAATTTTATATCATAACTCCCTATGGTCCGTCGCTCCTCTTAAAGTGTCCCGTCCCCCCACCCCCCTCCGACCACCACCCCTCTAGATCCGTACATGCTCTTCTTTTTTCTTTAAGCAGGGGACACAGATTCCCTGAATTAGCTTGTTAATAAAGCATTTATACTTGGATATTGTGAAAGCGTATCCTGTTTTATATACAATTTATTTTACTGAAACTGCATGGTAAATAAATTACATTCTCATCTTTAGCTTGATGCATAATGTGAAAATGCTATGAGAATGTTTTTTTAAGGTCATTTATTGATAAAAATGTAGCCAAGTCAAAATATTGAAAGCCTATACACTTACCATATTGAGTGACTTGTATGTAGAGAATTGTGCTACATGCATGTAAAAAAACTTTTGTTGTTTTTGTAGACTAAGTCCTTGTTCTAAAATGTACATTTGTGACTCTATTCAACAGCCCGCACTTTGCCAGTGACAGTCAAATTATGTTTTCCTGTGACTTTTTTCAGAGAAGTTGACAGAAAAAGCCTAAATCCATTTTACTTTGCAATATTATTCTTAAAAACTTGAAAATTTAGAGACATTGATGATAAATATTTCAACCCAAATATGCATTGGTTTACTCATAATAGATCTGCTATTTCTCAAAATTTAATCAATAATTATCTGTTGAAAAAATCTGCTGGACCTGTTCGGATAATCTGTTTTTGTGCTTTCTTGAATTTATGTTGGTTGCTAAATTTGAAATGGTTGGTAAGCTTGATGGAATCGTACACCTTATGGTGTGTAATATAAACATAATTTCTAAAGTTTAGTCCTTGAAAATGTTTAAAATAAATAATCAGTCACTGCCTTCTTCCTACAGTTTTCATTTTTTTTTTTAAAAAAAATGAATATAATAAAGTAACCAATGACCAGGAATTATTCCAGGAACCATGTGCTTTGTAAAACGTTAAGAAGCGTTATTTGTAAATATTTAAGGAAGTGATTCATTCATAAGTGATTAACCCCTTCCCACCCCTATGTCCTAGGTATAGATTTATTTTTTGTTTAATTTTAGATTTTTTCTTTTGGTAGAAAGGGGGGGGGGTGTCAGAAATTTATTTATGTTTTCATTGTTAATAAAATACAGCTAGACTGATTTAATATTAATTTTACTGCTATAAGGTTCAATCTAAATGTATCTTAGTCTAGAGATATGATAAACCGATAACTTTAAATATGATTCAGACAATTTGTATTTCTATGCACCCCCCCTCCCCCCCAAAAAAGTATAATTTTGACTGGTCGATAGGAATCAAACAAAACATTTTTATTATTTGCCTTAACAATTTTTTTTATTGGGTAAAGACCTTTCCCTTAAAGAAAATTCTTGCTTCAGCAACATTATCAACTTACATCACATCATTCAATATAAACTTGATACACCTGTACTTTGTAGTTGCCAAGCCTATTTTTTATCTGACTTTCAACTTCCAGTTTTGTACGATCATGTAAATGTAGCTAGACTTTAATTATTTAGGTAAAATCAAAAGCCTACTTTTCTAACATTATAATTCAGTTTTTTTTTTCCACATTCGTTTTTAAAAAGAAACACTGGCTTTCCTGGCTGTTATTTATTGTAATATATCATGTGCTCTGACTGAGACACTGTACCTCTTCTTACAACCAATTCAATATAATTCTGATATTTTAAGTTTATCTTTTTATCCCATTTTGAAACTCCTAAGACCTTGAGGCTTAGGCTTCAATATCATGAATGTGCATAGAGGTGATTTCTTGTACCATGTGGTCTAAGACTTGTACATTTCCCCATTGTTCCCACACAAAAATTACTCTTTTGCATCCAGGAAATAAACAAAGAGGTTAAAATTTGTCTGCACATTAAATAAACAGAAAAAACACTTGATTTTACTTGAAATCCAGGATATATGTTGACAATGTAAACAACTTCCAGTCAGTTTTGTCCAATGATTTTTTTATCTCTCACACTAAGAGCTCACAATTATCAAAGGGAGATAATTCAATTTTTAAATGAATGTCTGCTATTTTAATCATAGATTTCTCATATTTATAGACTGAATACCAACAATGTTTTTAAATGACTTTTAAAATCAGATGTCATACTTTTTATTTCTGTGAGTAACATGAATTGAAGTAGCCGCATTTCATTGAATAGCATTCCCAAAAATTGCATTTTTTCAGAAAAAATCAACTTTAGACACCGTTTCCATGGTAACTACTCAACATTCATATGATCTAACAATATTTTTGGAGTAGTTTATGAGGTGGTAAATTCTAGCCAAATTTGAAAAAAATCTGTGACTATGCGTGCCACAAAAGTTTAAGTGGTTACAGAGAATGGCTATTAATTTGTTTTATCATGTACTGTAAAGTCACATATTTTCGTGGGGTCAAATGTTCGTGGTCTGAGGAGAAACTATGGGTTCGTAGGGATTTGATTTCGTGGATGAAGATGTTGAGTAGTTATGTACATATGACATTTTACATTTCGTGGTGGACATGAATTCGTGGGTCTCTTCATACCTCGGAAACAACGAAAATTAAACCCCCACGAAAAGAAGTGATTTCACAGTATACAGGTAAATGACCTATTACAAGAGTTGTACATGACTAGTTGTATACAACTTGTATCACCATAAAATCAGCCTTGCGTTAACACATCAAGTTTAAGCTACAAGTCCCTTGTGGGACTGTATCTCTATTGTACTGGGAGAGAAAATGATATGGAAACACTAAATTTAGATTTCATATTTCTTTTAATGGTTCTTATCTTTTTAAAAAGTTTAATTGAGGTCAACAAAAAACTGTTAGGTGAGCTTGCATTTGAAAGATTTTTACATTTTATGCTCTTTGCAGAATTTTTTTTTCAAATTAGTAGAATTAGAAAAATTGCTTATTTATATATACAAACAAATAATCAATGATAAACTAACAGACAAACAAAAAGACAGGTTGGGTAGACAACAGACAGCTTGCCATCATAACATATAATCTTTTCGTGTTTTCATCCAGTAGAGCTAAATACTAGTATACATGTGTTAGGCTACCTGGAAAATTTGTAATATACAATAATCAAGTAATAAGCGAGAAACATTGAGAGAAGCGAATTCCAATTTTTAGCTCTTCTGAGCCAAAGGCTCAAAGAGCTAATGCTATGGGCATTT